TTCCTCCTGCGGGGGCTGCCTTTCTCCTACCCCACAAAGTATTGTACTACATTCCCCTCCGACCGCACAACCATGACCTGCGAAGCCTGCCGCACCATCCCCCCCGTCGTCGCCGAGGGCTACACCCCCAAAGGCACCTACGCAGGTGTCGCCGGCCTCAACACCTGTCTGCACCACCCACCTTTAGCATTGTAGACACCACCACTAACAACCACAGATATCACCGGTTCTCACGATGCCGCTTACGGTCTGATCGACATCTACGACATCTTCGGCCTCTCCAGCCAAACCCTGCAGGGCGCCGACCTCCTCGCCGCCCGGCTGGACGCCGTCGTCCTCGTCCCGGATTTCTTCCACGGGGACAAGGCCGACCCCTCCTGGCTGCCGCCCGACACTCCGGAGAAGCAGGAAGCGTTGACCAAGTTCATCTCGACCCGCGCCTCGTGCCCGGACGCGGTCCAAGTGCTGGCGGCTGCTGTACCGGTCTACCGGGAGCGGTTCCCGAGCGTGCAGGCGTGGGCTGTCACGGGGCTGTGCTGGGGTGGGAAGGTTAGTTGGACACCCCTCATGCATGAGAACAAAACAGTGATAATGGTGGTAATGGATACAGGTGGCCGTTCTCGCCTCCGGACCGGACACGCCTTTCATCGCGTCGGGTCAGGTGCATCCCGGGTAAGGTTCCTTCCCCCACCGTTCAATGCAAGCCCCCACGTTGACAAGTGCAGACGCATGGAAGCAGCGGACGCGCAGCGGCTGACAATCCCGCACATCGTGCTGGCGTCCAAGGACGAGCCCGCCGAGGTGGTGGAGGCGTATGCGAAGACGATCGCCGAGAACGGGCTGGGCGGGCACGTGGAGACCTACCGGACCATGTGGCATGGCTGGATGGGGGCCCGCGCCAACCTGGAGGGCGAGGAGAGTCTGGCCGAGTATAAGCGGGGGTATGTGTTCTATCCTTAAGCTTTTTTTTAACTCTGCTTGTTGTGAAAGAGTGCTGACTTCAGGATAGGTATAACCAGTTGGCGGATTTCTTCGAAAAGTATTTTCAAGGGAAGGTTGGGGAGGCTAAGATCTGAATGAGGTTGGTTGGGTAGTGTGTCGGAAGATACATATATTTGCTGGCATGAAGGTGGAAACACGGGGTGAAACCCGGTTTTAGCGATGATGGATCTCGTCCATTAGTATATACTCATACACTTGGGTAGGCAGATAAATCTGGATGAACCTGCTTTGGGTCTCACTTAGCCTTCTTGACAAAGAGCGATCCCGGGGGAGAACCCCCGGACCCCCCTTTCTTTCAGCTCCCCAGTATCACTCAATCCTACTAGTTTTCATATGAATGATTTTATGCACGCACATTCAATTCCAGTGAAGGACGCGCGGCTGACACATCGGCTAGCAGGGATAGTGTGTTCCACCGCTATTGGCCAGACTGGCCTCAGAGCTCCACTGCACCCACCAGTCAGACAACGGTTTTGCATCACGGGAATCAAGTCACATGACCCTTCCTCGGAAAGACTTGCCTGCTCTCAGGCTCTCTCTCTTTCTCTCTCTAAGCTTTTGCCCTACTCTGCATTCCCCGTCTATAACCCGTCTCGCTATTGCTTCTCGAAGAGCACATCTTCCACCTCTAGCCCCGAATCCAGTAAGATCTATAGATAGCTCACAAGCCATACCGCCATCCCGTCAGCCATCCCCCCTTTACCGTCTGCAACCCCGTGCCAAGCGAAGCGAAGCTTTGCAGTGGGGGCGCATCCGCCGTTGTTTCACCTGGTCTTCCAATAATGGCTGGCCGAGGGGGGTTTGCATTAAAATGAATCATGGGATGATGGCTGCCAGTTGCCCCGTGGTTCCATCCCATCTTTTTCCCCCGGAACTGAACTTTTTCTCCTTTTCTTTTTTTTTCCTTCTGGCAAGTGCCTGGCCTCTGCGCCGTGACCGTGATCTCTCTCGCTCTATTTTTGTCCGTCCCAAAATAATGCTCCTCGAGGGACACACCGCGGCCTCACCGTCGTGATCTGTCGATTTGCATCTTTGCTAGCCCATAGTATCCCCTCATCGCTACGAACCGCCGGTGGGTCGATCGTGTGGTGTTAGTGACTTCACTTGTCCTTCCCCGGCCGGTCTTTTTTTCTCCACGTTCCCTTCTTTTGGGTTTCTTTCTCTTTCTTTTCCTTCCATCCCCTCTTTTTCTCCTACACGGGGTGATTTTGAACCTGCTGCTTGGTTGGAAGACAACGTACAGCATGTGAGTATGCCTCATCTGCCCAACCCACCACTCAAACACACCCTATTCCTTCCTCCCCCCAAAACAATCCTCCGACTGACCGCTCTTTCTCCGACGCAGGAACCTCGCCTAACACCGCATCCTGATTATGCCGACACACCACCACCACCACGACGACCACCACCACCACCACCACCACGACGACCACCACCACCACCACCACCACCACCATGTCCAGTTCAACCGAGACCCTCGACCCGATCCACTCCAAGACGAGCTCCACGCCGGACTCCCACCCCGCCGATAACCACACCGACCATGGCGTCGACGAACGGCCGTTGACCGGCCACGACACTCCCCAAAATGGAGGCGGCTCGCACCAATGGGGGGTGCTCTTCAAAGCGATCAAAGACGGCACCTCGCATCTGGCCGAGAAGCTGGGCCGGGACCCGGACGGCGGCGACGGGCTAGACTCGGCCTGGCACCCGGAGGACTACGGATACCAGGAGGACATCGAGATGCGGGACATGCTGGCGCCCGGGGAAGGTGTCGCGGACGACTCGTACGGCAGCCAGCTGCAGTCGCTGCTGGGCGCGGACGCCGCCATGTTGGTCAACCGGTTGGGGCTGGCGCGCGAGCTGCAGGCCGGCCTGCCGCCGCGGACGGCCGAGGAGGAGGCCGCCGAGAAAGAAGCCAACCTGGCGGGCGGCGTGCTCTGGCACCTGCTGGGGCATCAGATGGGCCATGATCCGGAGAGGACGACGACGAACACGACGACCACAACCGGTGGGACGACATTGGTCGGGACGGAGACGGGGACGACGCAGTCCGAGGATGACGCGCTGGGCCCGCTGCCGAGCGAGGTGCGCAAGCGGCGCAAGAAGAAATGGTACGCGGACGCGGACAGGGACCCGCGCAGCGCCAAGGAGCGGCGCAAGGCGCGCGAGGCGCGGCTCGCGGAGAAGATCGGCTCGCTGCTCACGCGCCAGCGCTACCTGATGCAGCTGTGTCGCGTCATGATGAAGTGCGGCGCCCCGACCCACCGCCTCGAGGAGTACATGCAGATGTCCGCCTTCGCGCTGCGCGTCCACGGCCAGTTTTTGTACATCCCCGGCTGCATGATCATCTCGTTCGACGACCCGCTGACCCGCACGGCGGAGGTCAAGCTCGTGCGCATCATCCAGGGCTGCAATCTGGGCCGCCTGGGCGAGGTGCACAACTGCTACAAGAACGTGCTGCACGGGAAGCTGTCGGCCGAGGAGGCCCTGCCCGTGCTGGACGACATCCTCACGCGGCAGAGCAAGTGGCGCACCCCCTGGATGATGGTGCTGATTGCCGGGCTGATCAGTGTGGCGGTCGGGCCGTGGGCGTTCGGCGCGCGGCCCATCGACATGCCCATCATCTTCGTGCTGGGCCTGCTGATGGGGTTCATGCAGTACATCCTGGCGCCGCGGTCGGCGCTGTACTCGAACGTGATGGAGGTGTCGATCGCGATGCTGGTCTCGTTCCTGGCGCGCGCCTTCGGCAGCATCCGCCACAACGGGGAGTACCTGTTCTGCTTCCCGGCGATGACGCAGTCGGCGATCGCGCTGATCCTGCCGGGGTACTCGGTGCTGTGCAGCAGTCTGGAGCTGCAGTCGCACCAGATCACGGCGGGGTCGATCCGGCTGGTGTACACGATCATCTACTCGCTGTTCCTGGGGTACGGGGTGACGGTGGGGCTGACGATCTACGGGCTGATGGACGACCAGGCGAGCGAGCAGACCTCGTGCTCGGCGGAGAGCCAGCTGATCTACGGCAACACGTACATCCAGCATTTCGTGTTTGTGACCATCTACATCGCCTTCGCCGGCATCGTCAGCCAGGCCCGCCTGCGCCAGCTGCCGTTCATGTGCACGCTGGGCGTGTCCGGGTACGTGGCCAACTATTTTGCTACGACGTACCTGAGCAGCCAGATGGCCAGCATCATCGGCTCGTTCACGATCGGGCTGCTGGCCAATCTGTACAGTCGGGTGTGGCACGGCCACGCGGCGGCGGTGATCGTGCCGGGCATGTGGACGCTGGTTTCGTCCGGGCTGGCGTCGAGCGGGTCGATCGTGGCCGGGTTGCAGTACGCCAAGGCCGTCAAGGAGGGGACGGCCAACACCTCGTCGAACTCGATGGTCGAGTCGCTGTTGAGTCTGGGCGTGAGTATGGTGCAGACCGCGCTAGGGATCACGGTGGGGTTGTTTCTGTCTGCCTTGGTGGTGTATCCGGGGGGGAAGCGCCAGGGCGGCTTGTTCAATCTGTAGCGTGTGCATTTCGCAGTCTTCTTCTTGTCTATAGTTTTCTTGTCTATACTCTGTCTGTCTTGCATTTACGGGCCTAGTAGCATTAAGCATTGGTGTTTACAGCTGTCGCATTACCCCCTTCTTTTCAAATTCCAACACCCTCAATCCTAAGCACTGGGGGGAGTTTACCGTCCCGGGGGAGAACCCCCGGACCCCCCTTTCTTTCAGCTTCCCAGTAAAGGTCTTCAGTAGGCATCAAGCAGGTTAGGATACGCTATAGGATTCAAGATCGAGTGTTACTGGGAATCTGAAAGAAAGGGGGGTCCGGGGGTTCTCCCCCGGGAAACGTCTATTGCAGGAATTAGGATAGGGGTGTCTGTCCATTGATGAAATGTGCTGAATTAGCATGTGCACGTTCACAGCACAAAAGCATGAGGTTTTGTCTATGTCACTCTCTACCCTTAAATTATATAGTATACCCAGCCGTATGTGCGAATAACCCTCTACTCGTCAAACGCAGCCTCCTCCTCCCTCTCCCTCTTCCGATCCCCCAGCGTCGTGCCAATCTGCCTGACCACCAACCACGCGGGGAACACGGAGATGGCCCACAGCCCGAAGTTGAGATACGTGCCGCCGACCGAGGCCATGACCCCGACGCTGCTCAGCCCGTACTACCGTCGTAACCAGTCAGCACATCCACTGCACAGGTAATACCGGAAGAAACTCACCGAAACCGCCTGCACGGCCGACTCAGTCCCGCGCAGGAGGGCCGACAACCGCACCACCTCGCCCTTGTTGCGGGCCAAGTTGCCCACCACGAAGTACCTGCGCACAGCGTCAGCAACCACCGCCCTTACCCTTTCTCCTCAGAGGAAGGCCCACTCACAAGAACATATAATTGACCTGAAACATGGCCACCCAGAAGAGATAGAGCACCCAGCCCCTCGCAAACCCGGGATCCGCCCAGTCGAGCGCCGCCTGGTCCTTTTCCCGGTAAATCGAGGTAATCACAGTGGCCCACACCCACACGCCGCCCTGCAGGGTCATGACGACCGCAAAGACCCCCCTCGCCTTCCCCTTCAGGCTCCCGCGGGAGTGATCAAGCACATACCCGAGCCCATTCCCCGCCAGGAGGGCCAAGCACCCGGACAGGAAACTGGCCAGCGCGCGGGCGCGCACGCTGAACCAGAGATCGAGGTAGGTGAACATGACGGCCTCGGTGTAGATGGCCTGGGCGATTAGCGGGAGGACGAGGAGCACGTTCTTCGTGCCGAGGAGGCGGACGGTATGCTTCAGCTCCGCGCGCACCCCGTCCTCCGACAGCCGCAGCTGCACGCGCACGCCGTCGCGGCGCTGGACCTTCTCCGGCGGCGTGAGCAGCATCCCCGCGATGGGGCCGCAGGCCTGCAGGGCCACGAAGACCAGGAAGACGGCGTAGCTGACGCTGCCGGCGGTGTTGCGGTCGACGTTCAGGCCGAGGTTGATGGCGCCGCCGAGGATCTGGCCCCCGACGCGGAAGGAGAGCCACAGGCCCAGAAAGAAGCCCTGCCGCGCGGGCTCCGGGTACGCGAGCGCGATGCTGCTCTCCGCGAGCCAGAAGATGCCCGCGCTGAGGCCGCAGAGCGCCGCGCCCAGGAGCAGCAGCCACGAGCTGTGGAACCGGTTGTTCGTGTACAGCCCCGCCGCGTAGGGCGCGTAGCCGACCGTCCCCAGCATGAGCGTGTATTTTACGCCGATGAGCCGCACGATCGCGCTGCCGAAGAGGCACGAGACCACCATCAGGCAGAAGGTGAGCGCGTTGGCCGCGTCGACGAGGTACGGCGATTCGCTGCCGCCGCCCCCGAGGGAGTTCATCGCGGTCCAGAGCCCCGGGGCGAGGAAGTTGCAGAGCCCGAGGATGAGCGCGTTGTAGGTGGTGCTGCGGTACCATTTGGGCTTTGCTGGGGGATGGGAGGGGGAGGGGTCGGAGGGAGAGGGGTAGGGCGGCGGGCTGGAAGGGGAGGGGGCTGTTGAGGTTGGGGGGGACTTTTCGGACATTTTGCCCGGTGTGCTGTGTGGATTCGTTAGAACGAAGGGGTTCTAGCACCGAGTATACCAGTGAAGGTATCTGGAACGAAGAGAGGTCGAGGTTGAGGTCGAGCCGGAAAAAACAAGGGATGACCCCAAATTGTTATATACTGCATTCGACACGCCTTGCATTGTGCAGATAGGACGTGATCTAGACCCTACTCCCCCAGGAATGTGTCTCGGTCGAGAAAGTTGCCATGCTGCATGTTGCAGGATGGGGTGGGAATTACGTGCTCGCACGGCATTTTAGCCTGCAGATGTAATCCTTAGCCTCGATGTCATCTTTAATCTATATCGCTGGATAAGAAAATAAGCTAAGCCCCACGTGAGCGATAGCGGGAAAAGAATTCCAACCCGCCAGGCGCTAACCCATCACGTCAACCGTCAACCGTCCCCTGTCCCTCCCATGATGAACACCCCCTCAGCCCCCTCCTTTTCAGCCTTTCAGCAACTCCAATTCTAAGTGCTGGGGGAATATACCGTCCCGGGGAAGAACCCCCGGACCCCCCTTTCTTTCAACTTCCCAGTAACACTCAATCCTAATCTAACTGTCCTCCCTGCAGTACAGCAGACTAACCAGTGACCACTAGCCCTAATCACATCACCCCATAAACTGAGCAAGACCCAGTCTGCCGGTCTCCCCTGTATGTCATATCCATATCGACAGTACATCTTGTGCCGTTCAATGCTTACTACAGATAAGCTTTGCCAGGAAGCTGAAAGAAAGGGGGGTCCGGGGGTTCTCCCCCGGAACGTGTTAGTTCTAAGAATCAGGGTTGAGTGTGACTGGGAAGACAAAAGCCCATTAACAAGACACTATATAGCAAGTAGTACGTAAGTAGCCAAATTACCGCTGCATCCTTGCCTCTCCGTCCCGCGAGCAGCATTCCTCCCCGCCCTTCCCGGAAACCCCAACCCAGCACTATATCAAGAATGAAAAGTCTACTCCCGATCCTCAGGCGTAAACACCAAAACCCGCACCTCGATACTCTCCCTCGCCTCCTCGTTTTCGGTCCCCGGGATCACAAACGCACTGTGCGGCACGCGGCGCGCGCGCCCGTCCGTCTTGCTATCGTAGCACTTGATGAGCGTGACCCATTCGGGCGTCTGCGCGTGCCGGTAGTACCATTTCGTGGCGGGGTTGGCGCGCACGGCGTAGGTCTCGCCCTCGCGGTCCGGGTAGATCAGCTTGATGGGGACGAGGTCGGCGTCGTCGACGGTGTGCGCCTCGGCCACGGCCAGCGGGTCGCGGCGCACCGTCTTCAGCGGCCGCCACACGTTGATGATCTGGTGGCGGCCTTTCAGGAGCTCCTCGGCGTCGTCGGGGAGGTGGTGCGAGACGCGCGAGACGGCCGCGGGGAAGGACTGGTCGATGTGCACGCGGTGCACCGGGGTGCGGAGCTGCGCCTGGGCGTTGGCCGCGGGGCGGCGGATCGTGTGGTCGAAGATGTAGGTACGGGTTGCTCCGGTCCTGCACCCCGTGGTCATTATCAGTTAGCGGCTGGGAGGCGGGCGGAGCGGGGAGATATAAAAGGTGAGGGGAGGGGGAATGGAGGGGGCGAAGGGAAAGAGGATGGGAGGGAGACATACACTTCCTTCAGCAACCGATCCACCTCCGGGTAATACACCCGCTTGATCTGCTCGTCATCCAGGAAATCTTTCTCCGCACTGACGTGCGGGTGGAACTGGAAGCCGTTGCCGTCCAGCGTGTACTCGGCTTCGTGGCCGCTGACGTCGTGGATGGTCGTCGGCACGGACTCGGACGGCCGCTCGAAGGAGTCGGCTTTGCCCGCGTAGTTGGGCCGCAGGTGCGAGCCGTCTTCGACTTCTTTGATGTAGTTCAGGACGGTGTGGACGTCGTGGGGGGAGGTCCGGGGCTGGGGCGTGGATTTAGTTTGTGGGGGGAGGGTGTTAGAGGCGGGGAAGGAGGGGATGTCCCCGGTGGGGAGGTGGACTGCTGCTGCGGCCATTTTCTCTCGGTGTAATTTAAGGTGTGGTATAGATGGCTGTGAATGTGTCTGGTGGATGTGAGGAGAGCAGCTCTACGCCGCTATCCACGGTTATATATACCATCCCAATGGTTGCGGTCTGCTCACCACACACGCACGCAGCATTTGTCAGACAGAGCACGTCATACCACGCTGATAAATCCAACCTACCCTCCGGCGATAATGGGTCGTCACATCTCGCACGGATGATGCAAACAGCATAGCATTGTACTCGTTCATATCCATGTGATGTCGGAGGGCTATAGACAGGGATGTCTTGGAGGGCGCCAATTACAAAGAACGCGGGGAATGCTGATTTCTAATCCGCTGCAAGGAATGCATCCGACTGCTCCGTCGCTTGCACCGAGGATCTCTACCAGAAGTTTGAACAGAACAGTACTATTGGAGATTCTGGGGCTGTGACGCTCGAACGGTGGTCTGATTATCAATCTATCTAGAACTCGTATACGCGCACTAGTTTGGTATGGATTGCTCCGTCCTCCGCCTCGGCCTTTTCCTCCTCCAGATGATATCCACCCCACCGGGGAAGCAGAACCGTCCATACGTACCAGTATAGCACTCCAAACACAATTCTACAATAGTTAGCAAATGCCGAGACAAACGGGGCAGGGTGCGAGGATAGGGGCAGAAACATACACGCCAGTTCCAACAATCGCATACGTCGCGTAGAAGAAGCCCACGTCGCCCTTGCCGCCCTCTGGCGGGAAGAAGGGCGATGCCAACAAGACCAAGGAGATGAGCACGCGCAGCCACACGGCGGGCAGCCATGCCTGAAACGGACGCGGGAGGTCGGGTTCCTTGTAGCGAAGCAGCAGGAGCCCTAGTGTGACAGCTAGACTGAAGAACTGGCCCGGATAGCCTTCGACATCCAGGATAAAGTTGTAGACGTCGCCTTGGGGCGGCAGGGCAATCACCAGGACGGAGGGGATGTAGTGCACGATCAATCCACCTAGCGGTGCTCCGAACGGTCGCGAGGACGAAAGCACCTTTGACCAGGGCAGAAACCCCTGGCGGGCAATCTCTTGGTTGACACGGGCCTGACAGCAATGAGCATTGACCCCACCGAGAGGGGCGATAGAGGCTGGGAACATACCAACGCGAAAGTGACTACCATGACGTTGCCAGCGGCCGAGATGGCAATGGCCAGAGGAAGCAACGTCCTCCCGATCTGATTCCCGAACAGCCGCTCAAACAGCAGCGCTGCCACGAGTTCTCCGCTGTTCTTGATCTCCTCGATCGGGACCACCAGAAAGTAAGAGACATTCGCCAGAAAGTACAGCGCCCCCGCCGTCAGGAGCGCCGCGGGACACACCGTCTTGAGGGTGCGAACGGGATCTCGCACCTCGTTCATGACGTTGTTCAAGTTACTCAGCCCAGCGTACGAGTAAATGACCTTGAATAGAGACGTGGACAGCAGATTCCAGCTCCAGTTGGAGTCCTCCCACAGCGAATCCCACGAGCTGAACACACTTCCCCGCTCATCCCCAACCGAGGCATCCGTCTCGCTGGGCGGACGCACGAGAATCACCCAGATGCCGGTCAACGAGATGGCCCCGACCAGAAAGATCTTCAGCCATCCCAGCACGTTCTGCACCCAGATGCCCGTCCGCAGGAAGAACCCGTGCATGATCGTGACAAACGTAATCAACCCCAGCGCCAGGACCTTGTGCTGCAGCTCAGTCGGCTCGACATTGAACGCGAAGAAGGTGTACTTGGCGAAGACGATGCAGTTGCTGGCCGTGAACCCCAGCAGCACCGCCTGCACGGCGATCAAGGTCGAGGCCAGGAAGCGCGGCCGCGGGTAGGTATATTCCAGATACACCTGCGGATGTTATGTCACTACTCAGACTGTTTCCCCTCTATGCGAGAAGATCCATGCCAGGCAAAATACCTTATCGCCGCCCGAGCGAGGCAGCATGCACCCATACTCCAGCGACACGGCCAGCCCACACGCGGCGAGCACGGTGCCCACCCCCCAGATCAACAACGACAGACCCACGCTCCCCGCAGATTTGACGATCGAGCCCGGGGTCGCGAAGATGCCGCTGCCGATGACGCGGGAGATGACGAGGATGTACGCGCTCGTCCAGGTGAGGGTCTTGGGGCTGTTGGTGGCCGGTCGGGCGGCGGATTCGGGGTCGGGCACCTCGTCCGGGAAGACGGGTGTGCTGGAGATGCCCAGCAGAGGCTGTCGTTCGGCTTGGGTCATGATGGATCGGTGGCTGGATTTGGTGATGGGGTTCAGTATCCCCTCGGGATGGGAAGCTTAGATACCCAGTTTAAGGTGTAAGCAGCAGTTTGTTTGGCGTGGCTGCTTGGAAATCAGTATCACACGCAGGCACGTCATTCTGTGCGCATGTTGTGTGTTTATCCCAGCTGATAACGACTTATCTCAAGGCGAGGAATCACACAGCCTCGGGGAGGTGCGTGGGAATGACACGTCCGAGGAGGTCATGCCGGCAGTGTCTGTAGAGGTTACCACCTATCACATAGTCGGACACCTCTTGACCTGATCCGTCCGACCAGTGTGTGCTATATAAGATAAATCCAGCGCAGGTCGTCCCCTGGCAAACTGATCCATAACCCCCAGCTGATGTTTCAGGAAACGAACGCTTGAAAGCAGGAAGGCGACGTCGTCAGCAGCGGTCGCAGTTGCGTGCCATCCCCTCATCCGCCACGAATCACATCATCAGGACCGGGATACATGCCATTTGCCTGCGGTGTAACCTGGTTGGTGGCTGCGCTCGCCCTCCCAAAAACTGGTCGAACTTAGGGCTTTCTGCCCTCATCCGCTTTGTCGACTGTCTCTCACGGATCCCAGTCCCGCCATGATGAGGCAGAGTGACGAACTGGCGAGATTAGCTCCGATGACTGTAATATGGGAAGCTGCCGATTTTTGTGTCTTGTGTCTTGTGTCTTGTGTCTTTGGGGTCATCATCCCTTGGATGCGACCGACGATCATGGTCGCATCCTGGACGGGATGATACCATCGCTGCGTGCTCAGCACGCCATCCCACCCCCGCCCCGCGCAATGCTGCCCTTCCCCAGGCGCGATAATTGGGTTCTTGCTGGGCGATTATCGCCAATCGATCAACCCTGTGGTCCGTGTGTTCCGGGAGATAGAGATAAACCTGCAGAGGGTGAGTTTCTCGGCCGGGTGACAAACGCATACATATCTGGATCGCGCGGGGTGCAAAGTTCCTGCAAATTCCATCACCTTGTCGTTCGTTGTACAGAATACACGCACGCAAGCACACATATCCGGCATCATGACCACGATAGCGACCTACACCGTACCTCCCTCGCTGGACGACAAGTACCCTCTCGTGTACGACAGCCCTGTGCGGGTTGAGCAGCGCTACTACCCCGAGAGCGAATCGATCGAAGCCCCAGCCCCAGCACCAACGCAGGCAGCGCCGCAAGCCACTCAGAGCGCCCTGCTCCTCCACGGCATCGGACAAGAATATACCCTCGTGACCGATCATGCCATCCCGTCCATCCTGGGTGAGGAGGAGATCCTAGTCAAGGTATGACTGTGCTTGTACGCTTCATTTGGCTCCTAGACTCTGACATACCTGCAGATCCAAGCGATCGGCCTCAACCCAATTGACTGGAAGGGCCCGTATGTCTTTCTTCCCTGCCCCTGCCCCCTCCACACAACCCACTAACAGCGACGCAGAGCGTATAACTTCGGCATCCCCGCTCTCCCCTGGATCAACGGCCGCGACCTGGCCGGCGTGGTCGTCGCCGTGCGCGACCCCGCCCACCCGCGCATCCGCGTCGGCGACCGCGTCCTCGTCCCCTCCACCGACTACCGGGACATCCGCAAGGCCGCCTTCCAGCAGTACGCGGTCGCCACGCACTTCAACGCCGCCCGCATCCCCGACCAGACGGGCGTGCACGTCAGCGCGTCGTTGGGGGTGGCGTTTGTGGCCTCGACCCTTGCCTTGGGCGTGTCTCTGGGCCTGGATTTCTCGACGATCGCCGCGTGTCCCGGCCCGAATCTCGTGGATGCCGTGCAGTCGGTCGACGCAGCGGAGATCCCGGCGGATGTACGGGAGGAGTGTTTCTCGGCGGTACCGGTGCAGGACCGCTTGCGGAGGGGCGAGTGGCTGGTTATTTGGGGGGGTGAGTCTGCGTCCCTTTCCCGCGTTTCTTGGGGTGGTGGATGAACTTGTCCGGTTTTTTGAGTGAAGATGACTAATTTATGATAGCATCTACAACCACGGGGATGATCACCCTACAACTAGCGAAGCTAGCGGGCCTGAAGGTTCTCTGCGTCGCCGACGTCGCCCGCCATGGGGCGCGCCTGCACGCCCTCGGGGCGGATGTGCTGGTCGACCGACACGATCCCGCCCGCGCGGTGGAGATCATCCGCGGCGTAACGGGGGGTGGGCTGCGGTATGCGGTGGACATCGTGGGGCGGGAGACGGCGACGCTGCTGCAGGAGGTGTTGGATGCCACCGTGCGCGAGGATGGCTCGCATGCGCATCTGCTGGGGTTGACAGGATTGCCCAAGGAGCGACGGGCGGGGATCAAGTATCATACCGTGCCCATCAAGCTGTTCCATTCGTCGGTCGGGGTCGGGGAGAAGATGGTCGCGTGGTTGGAGGAATTGCTGGCGTCGAACACGCTGCTGGGGCCGGAGGTGGTGCGCCATGCCGGCGGTTTGGAGGGGGTCAACGCGGCGCTGGATACGCTGCGGCAGGGGAGTGTGTCGGGGAAGAGGATCGTGGTGGACTTGGAGGGTTGAGCGGGGTCCTAGGGGAAGGTTGTAAATAGTTGCAATAGATTGGATTGTGAATAGGCATTAAAATGATACAGGTACAGTACTTGAATACACCGGCTGATTCAATACGGAGCCGGCAGGCTTGGCACTGTCTTAGGGTTGACGTGCTGTATACCTTTCATTGAGCATTCTACAATTCCCCTTAGGATAAACATCATGTCACTCGAAAGCACTACTTGACATTCAGCTGTTGCAATAATGCGTGTAAACCCCCACTGCCAAGAGATCACAAATGGCAGGTAAATCAACCCGTGTCATCATCGGCACCGCATCTGGCGCAATCGAGGCCGCCTCGCACGTCTTCCGGGACCCCTCCATTGGAAGAATGTTGCGACACAAGCTCTCGGGCGAGTCATGAGGGGTAATTTGGTGGTCAGGACCGATAAGAATGTTTATCTTTCTCCAATTCCGCCGCATATAACAAATAACCCAAGCACACACCACCACCATACGCAAGACTCTACACTTTCTCCCTTCCTCCCACGCCCCATATCCCTCACCTCTACTCTGATTCGCAGGAGGACCACAATCGAGGGTAGGACTTCAAATCATCCAGTTAATCACTAAACCTCACCTCTACTCGCCAATCACCAAAATGGGCTCCTCCACTCCCCCCAAGAAACAACTCATCCTCAACGCCTTCGCCATGCAATCCCCCTCCCACCTCAATCCGGGCCTGCACCGCTACCCGCCGGACCAAGGCCACAAATACACCTCCCTCTCCAACTGGGTGCAACTCGCCCAGAAGCTCGAAGCGGCCAAATTCCACGCCATCTTCTTCGCCGACGTGCTCGGCGGCTACGACGTCTACCGGGGCCCCGCCAACCTGACGCCCACCATCCCCGCCGGCGCGCAGTTCCCCATCAACGACCCACTCTACAGCATCCCCGCCATGGCCGCCGCGACGCACAGCATCAGCTTCGGCGTGACCGCCTCGACGACCTACGACGCGCCGTACGCGCTGGCCCGCCGCTTCTCGACGGTCGACCACCTGGCCCAGGGCCGCGTGGGCTGGAACATCGTGACCTCGTACCTGGACTCGGCGGCGCGGAACTTCGGGCTGAACACGCAGATCGAGCACGACGAGCGCTACCGCATCGCGCACGAGTACCTCGACGTGGTGTATCAGCTGTGGGAGGCGTCGTGGCGCGACGGGGCCGTGAATGCTCATGGCGACGGGGTCACGGGGTATGCTGACCCCGCGGCGGTGCGGCAGATCAACCACAAGGGCAAGTATTTTGACGTCCCCGGCCCGCATCTCTGCGAGCCGAGTCCCCAGCGCACCCCCTTCCTCCTGCAGGCGGGCACGTCGAGTGCCGGGAAGAGCTTCGCGGCCAAGCATGCGGAGGCGATCTTCTTGAACGGCCAGTCGCCCGAGCTGGTGCGCCCGTCGGTGGATAGTGTGCGTCAGCAAGCAAAGGAATTGGGGCGGGATGCGAATGCGGTCAAGATTGTGGCGGGGGTGTTGGTCATCGTGGCGGAGACGGACGAGAAGGCGTGGGAGAAGTTCCGCGAGTATGGCAAGTACGGGGACAAGGAGGGGGCACTGGCGCTGTTCGGGGGCTGGTCGGGTTATGATCTGGCCAAGTACTCGGATGAGGAGGATTTCCGGTTCGTCGAGGCCCCCGCTGTACGCAGTATGGTGAACCACTGGGCGAAGACGGTGCCGGGTGGGGAGGGCAAGAAGTGGAATAAGGCGACCATTGCCGAGTATCTGGTCATGGGCGGCAATGGGACGAAGATCATCGGGGATGCGAAGACTGTGGCGGATGAGTTGGAGCGCTGGGTCGAGGTCGCCGATGTTGACGGGTTTAATCTTAGCTATGCCAGTGTGCCGGAGACGTTTGATGATATTATTGAGTATCTGGTGCCGGAGTTGCAGCGCAGAGGGTTGTTTCATACCGAGTATGAGGTGCCAGGGGGCACGATGCGGGAGAACTTCTATGGGGTCAGGGGGCAGACGAGATTGCCGGAGAGTCATCATGGGGCGAGGTATTTCTGGAAGGAGGGGGAGGAGGTTCCTAAGTATACTTTGCAGGAGAAGGAGTAGTTGGGCCGAGAGGTGTGGGTGAAAATGTACTTTAAAAAATTAATGCTATTTCACATTGATGTGCTGAGAAAATAGTCTGGCACGGTAGCCTATGCTTGACAGGATGTCGTCGATGATTAAAATGTGTTTTTTATTGAACAAAGGCTGCTCATTATTCCTAGAACCAATACGTCTTGCCCGCTATGCTCTCCGGATTGCCCGTAGTCCCCGGTGCCACTCCCACCTCACGCAGCCTGGCTTTCAACCGCGCAGTGACTGCGGCCGGATACTCGGACGACGAGTGAGCGGGACCTTTCCCCGCCGCGGCCAACTGATCCGTGAGTTGATTGTCGGTCCTGAAGAACGGCACAGAGAGCACACCGCTGGCGTTGGCGCATGCTTGATACAGTGCCTTGAACCTCTCCTCGCTGTATCCCCCGCCGGTGATGACTGCGCGTGGAGCGATGGTGAAGTCGTTTGGGCCAACCTGAGTGTGGAGAGCTGATGCTGGAGGTGCCTTCCCTGCGAGAATGAGCGGGACCTCCTGCTCTGCAGCGGGGAGGTTGTGGCCGGCGTAGACAACTGCTGTCGTTTAGTCTCATCATATGACTATATGTCGGGGCAGAGCGGTGATTGCAGACCATTATACTCTGGGAGCATGTGTGTGCGGACAAGGGCTGCGACTTCGCGCTTGGCGCCACAGAGAATCACAGGGATGGCGGTGGTCATGTTGTTGATCATGTATTCAGAATTCAAGGATGTGAGACCGGAAGCCCAGACATTCCTTGCACCTTTATGTAGCAGGTGAATAATGCAAGGGGTGTCTGGACCGATTACAGAGCGCAACGCTTCGGACGTACATTCAGCCCCGAGAAACTTGCCGCCTTTACTGCACCATTGGCTGTAACTTATTGCGGCTCAAGGACGTGGGGCAGATACCACTGCATCTGAAAAGTCATGAAGTCATCACGATCTTCGGAGTTGATGTCAACCCCGAGCATGAATAAGCAAACCCCCCACATCACTCCAGCATATAAACCGAACACCAACCTTCGAACGAGATCATCGGAATTTTGACTCCAAGATATCTGTTCAAAGCGGCCCCGACAATGTCAGATCCACCCAAGCCTCTCCACGACAATGTGTCACGCACCAAATCCAGCTCCCCACTAGGACGAGCCGTCTTCATCGGCCTCCGCGCCGCCGACGTCTGGTGGCAGTACAGCTTGTTCAGCCAGGGCTGGGCCTCCCAGCTCATAACCAAGCTGGGTGGCTCTCCCGTCGTGGCCGGCAACGTTTGGGCCACTCCCAGCAGCAGCCTTCACATCTACTACCACCTCGTCAGCTTCCTCTCCCTGGGCAGCAGCATCAAGCAGATCGCCGCCATGCTGTTCGTCTCCGAGCAGGAAACCCCCGTCGGCTCCGCCGCCCTGATCGCCTTCTTCAACACGGCTTTCAATACAATTAACACCCTCCTCGCCATCTGGTCGCGCACCTCCCAAGCCCCAGCCTCCACCAACAAAACGCTACTGGACTTCATCCTAGCGAACCCCACCGTAACCATTGGCTTCAGCGCCTACCTCATCGGGATATTGACAGAGGCGGTCTCCGAGTTCCAGCGTCGCGCCTTCAAGAAAGACCCCGCCAACAAAGGCAAGCCCTACGGCGGGGGTTTGTTCTCGCTGGCGACCAATATCAACTATGGGGGGTATACCGTCTGGCGGGCGGGGTATGCGATGGTGACGGGCGGCTGGCCGTGGGCGGCGACGACCTTCGGGTTCTTCTTCTGGGATTTCGCGGTCAGGGGCGTGCCGGTGTTGGATGACTATCTGGTCGGTCGGGTGAGTGTACCTTCAGTTTTGTTTGAGTTTGCGCGAGTGGTAGAACTGGCTGACTTGTTTTTAGTATGGGCAGGCTTATGAGGACATCAAGGCGCGGGTGAAGTATCGGTTGATTCCTTGGGTGTATTAGATGTCTCTGCAATTTTTTGGAGTGCAGGTGGTAGCTGGAAGCTTGGCACGACGGATGAAAGGTAATGTGTGGTGATGCTGCCAGCTTGGTAGATTTTACTGTCAAGCGAACTGGAGACGGCAGGCTTGAGGACTCCTGTAATAGGTTTTAATGAACTTTAGCGTTTCCCGAAAGTACAGAGTACCAGATGCTTCTGTTATGTTGTGTGGTGAGTACCTACTTATCGGTATCCAGTGGTACCGAAAACGGCTCTAAAATGTAAGACGAATGTTCTTCGGGAATACTTTGTCATTCGCGATGGAGATGATCCATAATATTAGGGCAATTCTCCTCCTGTTCTTTTGTTTTTGTCCTTTCAGCTTCCTGTTATAAGTCAGAGACAAGTGAGCAGATGACAAGCCTCGAACTCGGACTATTATCCTCTCTGAGAAGTCTGGGTGTTATGGCAGAGGCAAATTCAATTCCCTAGGACGTGGTGTTAGATTCAACCAAAGCGTTGTATAGTGGATCATTACCGTTCCGGATGGCGAAAAATTCAAGGGTCAACCTAGTATTCCAGAAATCCAGCCCCAATGCAGCGTACGGTTGTCAAGAGGGGGGAGGGCCTTTTCCAGACACAGGCGCAGTGAATGTTGTTGCCTTCTGTTTGGTCCTCTTCCTCTGCAGGTTAGACATCAGAGGAACACTCAGTCAAAAGTCGCGATGACTATGCTGGCTGAATGGGGCCACACCAACAACTAGGACCCTTGTTTGAGGCGAACCTCCTATCCCAAAGCCTGAGGCACCATCGTGGGGCATTTAGCCTGTGAAGAGAGTAGGATCCAACCGGAAAGACCCTGAGCAATATAGAATATGGCAGGCTTCGATACTAGACGCTGGGGCTGTGCCAAGTAGCGCAAAATTGAGCCGGTAGCCGGTGGTTGTGGGGTGTCGGTTGTCGCCTTGAACCGCCGGCCTCGGCCCGACAATTGCTTCGGGTGGGAGTATTTCATCATATCCGATGATCAATTATATGGTTGCCTAAAGGAGAAGACCCCACAGCCCCATCATGATAGTATAGGCAAACGCTATTATTTCCTAGTCTACCCTGAGTGATCGATTTTGAGCTTTCTATTGGTGCGCGCTGCGCATGGCCCGCAAACTCTGCCAGCTCCTGGTGGTACCATCTGGGCGATTAGACCCCTAAAAAGAGACCCTGTTGGAGTTGATATCCACCTCAGTCAATGTAAATTTCGGGAGCATTGAGATCTGTGCCATCGCTTCCAGTACCAGATAATGCATGGATATTAACAGGAAGTCCCTGTGTGGTAAACCTTTCTCTGGATACCACCACCAACTGTTCGTCTGTCATGATTAGAGGATCTACTACTCGCCAAGTTCTTGTCTGCACAATGCAGTCCGAGTAGCTGTCTGCTTATATGTGCAGGACCTAAATTACTATCAACACATCGGATATCAGCAACCCCACAGATGACTCTGTCTTATCCTAAAAAGCCAGTGTTCCTTGGCGACACCTGCCCCGGCGCTTCAAATTGCTGCCTAGAATCGAGATCAACTAGTATCCAACAGTATCCACAGCAACAAATATAGATTGTTTGTATATCTGTTGCAGCCACTACATTCTAAATACAAATCACTCAAGATCACACACAAGTCTTAACTTCAGCTCCCAACTCTCTGTCCCAATTGTTTTCTAAGCAATTCCTTCCACCCACCATGCCAACCCTCAAATCCACCGCCGCTCTCCTCGTTTTCACCCTTGCCCTAGGTGCAGCAGCCCAGCCCACCACACAAGCCACTATGAAAAACAACACCAATGACGAGGCCACATGCGTCGTCTTCAACTGGGACCGCCAATCCGTCTCCTGGGACGAATACCCACCAAAACGTGTCAGCGCAGCCTTCAGCTGCCCCAACACCACTACAACCACGAGTACCAACACCAACGCCTGCGAGATCACGGGGACGGGGGGATACGGCACCTACTACGCGGTGACGAACCTCACAGGCCTCGCCGCGGGTCCCCTGACGGCCCTAGTCCAGAAGGCGGTCGATGAGAAACAACTGCAGACAAGCAATTTCAGCGCCCAAGCCACAGTCTATGAGGGGGTGGCCCGCACGCCCCTCGCGCCAGGCCAGTCGGCGTACGCTGTCGAGATCGGCCGCAGCTACTGCTTTACGGGGACGGTTTCTAGCTGTACGGGCGGCGACCACCAGATCGCTGACGACACGCCCGTGCGGGTGTGTTCGCCCCTGTGGCAGTATGTCCGCACGGTCGGGGACGTGATCGTGGCCTACGGCGGAATAGTGAATGTGACTCGGGAGCAGGCCGCCAACTTGACCGATCCGTTTGCCGGTCAGAACGTGACGCTGCCGAACGGGGCGGCGAGGGGGTTGGTTGTCGCGGGGGATGGCTGGTTGACCGGGCTGGTGGTTGCGGTTGCGGTGGCTCTGATGGTTTAATGTCCTTTTGTGTATGTTCGGATCTATGATCTTGTTTTGTGAGTTATGAGATAATGTGCTTATGACTAGTCTATGGTGGATCCGCAAGTCTGCCAGCTTACGATGCAATTGATCCTGTTATTTGTTCTTTGTAACTGTGATGATCGAGAGAACTTGTCTTCTTGCCTTTTTCTGTTTCTGTCTTTCTGTCTTTTGTTTTTCTGTTTTTTTTTTCTTTGTTTCTTTTGGATCTCTTCTCTATCTTGGCACGGTGGTGGGATTTGTAGGAATAGAAATGAACACAACGCTTAGGGTTGTATACTTCTATATGTATAGCTGCCCTGAAAATGTCCCTAGCTTTTACCAGAAAACAATTTATAGTATACAATACAAAACATAAATCACCTCTTTCATCCTTTACGAGCATTTACTAGTGGTGTTTATGTTCTATGATAGCTATAGTCCTCTGGATCATTCACAGGCACATAAATTACAAACATGGATCCGTGATATTCACACTTGAAAGATTATCCAGCACTAAACCAATCTAGGTTGCGATGCAAGTCAACCTTTCCTGAAATGACAAGGTCTAAGTAATGTTGTGCCTCAGGCACCAACTCAGGATTCCGAGGTAACACCAGTTTCACCTTCTCCACAGTACTTCCCGATGCAAAAAATACACTTGCAATCATGATGCTATAGAATCTCGCCTCATCTCCGCATTTCAAGAGGCGAACGCTGCTCTGGAGACAGAACAAGTACCCGAAACAGGCCTACCCGAACCTAAATCGCCGGGCAAGTGACCTCCCACCTGTCATTCGGTGGAGATCCGGGGAAACCTACTAGTGTGACAGGAGTGACTCTCGGCTCATTTCTCTGGCTCAAAGCCATCAATAGCAGAAATCAGGAACCCTGCTCGGAGATCGAGGATATGGGAGTGTATGATGTCATCACGGGAGTCAATTCGGACGGCCGCGGTTCCTGGTGCAACCAAGACATGGTTAAAAGCATTTCTTCGGCCACTGTTGATCGTCTAGTTCGTCAATTACTGGTGCAAGGGATCAAATATGAAGGCACTTGCACGTTCTATCTTAGCTGCGCTGACAGCATGGCTGCCCCACGATACCGACTCCACAACCTCCCTTGCAGCGAGGGCCAATGCTGCGCCGGGGAATACCTCCGCGGTGAACCTGACGGTCATCACGTCTGGAGGTAACCTATCTAGCCCGTTGCTGTATGGGATTATGTTTGAGGTATATGCCAGTCCTGTCCACAAATGAGTGTAATGACTGACATTCGCTGCTCTCTCTAGGAAATGGATCATTCTGGTACACCCACCCTCGCTGCGCAGCAACAAAGCTAATGTGAACAGGCGACGGAGGGCTCCACGGACAATTGCTGCAGAACAACGGCTTTCAAGGGGCCGATCCCGGTCTGACTGCCTACAAACCCATCGGACAAGCAGAGATCATGCAGGATTACCTGTACCCGGTGAGCGGTGCCATCACTTCTTCCCTACAGGTATCCGTACCAGCGAGCGGCGCCACAGGCCTGGTTGGATTTGCCAACACAGGATACAAAGGCATTCCGGTGGTAAATACGACATATTGGTGTGAGTTCTGGATGTTGGGTGATTACACCGGAATGATCACCCTCCAGCTAGCTGGATCGTCCAGTGGAACGATCTTCGCTTCGCGTAACATCACGGTCGCCAGCACTCAGAACAACTTCACCCGATACACGACGGTGTTCAATGCCACAGCAGCACCGGACGGCAACAATGAGTGGAGGCTACTTTTCAATGCGTCTAAAGTGTCGGGAGGGACGCTGAATTTCGGACTTCCGCAATTGTTTCCGCCAACGTATAAGTTGAGGTGTGTGTGCTTTCTTTGCGGGAGTGGGAGAAAACTGACATAGTCAAGGTCCAATGGACTCCGTCACGATATTGCCAAGGTTATTGCAGATATGAAACCGTCATTCTTGCGCTTTCCAGGGGGAAATAACTTGTATGACTTCTTTTCTCGCCTAGACCAATTGTCTATCCGGATTTTCATTAATGCTTGGCAGGGAAGGTCTGCAAGTTGAGAGTCGGTGGCAATGGAACTTGACCATCGGACCGGTAGTCGAGCGTCCTGGGCGACAAAGTGATTGGTTTTATTCCAATACCGACGCACTGGGTAGGACGCGCCCGAATACTTTGACTGTGCCTAATGAGTCATTCAGGTCTGGATGAGTACCTATGGTGGTGCGAGGATATGAACATGGCTCCCGTGCTGGCGGTCTGGGACGGCAAGTCCTACGGCGACATCCTGTCAGGCAAGGAGCTCGAACCCTACATCCAGGATATTCTTCATGAGCTTGAGGTGAGTCGCTCTGGTCGCGTCAATCCCAAAGCTGATCGAGTAGTACCTTCTCGGCGTTCCCAACACCACCTACGGAAGTCTCCGCGCCAAGAACGGACGCGTGCAGCCCTGGTCAATCCAGTACATCGAGATCGGGAACGAGGACGACTTCACCGGGGGCTGCGCAACGTATCCCCGCCGCTTCTTGCAGATCTATGACGCCATCCACCAGAACTACCCCAATATCACGCTGATCGCCTCCGCCAGCGATCCACAGTGTCTTCCCTCCGATCCACCTCCTGGGATTATGTACGACTTCCACTACTACCGCAGTCCAGACCAGCTGGTCGCCATGTTCCACGAGTGGGACCACCAGTCCCGCTCGCGCCCGGTGATGATCGGCGAGTACGGCTGTCGCAATACAAGCTCTCCCGACGGGTTCTACTGGACGTTCATGCAATGCAGCTGCAGCGAAGCGGTGCACATGATCGGACTGGAGCGGAACAGCGATGTCATCAAGATGGCATCTTATGCACCCTTGCTGCAGAACTTTCCGTACACCCAATGGTCGGTATGTACCATTCTCCCGGTGCTCAGGCTTTGTCACTCTTGCTAATACATCCTCGCAGCCGACGTTGATCGGGTTCGACTCGAACCCAGGCTCCCTTACCCTGTCCACATCCTACTGGGTCCAGAAGATGTTTTCCAACTACCAGGGGCAGAGCATCCTGCCGGTGAATTCGACGGCCAGCTTCGGCCCCTTGTACTGGGTTGCCTCGCGGACCAACGGGACGTACATTATGAAGATGGCCAACTACGGTAACGACCACCGCACTGTTCGGGTCACCATCCCGAACACGACAGCTGGACATATGGAGCTGCTGTCCGGTCCACGGGATGGAGTCAATGTCCCGCACAATTCCACTATCCAACCCGTGATACAGAATGTGACGGGTAGCAAAGACAGCTATACAATACAGATGCCGGCGTGGGGGGTCGCGGTGCTGGTTGTGCATTGATGAGCTGCTTACTATAACCAATGTTAGTACCGTTGTGCATAAACTAGCATACAATACTATTCGCATTTCTCTTCATCCGTCTCGAATACCGCATCTTAAAGCAGCCCCAAAACCACACCACAATTCCTCAAACTCCCCTCTCCGGAAAGGAAATAGATTAACTCAAACCTCAACCCCATAAACCCCCAAATCCTTGGCCATCCCCGGCAAAGCATAAACAGCACTCCTCTTCCCACCAAACACCTTCAACGCTCTCTCCCCCCGAAACTCCAACCCGATTTTCTCCAACACCCGTCGACTCCGGGCGTTATCCACATCACAGAACCCAAACACCCCGCCCACCCCCAATTCCGTGCAGGCATACTCCACCATCGCCCGCCCGGCTTCGGTCGCATACCCCCTCCCGCTCTCCTCGGGCAGCACGCTGAACCCGATGTCGGGGACACTGTATCCGTCGGGCGGGGTGCCTTGCATCAGGGAGATGGTGCCGACGGGGACGCTTTCGGCGAGCGGGGCGGTGGGGTGCGGTCGGCGGGAGAGGAGGAAGATCCCGCGCTGGTGGTTGGAGGTGGTGTAGATGCTTTGCAGGCGGTTGGTGAGGAAGGCTGTAGCGTCGTCGGGGGTTTTGAAGGGCGAGGGGCCGCAGGAGGTGGTGAAGTCTGGGCTCGTCCAGAGGTGGTGGAGGAAGGTGCTGTGCGTTGGGGTGGGGGAGAGGAGGGAGATGTGCAGGCGCGGGGTCGAGGTGAGGATTGGAGAGGTGGAGGTGGGGGTGGGGGTGGGCATTGTTTCAGCTGAGAGATTGGTGTTGGAATTGGAGTATGGCTTTTATTCTTCTAGGTTTATGTGGTTTGTTGAGATTATGACTCTGTGATATTTTTCGGGTGGGTGAGGGTTGTTGGTGTCTTAGAAGGATATTATCTTGCGAAGGTAAATGCAAAGGGCGGTAAATGCAGCCGAAATTGAGTCATTGCGCTTATCAGTGAGTCAAGCAATACACATACAATAACTAATCCATTACTATTGTCTTGACTTTAGTGGTCAGAGGCAGATAGGAGGGAGGCTAGCTAATATAGCGCCAGTCTTTCAATGCTCCGTTGCCGGAGATATCCGCTGCTAGCCCGACGAACATCCTGGTGTTCATTAGCCGTCACCGGTGCACTAAGAGCGACAATTGCCTCGTGCTCCTAGAAGCTGATACTTCAACATTTCTGAAAGATCATTAAATGGAAATGCGGCATCTCAAACCACGTCTAGTGCACTAATATCCTCAAGTTACTCCCTCACCGCGCAGAACCAAAGCATCCGCACATTCTCATCTGTAAACGACACGTTCCGCGTCTTCTCCCACTCCTCGCCCCAGTACAACTCCGCCTCCACCCGCCACCGCGTCCCAGTGACTTGCCCGACATCATACCAGAATCCTTTGATCGACTCCACGTTGTGTCGGTAGTGCATTGGGTCATTCTTGAACCCTTTCAATGCGTAGTGTCCTGCCAATCGCGTCCCCATCTGCCGCCCGGCAATGATCACCCCCGGTTTCTCCTTGCACAGCCGGACAAGTCGCGCAGCTACCTTGACCTGGGTCTCATAGTCCCATAGATGAAGGACCGAATTAGTTAGGACGACCTCGAGCTTCCCGTTCACCGTCTGCGCGAGCCTTCCCCGCGTAAACTCCTCGTCATCATCCGCGGTGAGATCGCCAGTGATAAACGTCGCATCCAGACGGTCGGCATCGCGAAAGAGTCGGTAACCCAGGTCGATGAAGATCTGCTCGAGGTCGCAGCCATAAAGCTGCTTGCCGGGGATGCCCTCGTTGGCGAGGAAGCGGATCTCTTGGCCGACGCAGCAACCCACGTCCAGGAATCCGGCGTCGGGGTTCGCACGGAGGTGGTCCATTACCCGGGGATAGAAGGGGAGTGTGGCGAGGTTGAAGGAGAGGAAGCGCATCTGGCCGATGCAAGGGTATTGGCAGACTTTGAAGGCTTCATCGCGCTGTGGTGGGTTAGTCGTGCGGTTGTTTCTCGTTCTTTGTCTTGGGGGCAGGGAGAGCTTACCACTGCTAATACATGGGGGATTACTTCGTCTGGTTTGAGATTGCTGTAGGTCTCGAGTAAGTGTTGCGCAGTGGGATTGATGGATGTGACCTCGGTTTCGAACCACGCGGGCTTGGCTGGGGGGTCCTCAGTTGCGGTCATGGTGATTCCGTCAGTTGCGGTCATGGTGATTCCGTCAGTTGCGGCCTGCGGCAAGGTGAAGATTATTCAAACCCAGTCGGACTGAGGCGCCTTTCTAAGCTTTTAAATTCCAGCCTTTGAACCGGGGTGAGACCACTTGGAGGGGGGAAAGTGGGCCATTGTCGCGGTGCGATAGCCCTAATGGCGGGTTTATCAACGCTAAAGCTACAGCACTAGCAGGGAAATCATTAACTGGCTATCCTGCCACGTCAGCTTTTAGTCTGAGAGTTACCTTGTCAAGGCCCTGTTCAGAGACGAGACAGACAACAAAAATGCCGGATCCCTCCGCGGTATTCTCATGTAAGCCCTCATCATCTCTTTCTTCACAATATTCACTCTTTTGGTCGTGGTTCAAAGAGAATACTCATTTCGAGGAGGAATACCTCTAAGAAAGAAGGCAATTGGTGCCTATATAATACTCGTAGTATTCATATCTAGACATCATCATAATCACCCTCATATCAACAAACCTAACTTGAAGATCCCGAAGTACCAACAGTAGCAATCATGGAGAGCAATATGCTGAAGGATTACGCCATGGAATACGTGGCCCGGATCCTCGACAATAGTACCATCCCCTACTGTCTAGTCGGGGAGTCGGTGCTTGAGCTCTACGGCCTACAGCACAAGCTAGGCTTATTTACAGGGTTCTCCATCCCCGCCGGATGGATGGAGCACGCCAAACATGCGTTGCAGCCGCTCGGGAATCTGGAGTGCCACGGCGACTGCGATGCCCGCAGGGGTTACAAGCCCATCTTCAAAGAGGATGTGCCCGCCATCGCACCCACCTGGCATTTCCACATGCTCCCGCCTCTCCTCGCGAGGGGTGAGCATGGCTACTGTCAGCGCCAGCCGTTCCTCTGGGGTTTCGTCGTGAATTTCTACCATCACTCGGATGTGCTCTGGTTCTTCCCCGAGCCGCCCCGCGGCAACCCCACGACCGCACCCCGTCCGGCCCTGGGAGATAATGTGCCCCCGGAGGGACTGGGCGTGCTGTCGGACTACTACATGCTATCCGATGATCTGCGCCTGTCGGCGTTCCGGCGCCACTCGCCCGAGCATTATCCCATCAAGATCCCCACCCCGCACCGCCTCCTGGAAACCACCATCTGCCAGATGTGCGTGCACCGGCAGAAGCGGGACGACGGGCTCGCGGAAATCTGCGCCGCCATCTTCCACCGCGTGACTTTGCCGCGCAGGATTAACCCCCAACTCCAGGTCGTGTTGCAGTGGCGCGACTTGTCCGACCCCTTCCGCGGCTTCGTGGAGAACCACTTCAAGGACCCTCGGGATCCGACCAAGTCGGACGATGGATGGGAGGAGCGCGTCCTCGCTTTCCTCTACACAAAGCCGGAGGCGCACTCTTTGCTATCCTCTAAGTGATGGTCCATCGTATGCAGTAGACAGTTCCTTACTCTAGTACACGAACTCAGTAAGTTAACGACAATTGCAATCGCAACTTATTTTCAGTCAGTCAATCACGAGGCTATGCGTAACCATACAATATCTCAGAAAAGGTAAGAACCCTAAGAGCTGTTCCCACGACGCTCCTTAAGCCTCCTCAACTATGCGCCTTGGAAACATACTCATCGTTGAGTTTCTTCTCCAGCGCCTGTTCTTCCGAAACAGCGCGTAATTCATCCAGCTCCACGAACCCCAGCGTCCGTAACCCGACCACCAGATACTTTTTCCAAAATGACACTTCGTCCTTCGTCTGCGGGCTAGATTATCACGTCAGAATCATAGCCAATCATATACTGAAAACAAGGTGAGCAAACTTACTCTCTCAAACATTTCGACCGCAGCGTCACCCACTCATTCAATTGCCTGATATACGCCATTGCCAATACAAACCCCAACGTTGCGCCCGGCACCTGGCTCTGATGCACACTAAACAACGCCGCCAATGGCACCGAGATCGCATACACCGTGCTATCCTTAGCTGTACCACGCAGGTACGGCGTACGGGAAAAGTAGAAGATTGCCAGCCGCGTCCAGATGAACCCTTCCAACGCGTATATGCTGAGTGTATGCAGACTCGGGATGCGGAATGCATATGCCGCTATGGTAGCCAGAGGCCGCAGGCACGCGGCGGCCTGGTAGGGCGGGCGGGTCGTGCGGGGATCGCCGCGGCGGAGCGTGCGCAGCAGCACGAAGCTCGTCCCCGACCAGATCAGGCTGCTCAGCACGTCGAGCGCGTCCGGGAGGATCGTTTGCGAGTGTGGGGTCTGTGCTTTCCCAAGCCAGTAGCGGAAGTACTCCAGGAGGCCGGTGGCGATGTGCAAGGACAGGCAGGTGGTGTTCTTGGCGAATTTGATGTGGTAGACTGGGGCGTTCCAGATGGTGTGGTAGAGGATCACGGCGGTGTAGACTACTATGCGGTTGAGGAGGGCGAGTGTCTCGGGGTCGTCGGGGAGTTTGAGGTGCAAGGGTAGAGGGTTGGGGATAGATAGCATCTTGATAAGGCTGGTGGTTGTGGTTCTGATGCGAATAAGTTGCAGCACAATGTGGTGATACAGTAATGCAGGTGTGGTCTGTCTTGTCTTCTTATGGTTTGTGAGTTATCGGCCACGTCGGTGTCTGTGTTCTATTGCACCATGCTTGGATTACCAGAAGTCATGCATGACGTGGATCCAGCGTCTGTATTTTACTGTCTGTGGCTCGGATGAAAACTAACTCGCCACCGCATGTCCGATCGGATACGTCCACGATGATGGAGAGCCTGTTGTCCCATGATGACAGTACCTTGAACCATGACCATGACTGTCTAGATTAACTTGCAGAGATAGCTGAACATTCTGATTTCAAGAACATTCTTATGCTGGAGGGATGACGTAACAATTGCTGGTGGTGCCTATTTCATAGCGCATGACTCCTATGCATTTAAAAAGAGCTGGAAGATCTCCGCAGATCATACATCCCTTGCGTCGATCATGCAGGATTCAGCCGTCTCTCTTCACCATTATTCGGCATACTAGAGTTATGCATGCCCATTGGCTAAGTCATTGTAGTATGAATAAAGCCACATTCCTGACGCCACAGATCTTGCAAGACTATCACCTACCAAATTGAGACTCTCATGCAGTTATGACCTCACTCAACTTGACATTCTTAACGGATGCGTGTTTCCTCTTCACGCAGTTGGCCTTATCAATTAGGCATGTTGGCCCTGACTCGTCGAAGGTATGTCGCGTAAATGATTGGCCTTGGATTTACCGGGATGCATCATGCAGCAGGCGACCATGGGATGCACACTTCTCCACTGCAGCTCTAAAACTGCCAGGAACTGATCGCTAAAACAGGTAGGACAAGCCTCTGAGGAGGTGGCACATGTGCCTGAGTCAAGCCTCGAATGCATACCTTATGTATCAACCAATCTAAGCGTGGCTCTTCTTCGCATTCCTCGGCTAGAATCCCATCAATAGGCCATGCAGGGTCGGTCTACGGGAATTATGATCGTTAATTAGGTTCTATGTTGAAGTAACCCTAAAAGTATATAATCTCTTCATGTGAAGACCTCTTCCAGACACGAGTGTGAGCGGTCTTTGAATTATAAAGTGTACCACGACTCGCTCGTGGTTTGATTCATCAAGTCCCCAGCAATCCGTGAGTTTGACCACAGCCTGGTAGCATCATTCCTAGAACAGAATCTAATAACGGAAGACGCTAACCTCGAAGCAGACCATGACTGAACATTTACCAACCCTTAGGGGCCTGAAGGAAGCAATTCCTGACTCATGTTTCGCCCCGTCCCTTTGGACCTCTCTCGGCTACCTGACCCGCGATATCCTCTATGCCGCAGCTCTCGCATACGCTACAACCTACATCCCGTTGTTGGAAAGTGGTTCTCTGCGGTTCCTCGCATGGCTTATCTATGGCCTTCTCCAAAGCTTCGTGGGCACCGGCCTATGGATTCTAGCCCACGAATGCGGCCACGGCGCCTTCTCCTCATATCCCCTGTTGAACGACATCATCGGCTGGGTTCTGCATTCCAGCCTGCTGGTGCCCTACTTCTCCTGGAAAATCACGCATGCGCGCCACCATCGGTACTCGGGACACATGGAGAAAGACACTGCGTTCGTTCCACCGACTCAAGCAGAATATGCAGCCAAACGCCGCAGGTGGATGGATGCCATGGAGGATCTTGTCGAAGACACCCCCCTCAGTACCCTGCTGCGATTTGCAGCTCACCAGCTGCTGGGGTGGCAGGCTTACCTTCTTTTCTACGCCACCGGGGCGAAAGCAGCGATTGCCCGTCCGAAGGCCCAGACTCGCACTCCCCTCCCCCTCTCACATCTCTCCCCTGACAGCCTACTGTTTCATCCCAAGCAGCGACCAGTTGTGCTACTCTCCGACCTCGGCCTCGCCCTCACCATCTCGGGTCTGGTGTATTTAGGCTCCATCCTCGGGCCCTCCCGCGTAATGCTCCTGTACTTTCTACCCTATTTCTGGGTCCATCACTGGATAGGTCAGCCTATCCGTCCTATCCCCAAGACATACACTATGCTAACAAGCGGCAGTGGCAATAACCTACCTCCACCACACCCACCCGCAGATCGCGCACTATTCCTCCGAGACCTGGTCCTTCACGCGGGGGGCGCTGGGCACCGTCGACCGCAGCTTCGGCTTCATCGGCCGGCATTTCTTCCATCACATCATCGATCACCATGTCATTCACCATCTGTTTCCCCGCATTCCGTTCTACCGGGCCGAGGAGGCTACCCTGGCGATCAAGCCGCTGCTGGGGGCGGAGTATCTCGAATTGCGTGAGGAGAATTTCTTGGCCACGCTTTGGCGGACGTTTCGGCGGTGTCAGTTTGTCATTGATGGGGATGACGTTGGGGGGAAGTCTGGTGTGTTTGAGTGGAATGTGGTTGTGGATGGGTGTGGAAATTGGGATATTGGGGTGAGTAAGGCTTGAGGCTTAGAGGGAGTATTAGTGGTGTGTGGTCTTGTATCCAAAGATATATTAGTGTATCCATTGAGGTTTACCTCTGTTATGAGAATCTAACAAAGCCGCAGGTACAGATTTCAGAGCAAATACTATTTTAAGAAAGAGACAATTGTCCTGATATCATGGAAAACCATGCACCACTGGTCAGAGCAGATACAAATTAACCAGCTTATTTTAGGTAGGACTACCATAGTCATGTCAGCTCACAGATTAAACCAGGACCTTCTTGCTCCCTTGGACATGAATTCCAGACCAGAAAGTGGCCAAATGCCTGTTTTGGGGTCAAATCAAATGGTCATGGCCGGATGGTTCGGAACCGAAACAGGGCAGAATCAAGCTCTTACCAGCTATCTTACCAAGACACACTCTGCAGCCTTGCAGATATAAAGTCTTCCGGATGGTGAGATAACCTTGCTTTCCAAGCACCAAGTATACCTTTGATCTTCCCTTCCTGACAATTCTTTGCAGGTATGGGCGCTGGTTCGTTCTTGGACGAGTATATTCTCGGTCGCGATATCCCAGAAGCAGTCAGGTGATATTTCAACTCGAAGATTTTCGCTGCGAAACTCTCCCCGCTGATGGCTGTGTGCCAGGCTAAATGATCAACAGCTCCTGTGGAGACTCCAGACAGGACACATCCTGAGTCCGCTGATACCTCGGCGACCGGGGATGCGCATTGCCGACCTTGGGACTGGAACAGGGCACGTTGACCCTCTACCCCTCAGAGCCATTCCAGATGTATCTAACTGACTTGAGGTGGTAGCATCTGGTGAATAGACCTCAGTTACGAGCTGGATAAGGCTGAGATTTGTGGCTATGATATCTCGGATCTCTCGTACCCGCCCTCAGCCACACTCCCGAGAAATGTCAAGCTGGGCAAGTTGGATGCACTATCCGATCTACCGGAGGAGTACCGGGGTGCATTCGACGTCGTGCATTTGCGGCTGTGGATCTGCGTGATTCGAGACAACTGCCCGGATAAGTTGATTGAGGTCGCTACGGCTATGCTAAGTGAGTTGATCTTCTCATGCATCAGGTCTGGGCTGATCGAGTTGCTAGAGCCGGGCGGCTACATCCAGTGGGAGGAGATCGGACGAGATACCAGCTTGGTGACATCCAGTCCCATGCAGCGCTTGGAGAACCTCTATGGCAGACAGCTGGAGAGTGAGAGAATCGATCCAAGGTATGTACTTTCTCTGCAAGACTCAAGCTAGCTATCAAGCTAATACGGAGTGCCAGCTGGGTGGGTCACTTGCCTGGCATCTTCAGGGACAAGGGTTTTGAAATACTACAAGGTGATCTTGGCCTGTGGGACAACACGGTGCGCGGGTTGTATTATGCAAATTATCTTGTTGTCGTGATGAGCGTCATGCGGTCGAATTATGCGAACAGCAAGGAAAAATCAGCCGATCTGGATGCGGTGGCGAGGGAGCTGTTTGAACAGCGTGATGTTGACCATGGGCTTGCTTGGAGACCGATAGAGTTGGTTGCCCAAAAGGCCAAAAGAGCCTAGAGGTCCTTTGCACCGAGCTTGAAGCTTGGATAACTTAATTTTTGTTGTCGGTGCTACCTACAGTCGTAGCAAATGGAAGCGCGTTTGTTTATTGGCATCGGATATTTCTTACTGTATAGATGGCTATCATGTGACGGACATGTGACGGACATGTGACTGACCCCTCTTTCTCCAATTGCTTCCCCTCACTCACTCATCCCGTCCTTCACCATCCACACTCACACTCTTTCTTCCACTTGCACCACCTATATTCACTGTGTCACTCTCTACAATTGTATCCGTCGTTCATCCTCACCCACAGTCCCATGGCCTCTCGCCCCGTCATCGCCATTGCCGGCTTGGCCTGCGAAACCTCCGCCTTCACCCCCGCACGCACCCACGCGGCCGCCTTCCACCCACGCCGCGGCCACGAAATCCTCGACGAATACCCCTTCCTGCGCCCCAACACTCCCCTCGGCGACGCAGCATCCTGGCATGGCGCATTGATCGGTCACGCACTGCCCGGGGGAGTCGTCGTCCGTGCCGACTTCGAAGCCCTAGCAATCGAGATCGTCTCCCGACTCACCCAAATTGCAGCCTCGACACCGATCGACGGACTATGGTTTGACATCCACGGTGCTATGGTAGTGGAGGGACTAGACGACGCGGAGTTCGAGCTCCTCGGTCGGATCCGCAGGGTCGTCGGGCCGCAGTGCGTCGTCTCCGCGTCGATGGATCTCCACGGAAACGTGTCGCGCAATCTGGTCCACCAGACCGATCTGATCACCTGTTATCGCATGGCACCGCACGAGGATGAGACGGAGACTAAGGAACGCGCGTGTCGGAACTTGGTGGATCTGCTGCTTCGTCGGGATTGCCCACCCGGTGCGACCGTGCGCCCGCGCCCGCTCAAAGCATGGATCCCCCTGCCCATCTTGCTGCCGGGGGAGCAGACTTCCACCCGTGTGGAGCCGGCCAAAGGGTTGTATGCGCTTGTGCCTGAGGTCCAGGCGGGGGACGGGGTGATCGACGCGGCGATCTGGGTGGGCTACGCGTGGGCGGACGAGCCGCGCAACCGCGCGGCGGTCGTCGTGACGGGGTGGGAGGAGGGGGCGGTGGTGGCGGGGGCGCAGCGGCTGGCCGAGTCGTTCTGGGATGCACATGCGGAGTTCCACTTCGTTGGGCCCACGGGGTCGTTTGCCGAGTGCATCGATGTGGCGCTGGCGTCTGCGCCCGAGGCGCGGCCGTTCTTTATCTCGGACTCCGGCGACAACCCTACCGCTGGTGGGTCGGGTGATGTCACCTGGGGGCTGGCTCGATTGTTGGAGAGACCAGAGTTCCAGGGGCCCGATGGACCGCTGGTGATCTATGCCAGCTTGCCGGGGCCGCAGGCCGTGCGGACCATGGTGGATGCAGGGGTGGGTGCCACGGTGACGGTCACGGCGGGGGCGGAGGTGGATGCCGTCCATGCAGGGCCGATCACCTTGACCGGGCGCGTGCATGCGATCAAGCATGGTGACAAGGATGCCCGGGTCGAGGCGGTGTTGCAGGTCGGCTCGGTGTTTGCGATCCTGACGCAGCTCCGCAAGCCTTATCATCATGAACGGGATTTTACTGATCTGCAGCTGACCCCTCGGATGGCCGATCTGGTGATTGTTAAAATCGGATACTTGGAGCCAGAGTTGTTTGAGATGGCTGCCGACTGGATGCTGGCGCTGACTCCAGGGGGTGTCGATCAAGACCTCGTCCGTTTGGGACACCGCCGCATTCGTCGTCCTATGTGGCCTTTTGACACTGTCTTCCCTTCTCCTCCCGATCTTCGTGCGCGACTTATTCCTGCTTCGGATCAGACGCTGTCAGCGCCGGATGAATAGTTGATTCAGGCACAGTACAATTGGCATACGTGACTAGCCCGAGTCTCGGTGCAATTTTCCTATTCATCAGCGAAAGCGTCTACATTATTCTACGCAGATGACGTCGTAGATCGAACCAATCATTACATCATTTTGGAACAAGACAAGGTATCTAAACAGTACAATACACGACACGAGATCAGACATCAAAACTTCTACTCCTTGTTGGCAGCGCCAGTGAAGGGGCAACCAGAGGGTACCTCCGCATCATCCGCCTTGATCTGCTCGCGACCGCGGGAGATCTGGCGGAACATGTCGAGCGGGTCGAACCAAACGTTAATCTGCTCTAACTGGAGGGCCTTGTTGACCTTGGCCACGATGATCCCCTGGATGTCGATTGGGCCGCCGTGCGCCTCAATCCGGACCTTCTCTCCCTTGCTAAAATCCGCCCATGTTAGTCACTTTCCAGGTAAGATTTGCAGAGGCTGACTCACTCGTTGAACCCGACATAGTCGCGGGCCATCTCGCCCCAGTGTCTCCATTTGAAGACCACAGTGGGCGGGCCGCTGTACACCTCGGTCACCTCCCAGGCGAAGGTGGGCATCATGCGCTTGAAGCTCTTGTGGCTCATCTCGAAGTCGTTGTGGGCCGGGTCGTAGTACGCGCTCGGGGTGAGTAGGGCGTTGTAGGTCCCCACCTTGAGCATGTACTCGCCGGACAGTGGGGGACCGCCGTTGAGCGTGACGTGGTACTTTTCGTGGTCGATCGTGCGCCAGTCCGCCAGCGAGGTCTTAAAGGAGGCCTCGATTTCCCAGTTCTTGACGAGGTTCTCGACCAGGTTGGGCAGACTGCCGGGCTCGTGGGATTGTTTCTTGGCTGCGAGCGAAGAGTCAGAAATGTCAGCGACGTCGCCCTCAAGGGAACTTGGGACTGGAGGATGGATGGGTGGGCAACATACTCCGCTCGTACACAGCACGGGTGTTGGAATAATCCGGGGGAGCGCCATATCTCCAAGCAGCGTCCTTGTCCTTCAGGACGGCGTTGGGGTCAAGAACATAATCGGGAAGTGCCTCTGCGTCGCCCATTGTGAAGATCTGTGAGAGCTAAGGTTTGGAAGTGTGGACCTTTTTCCAACGGCGGTGCAGGGGCAGGTGCGCCGTTATGTATGTTTTTTTGTGGTGCACCGGACAAGGTTACACTGCCTCTGCCCCCTCTCAGGGGGGAACGTGGCCTTTTGCCAATTGGGCCCATGTGATAGACTACATGACAGGGTTGAAGTAAGCACTTGAGGCCGTAGCAGACGATTAGTGGTATCAACCCTGGTCGGCGAGGCCGGGTGGGGAGTATGGGTTTGCCTCCAACGCTCTTAGCGTGCGATTGGACTCTCCGCGGGGATTGTTTGCATTCGCCACGCCGGCCGTCAGAATTAATTGACACGGATTGAACGAGTCAGTCTGCAAGATTGATTCCACACCTTCACTCCGAACAACGGCTCATGCAGCCTGGGTGAAGACCGCAGGGACCAGCATACAACATGACAGATCACAGATCTACACTCCACCATACAGTTGACGGGGCCAGATGCAGTGAGTGCATTGACAGCCTTCCCGAAGCGCACAGCAAATAAAATGACATCTCCGAAAACAAGGCCACCCCTGCATCTGACCACGCAAACCAGACCAGTCGCATTTGGGCCGATAGCAACTCACCCAGGAACCGTCTTCCGCGCGATCCTGGCTCGATTGCGTGGTGTCCAATGGGGGTGGTTGCTTACTCCAGACACAATCAGAGAGATTGGCCGGAACGCAGAGCTAAATTCGCTAGGCGAGACTAGGCCGGGGAGAATAGATTGAGTAGGCGTCGAGCCGAGGGAGAAATCGAATCGTCGAAGCTGCCGGGCCAGAAGCTGGTCAGGGTGGCTGCTGACTGCCACCGGCCATCCCCAAAACACGCCGCCGGTTCTCCCGCCGGGTTATTCCCCGGAGACCGTGATTGGTGCACTGACACAGATCGAGATCGCGGGTGGAGTCGTGGTCTGCGCCGATTGGCTGGAGCCGCAATCTGATCGATATTGGGGATAATTTAACCGGAGATAATCCCTTTGTGTGTTGGGGCGTTGAGGGGGTGGTGTCTCAGGGGCAAATGAAGAGACAAGTGATATGCATAGCATTGCAGTGGTGAGTCGACTGATATCCATCCAATACATGATGGGTAAATAATGCTTGGACACGAGGAACGTGATTAGTAATCCACAATAACGTCAACTAGTCACCCAGGGTTTCGGCCGCGAGGCCCGAGTGTCCCCCGGATGTCGGCGGGTTTACGAGTCAGTTGGACCAACTCGACTAATCAATTGCTGGGCGCGATTTTGTGATCAATGTAATCTTCACGATGTCTCCAGCTATAGCAGAGTTTTATTAAACCTTTACAACCACCCTGCGACTATTGAGAGAGGCCACCTGCGTCGACTTCTTGCGGTAGATGACGGCAAAATACGAAGTCGATGGATCAATGTTGACCTGTATCTGCTCCTGTGTGAACTGAAGGTGTGTCGTGTTCGGTTCGACGTTGCAATTGACTCGCCTCACTATGCTTGCAAGAATATACATTGTCTTCTGATCCGTCTTATCAGTAAAATAAGGCCTGATCCTTCAGCCCCGTTCATGATGTCCATGATTTGTGACTACAACCTCGAATGAGAACTAATGATCCACAACACCTGACTTGAAAGAGATCAATGCATAGGAAGAATGCGCTTTGCGCTACCCGAGAAAAGATGTGAGATCCTGCGATTGAATCCATTGACACTCTGGTCGTACCCTCTGAGTTATGTTCGCGTGGTCAAATATCTACGGGCAGTGCCGATTAATGGACTAACTTGGATAGGCTAATCCACACGCCGGGTACTAGCATAACGCAGTAATGGCGTGTGAGAGTCTGGTGATCTGTAGTTAAGATTCCCAAGCTGAACAAAGCCGGTGGTAACTCAACCTCCTCCGTACTGTATCCGTCTACAGAGGGCGTCTTGGACCTAAGCAAGACTATATCCAAACCTATCCTTCCCGAAATTTTATCGCATAATAAAGTCCGACATTCTCCAACTCCTCTAAGTGAAATCTAATGACACTTTTTCATCTCCCTAACATCTTTTCCAACATCCTCAGCGAAAGCACCAGCCACTCTAGCACCCCCACACCTCCCATAAACCTCGACGGAGCCCCCCTCACTCCCACCTTGCCATCAACTCATTCGCCTCAATCTCACGGTCAAACCCTACCAAATGCGTCGAATGACACCACGGCTTGACGGCCTCCTCCTTCCGAATCACCCCGGCAAAGAAACTGCACCACTTCAACCGGGGATACGCCTCGTTGATCTGCGCCCGTGTGGCCGCATGCACCAACCCCTCAAACCCGGACACATGGGGATGATACCCCGTGTTATCGTAGGTCGTCGCCAGCTGGATCAGCTGCCCGATGAAGGTGATCGTGCCGTCGACGCCCATGTCCTCGTGGCGGATGATGGCCTCCGCGGCGGCCTCGGCCTGGTCGGCGGTCGCGCCGAAGTTCTGCAAGACGGTAAGAGCTTTGATGCCGCCGTAGATGTCGAAGGACATGCGCGTCGCGGTGAGGTTCTCTGTTGCGGTGCCCAGGTCGTGCAGCAGGCAGGTCAGGGCCCAGGTTACAGGGTTCAGGGTCGCGGCGTGCGAGGGGAATTGCTGGTGGGTGATTACCATTCCTGTCGTCGCAGGGACGTAAGCTTTATGTGCTGGATTGTGGGGGAGTGTTTATGGAGTGTGGAAGCCGGGCTTACCGTAGTAGTAGACTCGCATGGAGTGGTTGAAGGTCTCCGGGTGCAGGACCGCCCGCGCGTACTCCATTGTCTTTGCGACGACGGGGTCGTCGGCGGGGAATTTCATCGTGTCTAGTGGGATGGGATCGACTTTTTGGAGGAAGGATTGGTCTTTGAAGATCGCGCCGGCGTCGGCTGGGGTGCTGGTCCAGCCGTTGGCTTTGACTTCGTCGTGGTGGCACATTTTGCAGACTGAAGTTGGGTAGCTTGACGTAGAGATAGTTTAGTTTGAAGATTGATAGGGTTGAGGATATCTGTAAACTTCTGCGTCCGTCTGCTGATATTTATATGCACAGAGAATGGCGGTTGTCTTGGGTTTATTATCAGGATGGTGATATTGGCAACGGATTTTCCCAATTAGGAAGTCTTTTGGAGTGGGGCCAGATATTTGTCATCGCTGGAACTCTGCATCATATCGCGCATAAAATCTGGAGAAATAAGGGTGTAAGGAACAACGGTTGCCTTCATTACTCATCTGCCTTCCTTTGCGGGGAGTATTTTGGAGTGGAGTGCTGGTGCCATCCATGGATCGTGTTCCGCTCTCTCCGAGCCCAGTCCACAGCCTTTTCTCCACGGAAAATAACTTCCTTTCATAGTTCTAGCTGTAGGTTGGGGAATGCGTTCAAGTCGTCACCACAATGGGATGCTTATCAAGATGGTCTTTAAACCCCCTCACGTTGCTCCTCGAGATGAAATTTTGCGACACCTTCACCTCGAATTCTTTCGCACACACCTTCGATCGACCACATCGGACATGTGTGAACCCCAAAAACGGGATAAGGAACCTTTCAGTCCGGACATCGTGGCTGGTTCGCGTTCATCACACCTAGCAAACCCAGTAAGCCTTTGAACATGCTTGTGCAACGACCTCGCTATAACGTTGAATTGCAGGGTCCGTTAGGATTCGGTGCCTTTGCAACAACCCTCATGACCCTATCATTCTCTATGATGGGCTTTCGCTCCGTATCCAACCAGACCGTCTTCATCGCCAATCTCTGCTTCCTGGCCGGCATCGGACTCCTGATCTCCGCCCAGTGGGAGATGATGAAGGGGAACACATTTGCCTACACAGTTCTTGGAGCTTTCGGTAAGTGCCCCACATACTATGACTTAGAGATTGCTGATTTGGCTTGAAGCATTCTATTATGGCGGATATGGAGTGTTACTTATGCCACCATTGGGTATCGTCGACTCTTATGGAGGTAAGACTACCGAGTATTACAATGCGTTCGGACTGTATCTGGCAGGTATGTTTGCGTCTCAGGTATGGGTTGAGAGGCCCAGTGTATCAAAGCGATGGAATATGTTCTCACTAATTACAAAAATAGTATGGTCAATCCTAAATCTCTTTTTCTTCGTCGCATCCTTGCCCACGTCAGTCAGGTCCCCTCTATCTTGTGTATACAGCAAAGCAGGGGGATCAACCTCGTTACTAATGCTTCCGATAGAAACCTCATCAACATCATCATCTATGGTGCCTTAGAGTTGAGCTACATCTTCAACTGCACGGCGAACTGCATGATGGCGGATGGTCGTTCTGCACTCGGGACCACATTCACCACCATCGCGGGGGCGTTTGGCATGCTCTCCGCGCTGGCGGGATTCTATATGCTGGGCCATGATCTCTGCCAGGATGCACTGCCATTTGAGATCCCACTTTTTCCGACTTCTCGTCTATTCTTGAATGCGCATGGCAGGGAGCGGAGACGTTCCTAAATAAGCCTGTGCTAGACATTTACATCCATTTCATACCAATTGCTCCACAAAGGTCGCGGCTTTTTGTCTTGTTTTCTCGATCGTCTTGTTGTGTTAATTATCAAGTTACAGTCTCTTCCTAAATTTCTAGATAATGTACACTACCACAGACTATTCTCTATCATTCCCATCTCAGCCATACCTTATCACTCAACCTCTCAAACACCACCCCCCGCCCCCCAACTACCACACAGCTTCCTAAACCACGCAGTCCAACCACACCCTTTCCACACCAAGCATCCACCAAACCTCCCTAGAAGAAATTAAACATCTCATACCCCGACACCCCCTCAAACTGCACCCCACCAACCGACCCATTCACGGTCCCGATCCACCGTCCATACCCCGGCTTGGCCAACGTGGCCAGATTCGCCGCGAGCTCCGCCTCCAGCACGCCACCGCGCTCCTCCCCGAGATCGACCTCGATCCGGAACCCCTGGGGCAGCGCATCGTCCCCCTGCGGCGGGAAGCTCACGTTCGCTCCCGTCGGACGCACCTTCATCGCGCCGCACGCGGCGTGCACGATCTGGCCCTGGTAGGCCACGTAGCCGCTCGCGTACTCGGTCTGGTTCGGGTCCAGCGCGTCCAGCCAGACCAGGGAGTACGGGCCCATGCGCGCGTGACCCCAGTACCAGCTTCCGACTGCCGTGGTGAAGGGGGTGACGCCCCAGTTCTAGGATCACAATATATTAGGGAGGTCTTGGGGCGATACTTGAGAGAAATTAGGGAGCGCAAGGGAGACGCACCTTATCGTGATATCCAGTTCCGATGAAGCTCAACGGCGAGCCCTGCACCGTCATGTTGACCGTCACGTCGGCGTCGGGGACGGAGTTGGCCCAGCCTACTCCCGGGAGAACCTCTAGGGGCTGGTTGGCGCGCTTAGGGCTGCAGGGGTAGTGCGGGGGCGCCACCTGTATTCACCGTCGGGGCACATTAGCATTTGACTCCAGAGCTAATGGGTGATAGATGGACGGCTGGGCTAGGGACCACTGACTGAGTGCATGGAGAACGTTCCCTCGAAGCCCAGGTGGCTCGCCTCCAGTGTGACGAAGTAATCAGACAAGTCCGGGCTGCCGGCCCAGGAGGCCCCCGTGCCGGGCCAGCGTCCGCTCGACCCGTCGCCCATGGTAGCCACGAGGGCCGCTTCGTCGGCGAACAGGAAATCGGCGAAGGTGGTCCCGTTGGCGAAGGTGCCGGAGATCTGCACGAAGTCCACGTTGGTGAAGTTCTCCGTCACGCTGAAGCCGGACCGGTTCGCCTCGAGAAAGAAGACCACGGCCAGCGAGGAGACCCCGTCGCTGCCGATCGCGTCGAAGTACCACCAGTCGTAGGTGGTGGCGTTTACGGTTTGGACTTTGGGGCTGTCGAAGGCGTTATCGCAGGAGGTGAAGCGGCCGTTGGCTGGGCCGGCTTGCGCGGTGGTTGGGAAGGTTTGGATGCCTGGGAGGCGCGGGCAGACCTGGGTCGACAGCGCCGGTCCCAGGAGGAGAGGGAGGGTGAGGAGGTATCTGGTTGATGAGACCATGTTTTCAGAACTCTGCTTAGTGTTTTGAGAGACTGTTGCTTCTTTGGAGAGAGCTGGTGGGTGAGGACTGGTGCAGCTATTTATCTTCTGCCTGCGTTAAGGTCGAGCTCTCGCTTATGGGTCTACCCTGTCGGCACCCGCCAATTCCTATGATGATCTGCATCAGAACGCTCTGGATCTGAAGTCGGCTGGTGCCTAGTTCATGGAATTGCCTGTTTTTCAGTGCATAGGCCTATTCTGGTATATGCCTTCTATCGATAATCCTACTCCATATTGGGAAATTGAGTATACACAAGCCCAAAAGTAGTGACTGCACGAATTAATGCACTGTACAACTCTATCAGCGGAAGTATACGTCATGTTCCATGGCGCCCTTCTTCAGCCTCATTACCATTATAAGTCGTTTTCAGAATATTGGATTTATCTCAGGTATGGCTCACAGCTGCGGTAATTGCCGATAAAGTTGCTTTATGAACTATGCACTGATTATGCCCTTGTGGTTCGGATTGCGCAGCTGCCCGCCTCTCAAGCACTGCATCCATAGTGGTTCCGGAATTCCGGGCAGGAAGTAGGGTTCCAAGTTCGGATGAGCGGCTGCCCCCACTTGCGACTCGCAGTTTCGACGTCGCAGACCCACATTTTCATCTCTTGCCACATCCGGGTCAGCATCTATGTGCTGCATATTCGACTTATTATCGACTTAAAAGATGGCGCTGGCGCCTAAGTAATCTCAGAGTCCTTCTGCATTGGGATTTGTTTGCTTGTTCTTCATTACTCAATTACACTAGACCACCATGACGTCTCGCTCATTGCTCATAACCGGGGTCTCTGGGTACATGTAAGTCATACCTTGCCGGACAATCAAGAAAGTATCCGAATCTCAACTGCCACAGTGGCGGGACAATTCTCTCCTCCATCCTTAAAGCTCAAGAGCAATGGAGCAAACAGCTGGAAATCGCTGCACTGGTGCGAAGCGAGGCCCAAGCCAGCACGGTCCAGAAGCTGGGCGTCAAGCCGGTGATGTTCTCCAGCTTCGATGAGACAGATTTGTTGGAGAAGATCGCGCAGGACTTTGACGGTGAGCTCATCCAGTTTTGACATACTCTGTAACTTTTAACCTTGAAGAAAACTCACACCTCCGCTCACAGTTGTCGTCCACGCCGGCGCAGGCTGGCACACCCCGTCCGCCAAAGCCCTAATCACCGGCCAAGGCACCCGAAAGACCAACACCAACCGTCCAGTCCACTACATCCAGATCTCAGGCACTTCCAACCTGAGCGACCGACCTCACACGAACGGCTACACGGACACCCACCGCTTCTCTGACGAGGAAGACATCTACTCCTTCGAGAAATACCGCGAGTCACGCGAGGCCTACCACCAACGTTCCACCGACATCGCCGTCATCGAGACCGGCGAGGCGGTCGGTGTGACCACGTACATCATCATGGCGCCGACCATCTACGGCCAGGGCACCGGGCCGTTCAACCGCTACTCCATCCAGCTTCCAGCCATGATTGCCGACGCCATCGGCTCTGGTGCTGTGAGCGTCGTGGAGCAGGGAAACACCATCTGGAGCCATGTCCACGTTCAAGACGTGGCCGGCTTGCATGTGACCTTGCTGCAGAAGATCTGCACGGAGGTTGAGATCCCGTCCGGACGGAGGGGAACCTACTTCTGCGAGACGGGCGAGCATACGCACCGGGAGTTCTCGGAGCGGTTGGCGAAGGCAGCTCATGAGCTGGGGGTGTTGCCAACGGCTGAGGTCAAGGAGATTACTCTAGCGCAGGCCGGGGAGAAGTTGGCTCTGGGCAGTGTCTCGCGGGCGGAGCTGTCTTTTGCTGCGAAGTATGCTGCCCACCCTTTTGATAGCCTCCATGATCTGGTATAACATGTGCTGACTCGTGATTTCTATCAAATTTAGTTCCCGAACCAAGGCAGTCCTAGGTCGTAAACTGGGTTGGATTCCGTTACATGGCGAGGAGTGGGAGACTACCTTCCGTACGGAGGTTGAGGCATTCATCAAGAATCCGCCACCTGCACGGGAGATTCCCAAGTTCCTCAAGAAATGAGCTAGAGAGCAAGTCAGTCAGCCGTATTTGATGTGCACATTGTCTGCACACACCTACATTGCAGGTCGAATTTGCAGTTGCAACAATTATTATTGACCAGTCTCCAACTCCTACTACGGCAGTTGGCGCACTGTACATAATCTTAAGAGCGTAGATCTTCCATCCTACGTCAGAATTTCTCTTCTCTCAGGTTGAGTCATGACAGGTACTAGTCATCTATTTGTGTCTTTCTATGCAGCCTGGATCGCAAAGTTGCACAATAGAACTTTATGCACATAGTGTCGCATTAGGCGTGTATATTCCCTCACGTGACGTTTTATGCAGTCATCGATCGCGGTACGCCGCGGCCAAGAACTTAGCCACCCCGGATCCCGGATATCCTTTGCGATATTCTTCGCATGCTACTGCATCAATCCGTATCAGATTCAGAGGTTCGAACTGCAGATATATGTAACAACTCGTCGGGGTGGTCGCAAATCGCTGGATCACTTCTCAACACCAAAGAGACCTAGCCGGTAGTAACGTCACAGGTCTCCCCCTGGGCCCTTCAATTTATTCTTCGCTCTAAACCCCACTAGAGACCATCACACAATGAGCACCGCCGCAAAGGAGCGAAAGCGAGCAGCAGACCGCGAAGCCCAGCGCCACAATCGCGCTCGAACCAAGGCCTATATCGCCTACCTAGAAAAGACCCTCCAAGATCTATCCAGCCCCAGCGGGGAAGGGCAAAACACCCTCGGCCACCAGATCGCCCAGCAGCAAGAGAAGATCAACCACCTCCAGGAAACCCTGCGCAAGATCGCCAGTCTCGCCCAGGACGCCGCGAATCCACTTTCTACTTCATCTTCAGCTACTTCGAATCCAGCCGGGCCACCTTCCGGCCCACCTCAGCCTCTAGCTGAGGAGGAACCCCTTCCCACCGGCGCATGCAACGTCCTTCCCGCGGCCACTGGCTTCTTCGGCTTAGATCTGATATGCTCTGACCGGGAGCGGAACTATCTCGCGGTGCTGGGCAGCGCCGTGACGCTGGTGCAGTACTGTTCCCCTGGTCTGTCGGAGAACCCGAGGTCAGGATCAGCAAACGACGACGATTTCTGCATTCGCGCCGTCGTCGACGGCTGGAAGGTCGCCACGACGCGAACCGAGGCCGATGTGGTCTGGAGTCTGCTGCAGGCGATCGACGAGGGCCTGTTCTACCGGACTGATTCCGTGACGCGGATTGCGCTGCTGCGGATCATGAGACCCATGCTGTTGGTTCGCTTCCATTGCCTCCCTGGTTTCTATTCGCTGGCTTACGCGCCTCAAGCAGAGGATAGGCATTGTCCACGAAGCTTCATCGCTTCCAGGGTATATGCTTGCTACGTAAGTGCGACTCTTGGCTAAAGAGGGTGCTATCAAGCCTGGTTTACTGAAAGTCCTCCAGCCCCGTGCAAACTAGTGTTGCGCATCAGCCGTTCCTCGACTTCTTTCCGTGGTAAGCAGCGCGATCTACACCGACTTCTGATGTCAATCCTGATTTCCCGATAGGCCACAGTTCCGAGATACCTGGATCCTGAAAGGTATGGAATACGCGGACGAGAACTGCGCCGCGTCGTTCGGCACCCGGATCCGCTTCGCGTGGCCCTACGAGCTCCGCGATGTGTACAAGAGAAACGTCCTGAGCGAGACGGTGTCCTTCTCCGCGTAATTTGAGAGCCGGTACCAAGATCTGAGCAGCTGGAAGCTTGATTCGGAAGGGGACTGGCTACAGTGGTCGTCGGAGGGGTGTCCAGTCCTGCCGGAGGGGCTGCCATCGCTTTCGCTTTCGGGGGATGCGTATGATGAAATCTGAAGATTGGCAAGCTTGCGAGAACAATCGCACCCAATCGCCATATCTGTCCGACTATCAAGCAGGTTCCATATATCTGAATGTGGTCTCCCCGCACGACTGGCCAAGATGTGCCCTTCGGCCCGCCTCTTGATCTCGAATTCTCTGGGATCCCCATGCGCCGCAGCCCCTCCGAGAGATTCGTTTGCGGGGGGGGTTGCATTCAGAGAATAAATTTCAGTCCAGTGCCGCCCAAGCACTGTGGTTATCATCCATAGGTGCAGACAACCCTCTTTCTTGACCCGTTATCAGAATTCGACCTCGCATTTCTGGTTAGATCTCACCTCTCAGGGAAAGGAGGAACGGTGAATGAGAATACAGGGTGACGGCGGCCTGCGGCCTTGATCCCTGAGGTTGCTCGCTCACCACCCACCTCGGGGGCCTTAGCTACTTCTCCCAGAGAGCCTGACGTAGTCAGAATCCAAGCATCTTCCATCTCTCAGGAGTGTCATCACAAGGGAGAAAAAAGAGAAAGCCGAGAGATGAACTATCTACGCTGGGACACTAACCTTCTTAGATTTCAATCGCGCTTGCCGATGAGGTGGTAAAGGCGGCATTACTCGCAGCCCGCAGCGGCCGGGTACCGATGATAGGAGCTCTCGGCCCTCCTCCATGGCAATATCGCTTGATCAATATTTGTAGTTAGAGCTAGATAAAACGTTTCCGAAGATAGGAAGTGGTTGGTGAAGAATGCTATCTTGACTGTCAATCTTAATGTGCAGGTATCGCCCGAAAAGTCTAGGGCGGCCAGGCACCACATCTGCGGCATCAACAACTTTCCGATCAGGACCAGGGCTCGATCGGCATGTCCCGGAAGGAACCAGGGTTAGCGATGTCATTCAAAAGAAAATGTTAATTGGGAAATGAAAAAGACTTGGTTATATCGCCACAGACCTTCGAACATCATGAGTGATGTCCGCCGGAACAGATAAAGAAAGAGACATAAAAAGAAGCGTCCAGGGAGAGGATCGAACTCTCAACCTCACGATTAACAGTCGTACGCGCTAACCAATTGCGCCACCCAGACCACTGGTTGTGTTATTCGTTGCCCTTGCAAAATATATCATTATAATGTACCGCTGACGCCTGGGCGCTACTACCATATCATCATTTTCCCTCATTGTAGACACAGCACGCGCTCGGATATGTATTTCTGGAAGAGCCGACCGGGAAAATACAATTAGCTAGGCCTACTACACCTCTCAGGAGCGAAAGTTACCAGGGTGGGCGGTGAGTCGATTGATATACCATCTCTACGTACTTTGTCGTTGGTGGACTCCGGAATATTTTTATTCTCGAGAGTCTGGCATCCGGAGTAGAGACGATAATGTCCCACTGTGTGAGGATCTGATACAGGACCGGCAGACTACAGTCACACTAGCGCCTTGATCTGATGAAGCTGTGTCTTTCCCTCTCAGCTGCCTTTCCTAACTGGCAATCTTACCAGGACGAAGCACTGGTTAATCACCACGCAACTGGCGATAGCTCACGGGCAATTCCTAGGAGCAAATGGTGACATACACATAAGTATCCCGTGTTCAATGTAATTGATGATGGCAGAGCCACTCAATCCAAAGACAAGGCAGAAACTGATCACGACAATGGTCGAAGACCACAGCTTATGGAGGTTCCAGCAGCGTGGCACGCAATTCGGTAGTAGAGGACATATCCTGCCCTTCCCGACTCATTTAATGATCTCGAGGGAAGTCTCGCATGGCCACCACCATACTATCCTGTACACAATCGGAAAGGGAATACCCGCAGTGTTACCCTCGAGACTTCCCAAGTGCGCCGTAGGACTTTCGCCAGAGCAATACTCATCCAAACATCACGCAAATGATTCATGGTAGAGTCGTGACCAAAGAACTGAAAATTACAACGACATAACGCGGGCTTGTTCTTTGCAACAGTTGCACGCAACCTTGCAGGTGCATCGCGCGTCTCTCGCCCGAAGAATGCAGCACGCACACGGGCCGATCACTGCGAGGTGTCATGCTACGCTGATCCACTGCAGTGGATCGCATGCGATATGCGAGGTTAATGCTTCTGACGCTTCGAAGCTGTTACCGATTAACGACACGCAGTACTGTACTCCGTAGCAGCGTGCGTAGCTTTGACCCCGACAGTGACGAAGCTACTCGAGAAGTTCAGCACAGCTCGACCCCTCATCGCTCCGATGAGCGATTTCCGACCGGTCACCCTGACGACGGCTAGTGAGGGGCAGGCAGCCCCAGCGGGGCAGTCGGACCCTCTGTAGCTCGATAGTCGATGCGTTAGTCGGTCGATAAATCGGGAGGATCCATTTTTGGGGCTTGACCGCTTCAAAGTGGCCACGTTGAGGTTGGATGCCGCGGTTGAGACGTCTGCCTCGAGGATTGAGGGGTGATCGTCGGGAATGGGCTGATAGGTCGATACACCGCTATCTCTGTCACAGAGGGAGGAGGAAGAACTAAGAAGCCTTCACTGCGTCCAGTACCCTCCGTAGACAGCAAGACTAAGCTGTGCCGTGTTATGGAGTGTCAGGACTCAGGAGTCCAAGTTCTGGACCGAAATCTGCCAAGCCACCGACCCCTTCGCATCGAGTCTTCCATGCCTTCCACACCGCTTCGCTGGCCCCATTGTGGGAGGGGTACTCCGTAACCCTCGTCGGGAAATTGGGTGATCTGGCGTGTGCCGATCCCCCTCCTCGCGAGTCAATTCGGAGAATTTGCTCGTATCTGGCATAAGGACCACAAAGCGATGTCGATGATCGCGAGCGCATGGTCGATCTTCGACTCTGATGACGGCAGGGACAAATGATTGTCTCTGTGAGAATGAGCTCACCGAAGCAAGAGTGTGGCGGTGCAGATGGGTCGGTGGCTGCAATGGCATCATTTCAGGGGGTTGTTACTGTTGAGGGAGCTGGCAGCGCATGGAGGGGCCGAGCCGGAGCCTGTGACTGGCTAGGTATGGATGGATACAGAGACCCATGATACTGTCTCGTATTGAGGGCTAACGGCTTAGTCATGTATTGTTGATGCGAGTGCGGGCTCGGGCCCCACCGACCTCAGCCACGGATTGCCCCCAAGACCCAATGAAAGCTGCCAAGGAACAAAAGGAGCTTGTCTTGTCTTAGCTTGCTTTGCCAATTTCCAATGATTTCTGGCGTGGCGGGCTCTCTGACCGTTCAGCCACTTTCGTCGGTCTCCAGTGGCGCCCAGAATAGCAGCTGAGCTGCTACAGCTGAAACTGGAGGTAACTCGATCTGCGCCCCTCCATGATATCACCGCCTCATCGTTGACCCCCTCCCCCCCCCCCTCCTCCCCCTCCTCCTTCCCCTCTGAAGGAGAGAGGGGCGACCCGAAGCGCCGTCAGAAAACATATATCTACCCCTCTCCCACCCCCCTTCGAACTCCTGTCTCTTTTTCATCCATCAACAACTTTCTCTACCTCTCTACCACATTTTCCACACAAACTATCATCATGGGTTGGTTCGGTAAGTTGTCTTGACAGTCTCTGCTTCGTCTCAACCGTCAAAGACACTGATTCCTTCCTCTTCATTATAGACTTCGGCAGCGATCAGCAGCAGGCTCACGAGGAGCTCACCAGCTACGAGGGCTTCGACGGCTCTGAGGAGCACAAGGCCAAGTTCAGCCACGAGCTCATCGCTGGTGCCGCTTCCTTCGAGGCCATGAAGGCCTACGAGGAGCACCAGGAGCGTAACGGTACGCCCATACCCTTCCTCCTTTAACTTCCTGCTTCGCGGCTTCACTGAAGACTGATAATTCTTCGATGACATAGGCAAGCCCGAGAGCCACGAGATGGCCAAGGAGCTCCTTGCCGGCTTCGCCGGTGCCTTCATCGACCGTGAGGTTGAGACCAAGGGCTTGGACTTCGTCGACCGTGAGAAGGCCAAGCGCCAGGCCGAGCGTCAGTTGGAGGAGGCCTCCCGCCAGGACTACTACTAAACAAGTCATTCTGTTGCCAATACTTTTGTGAATTGAGATATCCAATCTGAATATATTTTGTTGAAACACACATTGTGCTCTGCTGTAATTGTGTTGAACTTTGGTGGTGGATAGTATGTTGTAGATTTCGCGGAGTTGCGACAACTGCTCCCTTACGGGGGGAGAGAGAGTCGGCGTTCGGAGCCTCTCTCCTTATCGGCAAAGGACTTACCCGGTTGACGCTCGCCCGTACATTGATCTCCCCCAGAGTAATAATCGGTCGATGGCTATGCAAGACTGTGAAGTGGAAGGCAGAAAAGACCGAGACTTGTTTCAACTCAACCACCTCCGATCAACCTGTCGTCGCCGAATCCCAAGCGAAACGCCTGGGCTTCCGGCCGCATTCGCCAAAAGCGGCTTGCGCCGCTGGTGTCCACGGTCTGGTACGCAAGACACGTCTTGTGCAGCGCAGTTGACGACGGTATAGAGATAGGCATCATATGCACGCACCGACCATCAGCACGACCTTCAGGTCAGAGAATGGGAGTCGGCGAGAATCCCGCGATGCCGCTTGACCTTGCGAGTTTCATCGTTGGCTAGTCTAGCCCTCAGCTTGCATGATCGGACAATGACTCACCACCGACAATAACCATTGTGAAAATGGCAACGCTCGAAGCCACGCCATCGGATCATGATCCACACCCACAAACAACGGGGGAAGGCATTCGGAGCGCGAAGATGGCGGGTCCCCGGAGACCTGAGGTGTAGTCCAATAAAATCTACCCATGGCTGAGCCGGTTCTGAAGGCGTAGGTTTGTTGAGTTGGCATGCATGAATTTGATTTCCGTTGCATAGTTGCCGTCGGATCCTGGGAGGTTGTCATGGCTCAATCCTGCAACTCTACCCTTTTATCCTGCATGAGCTCACAGCGGAGCACAAAAGAAATCGACACTAATTGAGCCCTACGCAGAAACATCTGGGTGATTAACTGCGGTCGGACGAAAGCGTATAGAATGGAGCACTCAGAAAGCGGCCAGATAGACACCGTCAGACGTGACAGATCGAAGGTGGTGATGGTAGAAAGGCAGGAAAGAGCCGAGGTGAACAGACGAAGAGGTCTCTCGACGGCTCGCAGGTTTGACAACCCGGGTATATGAGCATTCCGGTCGAAGCGAGACCAGCGACCTGTTGTCAGCTTGGCATTCTTAATGAGCAACGGGCCCTTGCGAACAATCCTTATGCCGCCTCTGGTTGTTTTCAGGTCTCTTATTGAAGACATCGGAGCGGTGCAGGGGAGGCCAATCTCGACAAGGACTGGATTTAGCTGTGCAGCAATTCCGGCTGCTATGCCCCAAGAGGTAAACAAGAGCTTTGCGTGGTATACGAGGAGTAGGAGCAAGACGATTCGAGACTCTGCGTGATCGGAATAAAGGGTTTGGAAGGTAACTGTATCGCACTCTGCAATCACGGGATGCATCTCATCGGCGGTTGCCAGTGCCTGAATATTCCTGTTGGACGCAACTGTAAGGGGATAGAAATTTGGATCTTCTTAGTTCTCCATGAAGTCACCGACTGGAGTCAGCCAGTTATCTTGTGCATCAGAGGTGGAGTTTTGTTGATCGACGGTCGAGCGTTGAGATCATCAACCTCAGATTATGCCGTACATGGTAACGCGTAAGAGCATCCATGATAAATTCAAATCATGTCGGGTTTTCTTGATGATGGAGTGGTCTAATGGCACGTTTAGGAAGATTGAAAGACGTGACTGGAAGCCAGAGAAAGAGGGGGGGGGAGGGGGCAGCGATTCCTATGAGCAATCAACACAACAAGTTCCTTGGATGGCTTTGTGTACTTGACAGTGTTTGACCGCTGTCAGACCAGCAGTGGTCATGCGCTATAGCCTTCTGGTCTTCAAACCGAACCTGAGAGTGTCTTAGTCTGACCATACACAATCTCACAATGAGACGAGTTCATCGAGTTAGTGACAATAGCGAAGACCTACGGGTTGCGTCACCTTTCCGTGACAAGGTGATAGACCAGATCGATTTGCTCGATGTCGTTGGCCGCAACTCTCTTACGGTACCAGACCTCTATACCCCGGATTATTGGAACAGATTCATCCCCTGGGCCCGAAATTCACTCTCCTCGTAGTTCAATGTTTCTTCCTCTAGATGTACCATGGGCGAACATCCTGTTTCTTGGGGTCAATGGGTGACAATCGAGCCTGCACCCGCCTCGACGTATCGCGGCCCTTTCACCACCACCACCACCACCACCACCACTCCCAACAAGGAGGCAATTAAGCGCGAGACCGTCGGTGGGACTTGGTCTTCCTCACTACCCACAAAGCATTTGAGCACCGAAATCTACAGTCTGATGGTTCTATTGCTTCCTTCTCTGGATGATGGGCGGCCCGAAGACTCCGGGGCAAATGCCTCCCTGCTCATTATTACCCACGCCTTCTGGCTGCAGTACCGACTGACTGGCGAAAACAACCCCACCCCCTATCCAGGCGCCATGCTATTGGAAATCCACGAGGCGGCTGCGAGGCTCGTGAGGAGGTTGCAAGGCTAGGTAGGACGGAACTCACACTACTGCATGCACGTCCAGTACCATGAGCTGGGATGTTTATAGGTTTTCTCCATTTGTATGCGGAAAAGCAGCATGCCACTGCGGATTGAGAACGGATTCCGGTCAGCGGGAAATATCGACCGACCCGCTTGAAAAGAGACAGAACTTCATCTTCTTCTTGGTATAGAGCTCTGGTTGTGGAGACATAGTCACTGGTTCAGAAGTGATAAGCACATACGACCACAGGGTGTGGAAAACAGGGCTTCCCGTCCGCTCAGCCGTACTTAAGCCACACGCCGGGAGGTTAGTAGTTGGGTGGGTGACCACCAGCGAATCCCTTCTGTTGTATGTTTTTTTCTTTTTCTCTCTGAAATATTTCCTAGCGAGCGAAAGTTGAGAAAGAATTATCCAGGAATGTTCTTTACTGCGTAGTTTGACTCTGATTGCAGAAAAGGCTTTGACTAACAATCGATTAAGGGTGCCAAGACGCCTAAAGGGATCTCCTTAAAATATGCAATCTTATGTAAAAAGAATACGCTGTATACTATGTCTCGATCTCATGGTATAACTCCCTCGGCCATTACACATCGCAATATGTCAAGGGACTCCGCTTTATGACGTAGTAACATGCCGAGGCCCTATTACAGAGCAAAAAAAGAAACAAGATAAAATAAAGGTAGGAAACTCTATTCTCTTGCAGGTGGAGATTGGTGTCGGGCCTTGGCGTACCAGCTGAGGATAAAGAATACAAGATTACGAGACTTGAGCTTTATAACAGAGACCAGAACTCGGCACTATACATTTTCAAGGTTATATTGTAAGTAAGAAGCAGCTCAATCTAGCAGCTGAGTAGGATATAGATGATACGAATGACTCATAATACAAGCCTCTGGTTGCTTTCGTTTTCAATTGCCTTCACCAAATTTTGATCCATTTTTGCTCGCGGTTGGCACAGTGCTGTTGCAGCATAGTATCTCTTGCGCGTCTAACCACAGAGGCAATGCATCAATTGATCTGACACGCACGAGGTAATTTAGTCCAGGCCGCGCATAATGTCATCCAGAAAACTCCGACTTTCCGACGGCAAAGATCGACTTAACATCCTCCACATCTTGCAGGCCGATGTACCTTCGCACGGTTCAATACAGTCCTCATCTGGTCTTGATCCATTTTAAAACCAAGCAATAAAATTATTTTGAAAAAGCCCCGGTAACTTATCCGTATGGACGGGCAATCTGGAGACTGTAATCACGGGACCCGAAACCGTGTATCCGGCTCGTCCCCGAGGCAGACTTATGGCTCTATACCTCTTTGTGGTTCCCTACTTAGAGATCCTTTTGGTGTTCTTGCGATCGGAGATTCGGTTTCGGAGGTAGTATAAGAAAGGCACCAGGTGTCAGTAAGCACAGCTAATATCATCAAGCCGGAGCTCGAGACTACCTTGGAAGCGATCTGCACGTTACCTAGTAATCATTGCCTGGATTTGTCCGTCATGCTCTTTGAGATCTCTTACCATTGCGATCGACATGAAAACCCCCATGGCTGCCAGTAGGGACATACCGGCTGGAAGGCGGACTGTGGGGCTCGCAGGATGGGTGAAGGTTGATGCACCTACAGATAATTCCAACGACCCAGTTTATGGGGTCAAGCCAATTCTCCTTCTTGCTTAGTGCAAATGTGAGTTATACGAGGGCCTGACCTGCGGGTTCCTCCCTTGGCCAAAGGCGTTGCGACGCGCCTTTAGCGGGCCCAGCAGGGCCCGTACTTGCATCTGTTCAAGCACCTTTTCAAGCATCTAGTTCAGTAGCCGAGGGCCTGTTTAAGCATCTTCTTAAGCACCTTTCTAAGCACCTTTTAACCATCTCTTTAGATACCTTTTTAAGCACCTTTTTAAGCATCTTTTCTAATAATTTCTATGTATTGATTTAGATCTACGGCCTAAATCTGCAGCTGGGGGAAGGCCTTGCTATTCCCCCCAGCCCCCCCCCCTCCCCCCGGCTATCCGGCGAAGCGCAAATTAGAGGTAGAGATTATATGATTACTACTTAAAAGAACCAATCAGATTATTTAATTCCGTACAAAGAGTCAGCGAATCAGCGTTCGTCACCCTTGCTCAGGCCCTCATAGAGTTGCAAAGCTAGCGCTTTGCAAACTAGTGATCGGACACTTTTATTGACTAGACGCCTGTTATGTTTGACATAATAGGCTAACATAGTACATACGACCATAGGGTGTGGAAAATAGGGCTTCCCGTCCGCTCAGCCGTACTCAAGCCACACGCCGGGAGGTTAGTAGTTGGGTGGGTGACCACCAGCGAATCCCTTCTGTTGTATGTTTTTGATGTTTTTTGCCAGCAGCCTCAATTGGACATAATCAAAATCCCATTGAACTTCGCCAGTATGTACTTGCTGTTGTTGGTTATCTTCTGGGGTTAAAGCAAGCGTGGGAGCTTGCCTGGTATGCAAGTCGATTGAAATGCATAGCCGCCCCTACCAGCTACACACAGTACATACAATAATACACTTCATGAGATCCGCACTATCTCAACCACTCGCTTACATTGTTACACTCGCGATAGTTCGCTTCATTGTAATGATGGTAATTGTCTAACTAGAACGCATCAACTCCATCTACCCTGACACCAGAATTGTGCAGCGACCAACACCACCACCAAGCTACTTGCATTCCATACCATCCCTCGCACCCGGTGTCAGGAACGTCAAGCCCCGGTCGCATCGGTTATTCCACGCCGCGAATTGCAGTTCTGGAGAGCTGCCGGGGAAAGTGACATGGCGGCGCGAGGGTACCGGCCCGTAGAGCCCTAGATCGCACCAGTCCAGAGAGGAGCGTACTCACATATAACAAGAGGAAGATTGAGTGTATCTAGGAGCATAGGAGTACCTGTAGCCGCCCCGATGAGCAGGTAAGATTGCTTGCATGTCCATTGTACTGGCAGAGGAGGGGTGCGTGCAGAACGCTTCAGCTTATGCTTCAACTTATACAGAATGGAATCGCTGAACTTTGCCTCCCGGGTAAATCGAAGGGGCATGATGATCGACACCAGCCAGCTCAACTGTGGCGTGCGTTCTCCAGCTGGGCCACAGAGGGCTGTTGGCAGGAATGTGCACCCACTTCCGCCCGTCGTGTTTTTACTTGGTCGCTTTTATACATCGGTTGGCAACTTGTGGTCATAATAACAGGCCGCCGGCAGGAACCTCCAATGACTGGGACGGACTGCAGGCTGACGCAAATGCAGAACAGGACGTCTAATAGTGTTATGTAAACGGCATGGTGGTTTTGTGCAGCCTACAGGCTGCATGCTAGGATTCACTCCCGAGACAAGGACAAGCGGTCGATGTGACTCATTAGGCAGGTCTTCAGCATCCACGGGCTATAGTTATCCTACTAGAAGCTCATTCTTCGTCAAAAATGCACGCAACTCTGCATTATATGGCCACTTTTGGTGTCGCATTAATGGTTGCAAGGCTAGTTTCTCGATCTCAGGGTGGATGTCGATTCCCGACCGTGGACGCGCTCAGGTCCGGATCTGTATATGAACGTCACGTCTAGATATGAATCGGCGCGATCATGCAGTACTACTTGCCGCTTTCAACCTACAGAGTACTCTAGAAGTTCTCATGTCAGTAGGTGTGGGTTAGCCGACGAGACTCCTCCGAGTTAGGGCTGAACAATCCATCTTAGCTGGCCCTAGGAGCCCCTTTAGTCGGCCTTTGCCCCCTCTCCTGGACAACATGGGAAGTCTACGAAATATTTGTGGGTAGAATGGGACTTTGTACGATTATCGGATCATTTGGGGGGGGGGGGGGGGCATGACCATTCGTGGCCAATGTTGAGATGCATCAGCCATAGAGTATCAGAAAGCTAACGGTTTGAGGCTGCGGATGTATACTTTTGTCCGGCAATGTGGCTGAATGACAACCAATGTCTGGATACCATACCACTAGGCCTACAATTCACACATTGCTCCACCAAAGTAAGATTGTTTCGGAAAGTGTCAATTGTAGACCATCTTAGGTTGGAACCTTTCTAACCAGCAATATTGAATACTTACAATAACGATGAAATATATACACGCAGAATGCTTGATTAGGTGTGCATATGCTTGATAAGGTGTGCAATCACACTCAGCACAAACAAAAATGCAGCCATCACCAAGAACGGGTCGGTAGCTCAGTGGTAGAGCGTAGGATTGCAGATCCCGAGGTCACGCGTTCGATCCGCGTTCGGCCCTTCTTACTTTTTGTCTTTTGCTTTTGCGCAGTCAAACTGCTTGCTCCCTTCTTCGTCATCCGTCCTTTCAATCGATTCTGTTCGTCGACACCAAGATTATATCTCTCTTCTGTCCCAGTGTGCTGTATCTTGTAGCTAACCATGTTTACACCCGACACGATGCATCGCGACCCAGGACCGTCAATATTTCGGGCTGAATCAGTACCAATTGAGCTTCTACTACCCTCTCGTGTCGCCTGCCCTGCATGTTGAGCTTACTCGTCCGCGAGCACGGCCGGCATGGCGAAGCGAGAGCGGAGCGTGGGAGGAAAGTCTTAGCGAGCACCCGATCTATACAAGCATAACCATCCAACTCGTGCCTAGCCGACATGATGATATAAAGACAGGTTTCCTGTTGTTGAATAGTCTTCTACCCAATCCCAACTCACTGACAAGATAACCATCAACGGCAACAATCCAAATCCTCACAATGTCATCCCCAGTCGACCTTCGCAACCCGGGCCGCCCGATACATGTGGGTGTTGTGCTGCTGAACACGTACGTAACCCGTGGAACTATCTAGTAGTGCTTTCCATTCTAAGATCTTCCTATCATCTACAGTGTCACCGAGCAACTCGACATCGCCCCGGTAGGCTTCTTCTCCGGCCTCGATCGCAATTTCCTGAAGGACATGCCCACCGAGATGGTGGACGATGAGTCCAAGGCCCAGGGATTTGATTTTGTGTATCACTGGGTCAACGAGGATGGCAAGACCCCCGCTAAGCTGACGACGGGTATGAATGTATTGCCTACGGTAAGAATGCCCTTATACACACCCTGAATAACATCCAGCTGACATCCCGTTAGGATTCCTTCGCTACTTGCCCGCCACTGGACATTATCCTTATCGGCGCAAGTAGAATGGGCTACAAAGCCAATGAGGCCGAGAAGGAGTTTCTTCGCAAGAGCTACAATGCTTGCACAGCCATGCTCTGCGTATGCGGAGGCTTCGAGCCGGTGCTGAGTGCAGGGCTCATGGAGGGCAAGACCGCCACGGGGCCACGGTTCCTGCTCCCGATGCTGCGTGAACTCGGGCCTGGAGTCAACTGGGTCGAGAAGAGATGGGTTCAGGATGGGAAGATCTGGACTACAGGGGCGCTGCTGAGTGGGTTTGATATGGTCTCTGCCTTTGGACGAGCGACCTGGGGAGATTGTCCTTTGGTCGACAACCTTATCGAAAAGGGAGGATTCCCCGAGCGCGACATTGACTATTTGGAGGATTGATATGATGCATGTTTCTGGCTTATGCGCACCGGGAGTTGATGATTAATACATGGATGCTAAGGAGAGGGCTGCTACTGCTACTAATCGTGTTCACAAGGGCTTTATCGCCATAGGAGTTGTTAAAGAATGGAACCTTTTCATCTTTTTGAAAGGGATTGAGATGCAAGGGGGGAGTATGCGTTGTTCAGGTTGAAGTTCGTGATGATGCTTATCCGACAGGTTATAGACCAGGGCCTGGGTTAAGTTACTACCTAGTAGTTGTTGTATAAGAAGGGTTCGGCAAAACCTTCCATCCGGAGGGCGGTTGTCGCTTCCAGTTTCCCTCCGCTTTCTGCCGCCTTATTAATACCCAGCCTAGCTTATCCATCTTAGCTACGGAGTACAGTGAAAGTGTAGCAACCACGGTATATGAAAGATGTCAACACAAGATGAATACAAGTTTATGTGTCCTCGACCACGAAGCACGCGGGCTTGTGAGAGTTGCAGATCGCGCAAGGTTCGATGTCTGCCGTCCGAGAAACCGTCGAGTGCCTGCCGGAGGTAAGGGCGCACGATGTCATCAGCATCCATTGGAGCTATACTAACGGAGAAAGATGTATCAAATTGGGTTACGACTGTACCCTTACCTCAAGCAACAATGAACATTCATCTACAAATAACCCATCGCGGAGCAGTAGTAGCGGGGTCCAGAATGAGGACGTAGTCGCCTCACTTTTCAGGAACGCGCCAAAACACGGAGATCAGTCTGCCATGTGTGAGCTGCATCGCCAAATGATGCGCAAGCAGCTACTAGGCGACGACACTTCTCGTGGTGCTCAGGAGACGAGTCACAGTACTACCACGCCGCCTCTCACTCAAACCTCGACATCTAACACTGATTACAAGAACCTCCGCGTGAGTATGAAAGAGGCAGATGAGCTTCTATCTCACTTCCAGTCGAAAAAAGTTTACTTCCCGTTCGTGGATGTACCGGACAACATCTCAGCCGCCTCCATGGCGAAGACCCGTCCCTTCCTCTTCTTAGCGATTCTCACTATATCGGCAACGCGGCGGCCGCTCCTGCAGAGAAAGCTCGATGAGAGATTCCGGCGAGTGTTGAGTGAAAGGATTGTTCTCCAAGGAGACAAAAGCCTAGACTACGTTCAGGGTCTCCTGGTCTATCTTGCATGGTATTGCAGACCTCGGCTTTCATAGTGCGCGCAGTGGCTGACGTTGGTGTGGCCTCAGGCACCCTATACACCTTCGGCCATTGAACAATCAGATGTGGCAGTACGTTCAAATCCTCCGAGGTATGCTGTCGGACCTGAGGTTTGACCAGAGGCTACATGAAACGGCTGCGCGTAATGCCTGTCTCGGATGCTATAACCTGTCCTCGCTGTGAGCCGTCCTTATCTCGGATATCAGCAAGCTGGCTAAACAGATTCCTAGATTTGCTCTTGGCTTTCAGCGACGCAGCGACTCGACCCTGTATGAAATTATAAAGTCTACTATTGAAGGAACTGCACCAATCGACCAAGATAACAGTCACCATACGCTGCTTTCCAAGACCCAGATGCTGTGGGAGACTGTAGCTCGAACATCTGAGCAGGGGGGTGATAATCTCCCCAATTGCTCCCTGTCATTTCACCTGCAGATCCAAGACATAGAGCGCAAGATCCGCTCCGAGACCTCAGAGACAGGTATATTGGGACAAATACCTGTATCTAAGAGATTTGCTGACGAAGCCAGCTTCGCTACGTATCTCGATACTGTCGCTGAAAGTGGTCACAGCGTATCTCCCTTGGATGGTTCATAGCCCAAGCTCCAGCCGTAAATCACCACACCACCCCCGATCATTTGAGTACCAACCATGTGAACATGTGAAGGAAGCAAGATCGTGCCTAGCGGAGATCCGAGGCTTTTTCGATTACTTTCTCTCGTTACCCGCAGACCAATACATCTACTTTTCCATCAGGGAATGGTGCCAGCTAATTCTTACAATCAGCACTGCCTCACAGATATGCTTTCTCATTCACCCCTTCATGAACACCCAATGGTACGATTTTCAGACTAAGGCGCGATCGACCATGCGAATATACCTGGAAAGCCTCTTACACCGCATGACGACCTTATCCGTCTCGAAGACTGGCGCCACACCAGACATTTTCTGCATGTTCAGATCGGTCTTGGATGTTGTTCTGGAAGCATATGCTGTCGCCAGGATCAACTCTCCCTTGCAGTCGGATCCAGATCCCTCGGTTACTGAAGGTACGGACTCTCCGAGTGTGGGTGCAACGAGCACGACGTCCAGACGGTGTCCCATGATGAATGGGAGCATCAAACAGACGGAGTTCTGGGAGGCAGTGCAGCAGAGTAACACCCTCTGTGGAGGAGTTCCGGAAGCCACGAGCAGTGATCGGTATGCAGGAGCGTTCGGGGCTGGTATGGATGGACTATTCGATGATGCTCAGGATTGGCCGAGTTTGTTTTCCGAATGGGTCAGTTTTACCTAAGTTAGGTTTAATGTGGACAGGATGCTGCTCGATAACCTCTATAGTGGAGTGCTAATCGTTGGGGTTAGTGGCTTCTAAAGAACATAGAGAGCACACCCGGAACGTCACGATTCCAAATGATATAGCTGATTATTCTTGAGACAATCGCTGTTGGCTCTGATAGCAATATCAAAGTACAAAGACCATTATAGAATAAGTTACTGGACATCGGAGCTCTGAGATTCAATGTGACTCATTTACCGCAATCAAGTTGTCTAACTGCCGGTTCCTACACATAGTCGTTCGAATGAAAACATCAAAAGTCATATCAAGTGCCGTTCTCCAGCTCGCAATCGTTGAATTCCGAGTCACGTCAGCCTACAACAAAATCAGCAATAGCAATGAAAGGGCTTTCAACATTTTTGAATCGAGCAATGAAAGAGAGAACCTGGTAGGAAGCAAATCCCCTACGTCTGTCTTTTCCTTGCAGATCAACCGAGAAACTCCTGCAGATAGCATCTCGGCTGCTTCTGAAACATCATCAGCCCGGTGCTTACACCAGAACATGCACAGTACGGAGTTTTCCGGGAGATTTACACATACTATGAGCAGAGCCGCATACATTGCTGGAGACTTTTTGCTAAATGGGCTCGAGGAAGGACTCCCCCAGTAGAAAGTGTGAGATATAAATAGAGCTCCGACATCTTGATACGTCTTGTCGATCTTTTCATGCAAACCCGACCCACAAGGTGAAGAACTCCGGCAGTTTGAAACACGCAAGCGTTCTAGCCTTTCCTCACACTTTCACCCACAACCACCATCATGGACCAGAGCCGCTTCATAGTCACCACCTTGGAGCGGGCAGGCATCCCCTACTGTGTCTTCGGGTGGCCGGTGGCCGACTCCTTCGGGATGAGCCACACTATCGTTGACCTCATCGCCCGGCAGAGCCTCGACTTTGCGGGCTTTGTGATCCCGGACCGGTACATTCCCAACGCCTATGCGGCCCTACGCAACCGCGGGGCGCACCCCTGCACCCTCGGCCGCGACTGCGTCTCGGTGATCGGCTTTCTCAACCCCCCGACGGACATCGTGCACTGGCACACGCCCAACGAGGAGGCGATGATCCGCACCGGCGCCTGGCCCAGGCTCACCGTGCGCATTTACCGCAAGTCCATGTACATGTGGTTTTTCGCGGACCCGCCACTCAACCCTCGCCCCGACGATCTCTACTACATGTGGTCCGACCAGGTTCGTACGGGTCGCCGCCACCACCACCGCCAGGGCACCGGCTTCGTCATGCCCACTCCGGCCTGCTGGACCGAGGCCCTTGTCGTCCTGCACGCGCGCGACTTCGACGAAAAGGATCGCTACATGCTGACCCGCCTCTGGCACCGCGAGCTCCTGCGTGTCTGTATGCAGTTGCTGCAGCCTATGCGCCAAGGAGGCCACCCGCTGCTCCTGGAAGGCGAGCTGGATCTGCACCTCGTCGGGGTCATCAAGGCGATGCGTGCCGCGCTGATTGCCGGTGATCCCGACGCTCACTCCGACCTGGTCGAGGCGGAAATCCGCATCGTGCGCGCGCAGCTCCAGAACGATGAGCCGCCTTGCCCTCCGCCCCAGGGGGTGACCTACGACCATGAGGCCGAGGTGGCTTGGTGGAAAGAGTGGGTCGCTGACCGTCGCTCGAATGATGCCGGGGGTGATGACCACATTGTAGGCTCTAGAGTTGAAGAGCTTAGTGATGACCATGATGACGACGACGATGAGGAAGACGAGGATGATGAGGATGATGAGTTGTCCGAGGTGGAGTAAGTTTCTCTATCCTGCCTGATCCTCATGGGCCTCGCTGAAACAAAAACAGCAAACACCTAAAAAAACCACATGAGAATGGAGCACGTTAGGCGTGGATACTTCTCGAAAAACACCACAACATGAACCAAGCAAAAAAAAAAAAAAAAAAAAAAAGAAAAAAACAAGAAGAAAAACCACCAATAAAATAGAAAAAGAAACGGTTGGCCTTGAAGAAAGGTTCAATCAAATTGCTTACCACAACAGCAGTTCCTCGCCCCTAAGGCAAGTATTCCGATTTCCAAAAGACATTCAAAGAGCAGAGTCATGCAAGCTAACGAGAGAGCTATATAATTTCTTGTATTATATCACAAGTGCAGATATAGTTATTCGGCTGGTGCATTCGAACAAAAGTCCTTGCGACAGAGAACACTGTGTACGCACAGGTGTGGCTTTCTCTGCAGTCTCTGCAAGGCACATCCACATACATTCATTCACCTATTAAGCTAGCCCTAACTCCGCCATCTATAAACGTCCATCCAACCATGGTACAGCGTTATAGTAATATCAATCTCTTATGTTGTTAGATTGTATCAATCTCCTATTCCCGTACTCTTTATCTCCGTGCCACATGTCTCATGTGGGACCCCAGAAGATCCCCTAGCTCAGCACATTCACCACACACGTTGGCATAACAAAGATAGATTGAGATAGAAAGTCCTTCTGCCTGATTACCATGTCTCTGAATCTCTTCAATAACAAACCATCAACTCTCCAGAAACACCCCCGAACTCCTTTCCTTGAAGACCATATCCACCAGAATGCGAGATTTTCGCGCACTGAATCTGCTGATACTCATCTTCAGCGCCATTGATGTCATCGCTGTCGGCCTCTTCACGATCAGTCTTGTGAACCGCCCACGCAACAAAACCCATCAGCCCACAGAATGTCGCACCCTCATTCAGGGCCATCATTCCAGGGCCCGTAAAAACTCCCTCTCGCCTCATCGCGCGCGCCAATCCGACCAAACACCCGACTAGCCTTCGTCTTTGGGATTGAAAACGCCTTCACCACCCCGGACGAAGAATACGCAACCCATTTCGTCAGAAACGCAAGGAATCTGATCAACCTCAAAGCGCAAGTCTGGGAACGACTGGCCAAGTCGCTCCAATCCAAAGCTAACGAGCTCATCAGCACAGCGCACCGCCTCCACCTCGCAAGCGTAGTCCAGTCCCTCTCACTCCGGATCATCCTTACCCACACTGCTGAACGCGGAGCTAGACACCCTCCCCGACGCCGAAAAGCACATGGTCTCCCTAGCGCAGGCCATCAACCGCGCCTGGGTGTCCTCCAAGAACGACGTCGACCTCATCGAATTTGCCGATAACCCCGGCCTCCAAGCCTCCCTCTCCGCGCTGTTTCCTACCTTTGATGGAACCCACCAACCCCCGCGATAACCCACTCTGCTGGATTCTCCCCGGCTTCGAGACAAGCTGGCGCATCAACCTGCGCATGGTCTTGGAACTCCTGCTCAACAAAGGCCAGACTCATCCCGACTGGACGGCCACGATGATTGCTTTCGCAGAAAACCCCACGAAGATACAGTTCGAAGCCGCGGGAGAAGACGACTTCTCCGCCAAGGATCTAGTGGCGGAAGGGTTGCGACTGTACCCTCCGACCAAGCGGATCTACCGCGCGTTCGAATGGGAGGAGAACGGTGCGAGACACTCGGATACCTTCGATGCGGACGTGGAGGCTTGTCATCTGTCAGTCGGGGTCTGGGGACGAGATGCGCTGAAGTACAATCCGCTACGCTGGTGGACTGTCACGGATGTACAGAAACAGGCATACTTGCCTCTTGGAGGTGCGCCGTTTGAGTGTCCCGCTAAGGCGGTCTTTGGGCCTAGGATGATTGCGCTGGTTGTTGGGCTTTTGGTGGACATTGTGCAGATGGGGAACGGTTGGAGGGTGGTCGATAAGGATGAAAACGGGGCGAATGATGTGTTCTGTGAGGAGAGGTTGAAAAATGATCGTGGCTCGTATGAGGAGTTGTTTCTTGTTAGGGCGGCGGGTGGTGTCTAGTTTAGCCAATGGGTGTAGTGTGATCCTGGCATGTTAGTGTGGTCTCAGGATTGCGTGTATCTGACCCTGGTTTGCTTTTGAAAGGGCTGAAGTGTTATTAGGAGGTCTGATTTTAAACCCCGAGTTAATTTTGTCATGTGCCTTGACCGTTGTATTATTTGAATAGTAGAGCATCTCTATCTCGCAGATCACCAGCCGCACTGAGTAAGCCCTTCTGTTTTTCCAACCTCCAAAACGAGACCAAAAACCAGATGCAGTATTCCAGATATAGTGTCCAAAGAAAACCTGCCGTGCCTGGTCGTGGTGGATGGACATGCTGGGCTGTGCACGCATACGTGTCTATATCCCTGTTAGCATTCTCCAATAGACAACCTCAGCACTTTTCGCCTTGTCATACACTCCCGGTCACTCTCCTGAGATAAAGCTGGTGACCAGTAGTGTACCTCAGATCCATGACTCGCTATCATGGCTAGTGAGGCGCCAACAATCTATCCACAAATGATAGCATCGCGCGGATGCAGGGGTAGCTGGATAGCGCCTGTTAGGACTTACAGTAGTCCCATCACCCCCTGCAACTCGACAGCGGACAAGGCCGTGGCTGGGCCACCCCTCACTCCCAGAAATGACTTATTCTAAATTGGCGCTTAGAGAAAAGTTTAAAGTGGGAATGATTCCCGCAACCCGGAGTGCGGAGTTTCGCAGAAGCAAAGGGAATGATCTCACACACCCGTACAGTACCCCCCGCGACCAGAACTGACCAACTGACAATGGGAAGAGTGCGTCATTTCGTGGGCGTCGAGAGCTCGGAGCAGCTGGCCTTCATCGATGAGCTTCAGGCGCTTGGGCTGAGTAGCACTATCAATCTGCCGGAGGTGAGTCCGCACACATAACAGTTGAAATTGTGACAATCGCTCATGCCGACAAGCTGGTGGTGGTTGGCGACCAGAGCACAGGAAAGAGCTCCGTGCTTCAGGCCATCACCGAAGTCTCTTTCCCTGTCAAGGCCGGAACGTGCACTCGATTCCCAACGCAGATTTCCTTTCGACAAACCTCCGTGGCCAAGGAGTTTCCGATCAAGGCCACGATTGTGCCAGGGCGGCAGTCGGAGGGTGACGAGGCGCTGCTCGCTCGCATCAAGGAATTTGCGATCGAGAAGAAAGCGCTGGGTCCGGAAGACATGAGTGAAATTATTGAAAAGGTTTGCCTCTATTAACAGAACTCACTTGGTATGGATGCGAACGACTGATTTGCTGTGTAGGCGACGGAGTGCATCTTTGGCGACCACCGCGGCAAGACCTTGAGTCTGAGTGATGCCACCCTGCGCATTGAGAGATCGGGTCCAGACGAGATGCACTGGACTATCGTTGACCTTCCGGGCCTTATACGGAAGGATGACAAGAAGAAAGGCACAAAGGAGAATAGTGTCAGTAGGATCCATGGAGAGACTGAGGATGAGAAGCGAATGAATGCTGCGGTCGCGTGGGAGCTGGCTCGGACTTACCTTGAAAACGAACGGAATATCGTATTGTAAGTCTGACCCGTCACAGCTTCACTACTGGCAAGCATAAGGCTGAGCGCCCGACAGAATTGTTATGGACAACGTCGATGTCGAGCGACATCGGGTGTGGGAGGTGATGGAAGATCTCCCGGGGCTGGAACGACGGTGTATCGGCGTGCTAACGAAATGCGACCGCAAACAAGAAGGGTCTGATAATTGGGTGTGTATCGCGTGCTCTCCGCTACGTCGCACAGGACTGACTATCCTACCGCAGATGATTCAACTTTTGCAGAATGGTTTGTCGACAGTCCCTCATCTGGACCACGGGTGGTTCGGTCTGCGAAACCGAGTCCCCGTCGAAGCGCACATCACCGATGCGGAGCGAGACGAGCGCGAAAGAGCCGAGTTCGCAAAGAAAGACTGGGAAACTGTGGACAAGGACCGGACCGGCATCCAAGCGCTCATGCAGTATGTCGACAGGGAGCGACGGGCTCAGATCCAGGCTGGGATCCCCCAAATTGTGGCGGAGATCCGACAGAAGCTGCGCGAGTGCGAGTCAGACCTCAGACGCATGGGCGACGCACGCGACGAGCCCAAAGCCCAGCGTTACTTTGTCTTTCAGTTCTGCAACGACATGCAGCGGATGGCCGAGGCGACGCTGAGAGGCCAGTATCAAGACGTGCCGTCTCAGGACTCCCGGATCATGCTGCGGTATGAGGTGCAACGCCGCCTCGACCAGTTCTACAAGGAAATGTCAGACGTACACAACATGCCATTGCCTTTCTCCGATTTCGACAAAGACCTGGCTGTTCTGAACTCGACGAGTTCGGACCCTGAGGTCTGGGAGGATATAGTTCGTAAAACCCCGGGCCTGTACGCGGAGATCTACAAAGAGGCGAAGATCAGTGAAGGCCGCAGTCTGCCCGGCGCGGTGCATCCGGATGTAGAGGAAAAGATCTTTCGGAGGCAGTCGACGCACTGGGAAGGGATTGCCCGAAAATTTGTCGACGATGTAAAGCAACTCGTGCAGGCCTGTCATGAGGTACTTTTCCGCATTGCCATCCCAAACAGCAAGGTGCGCTTGGAGGTTAGCCGCTTACTGGGGAAGACTATGGACGAGTGGCACAAACATATCGACACAGCCCTTGGGGAGCTGTTGGAAGACAACCGAGCGAGGCCGTTGGTGACTCGCAACCCGCAGTTGCTGTTGGACACGATCTCTGCGGATCAAAGTCGAGGGAGGATTCTTCTAGGTCAAAAGGCGAAAGTCGCATCAGAAGATCGAAGAGCCAATGGCACTGGCGACACGCAGACAGACCGTCCACAGTTTATATCGACCATCCTGAGCCAGGTGCTTTTCGTGCGTGCAAGACTTCAATCCTACTACATGATCGCTTTGCATCGTTTCATCGATAATGTGGCCATGCAGGTAATCGAGCGGCATGTCTTGGGCCCGAAATGTCCGGTGCTAGCGGTGTCAATCGAGACGTTTGCTAAGCTGGACGATGATGAGCTAAATGCTATCGCCGGGGAAGACGAGTCTGACGCTCGCATGAGGGCCAGGCTGGAACGACTGCGCTCTCGCTATACCGAAGCTCTTCGGAGATGGGAGAGGTTGAGAATTCTGTAGAGACCCTTGCCCTATAAATTTCTGGATCTTTGCTTGTGCTTAAAAATGGTACGACTCTTGTCTAGTGCAGAAACATTGCGGTATATGATTCTTAGCTTCATAATATCGATAGCTGCCAATCTCCGTAGGCCTTCACAAGCACATGTGCCAATACTGACTCTGGCCATACATCAAGAAGGACATGCCCAGTTTCAATCACCCTGCTTTGCCTTGCTCAAGTACTAAAGCTCCTGCTACAGTATAAAATCAGAATGGTATTGAGCGGGGTGGACGATCTGCCCGTTCTGAGATTGAGGTAGAGCTTGGAAAAAATGACAATTTATGGTCAAAGCAAACAATATGGAGCAAATGAGGCAAAGATGAAAAATGATGAAAAAGTCACCTGAAAACCAAGACACCGAGAAGCGCAGTCAATGATATGTTCTCCAGCAAAGAATTTGCGTTTGCATCCATAGAGATATCAATGAATTCCAAAGAGAGGCAGTAACCGCAATTCTGCCTTTGCACAGGGTCAACTTGTGCCACTTCAAGAGTTTTTACGATACGATTCTAGAGAAAAACTTAGTCCCAGTAGCGATAAACAAATACATGAGTGTAATCACGACTAACTCGAAGAACGCTGAAAGGGACCAGTGAACCGTGGTTCAACAAACGATCAATGCCGAGGACAAAGAACCCATCATTCAATGTGCCCCAAGCTGTGCATTCACCAGCAGCAGATCCAGACGAGAACGCGGTGCATTACGCCTTTGTCTCGTTTGACTACACTTCATCCTAGCTGAAACTTCTTCCCTCCACCGCATTGAATCTCACTTTCTTCATCCCCCCACCCCCACTGGCTGGATGCACATTGCGCATAGATATGATTAAATCGCAGCGAAGTTTGGCTTTCTGCCCCCTCAGTGGCAGTGCTAGTCTTTGGGCCATCGTCATGCTTGTGTTATATTGGATATCGCTAGTCTTGGCCAGTCTCTACGGCGGCAATAGTGCGAGTAACTCTACGAACATCGACTTTTCGCAGTACGCGGTCGTGCAGTATGCAACCAGCCAGCCGGACCTATGCAGCGCAGTCATGCAGTTTGAGTCTCATGATCGTCTGGGCAGCCAAGCCGATAGAGTGTTTCTGTATCCTTCGCACTGGGACCCAGCGAGCGATTCTACGGAGGGCAGACTGCTGCTCAAAGCACAAACTGAGTATCATGTCAAGCTTCTACCCATCGAAGTTCAGATCCCATCGAATGGCCGTAGTAAGCGCACTAGCTGCCATTAGACAGGTTGAGCAGAGCTGAAAAAAGACGCACTGACAGGGACAGAGAGCCACACCAAGCTTTTGATGTTTAACATGACACAGTACGACCGCATCTTATTTCTGGATGCGGCTGGTGTTATCCTCAAGGCATGCTGCACTCTTCTCACCCGGTCATCTCGAAGCAGAAGAGATCGTTGCTAACTCTAGCCGCAGAATCTTGATGAACTTTACTCGCTCCTTGAAAGCCCGATCGCAATGCCCCGCGCCTACTGGCTGGACTCCGAATACCGCCAGCTCACCCCATCCTTCATGCTCGTGCAACCTTCGGAGATAGAATTCAATCGCGTGTGGAAGGCAATCCAGCAGGATGACAATGCCGAATCCGACACAAATGTCCTGAATAACCTCTACCGTGACTCCGCGATTGTCATCCCGCACCGTCCGTACCACCTGCTGACCGGGGAGTTTCGAGCCAAAAACCACGCGAGTTATCTGGGCAGTCCCCACGCGACCTGGGATCCCGATGTGATCCTGCAGGACGCGAAGTATCTGCATTTCTCCGACGGGCCCGTGTCGAAGCCCTGGATCAAGACCCCGGCGGCGGTGATGGAAAAGGAACAACCGGATTGTGATGTTAATACTGTGACGGGCGCGCTGGATTGCCGGGCTCGTGACCTCTGGTTGGGATTCTATAAGGATTTTGCGGATAGACAAGAGGTATGATGCCCCTCCCCAGGGCTCTGATAAGGGTCGAAATGGGCTAATCAATCGCCGATAGATGATCTGCGGAGCGGAATTCGTGCCCCAGCTTGACGGAGAGGCTGACAGAGTATGGATAGCACCGCAGACGGAAACTGATAGACCAGGCTATCGAGGGTCCTCGTCACGCTATGCTATGGATCCACGATCGCATCCGGCGTCGTGAGTAGTGATTCAAATCGAAGGAAATGCTGGTCCTGGTCGATACCCAGTTTTGGATGCTTCCAAACCAAGAAGACTAACAGGACTGCGTTGTTGGGAGCGTACCTCAACACGGGCCGGTTATTGGCATCCTCAAAAGTACATTTTTTCCACCTCTGCGGTGTCAAGCTGATTTGCCAAATTTGGACCGAATGTTTTTCATGCCTACTAGCATAGCCAGCCAGTCAGTGGTTCGGAGAAATGCACTGCCTCTTGTCTTCTATCTCTGCCACTGTTTTCATCCGCCGACCGTCAGGTTAGCAAGGATCGTAGCTTTTGAGCCACGGTGTATTTTCTATAAGTAGCTTTTGATGAAATGTCATCACCGGAAGAGTCAATCTCCTGTCAATCCGTATTCCTACAGGATAAGGTCCCAGGCTTTCGGCCCAGCCACATTACGGTTCACAACCTCTACCAGTCTTGTTTGGAATGCACTTCGCGGGTTGAAATAAGCTCGACACAGGCAATAGAGGCTGTATCTTAAGTGATAAGTGCCTCAACTGCTACAAGCTGGGAACAAATCTAAGCTTGTGCCTATTTGGCGGGCCCCCTCTCAGCGTCCAGCTCACGCACCCATCACACTTTGCCCTTGTGCTCCTCAGGCAGTCCCCTGCAAGTGGGCATGGCGGATGGGCTCGTTTGATCTCACATTATAATAAAGTGTTACATTGGCGTCTCTGTCAGACGTTCAGAGTCATACTCGTTTCAAGCAACATGGTGTACTGTAGTGGTGGTAAGAACCGGGGCTGGTTTCTAGGGGACAAAACTTGCACAGGATTGCCAATGCCGACCGCCCAAGTTGTCCTCGATGCCACTGCTCTGTGGAGTCTAGTCTTTGGGAAGGTAGCATGTGAAGGATAAAAGATGGGCTGGATTATTGTGCCGTATGCCACACACATAGAGGCTTTGTATCTTCAGAATGATGGGCTAAGATAGCACTCGCAACTACCCACTATTTTGGGTGGAATGAGCCATTTTAGGATACGCTTCTGCGTCAGGGTCTCGTATGGTTGTGTACTGTTTGAGTCTGATCATTCAAGCTCAAACTATGATTGTCATAAGACTTGAGCTTCTGAAATGTGTATCGCGGCATGGGCAATGTTTTGACGGAAGAGGAGTCTAGATCCAACCCAAGATTTGGGGAGCGGGGCAAGCGTATGAGTGACAAGAACATTCAAAGAAAGTGATACGAAGCTACATGCTGTGCATAAGTGGCGCAACTATATAGAATGATTCTACTGGCAACTCTAAAACGTAAAACGCCAGCAGTGCATTGAAGCCATTCAGGAAATCATAGGAGGATGGCTGTGCAACCGCTACACGAGCGGCGGGAAGTTGCATAAACTTCTCGTAACAAGCATGACGAAACAAGCTCTCATATTACGAGATTAAAGCAGCTACTGGCGGTCTGGCCCGTATCTAGCTCGTATTACCACACTTGCTACGAAAGGCTACCAACGGTATCCGACTGCCGCCCCTCCATCACCTTCGGCATATCTTCTGAAGCGGTTATAAGTAGCCACGCCCGGACGCTGAAACCAGGATTGCCTAGAATATAATTGGACTCATTCTTACATCCATTCCAACACCATAAATCCTTTCTCTATCAGCAATTTATCCCAAATCTAAAGCAACATGCCCGTTCCCCACTACGGTGTCTGGGTTTGTAAGCCGACTCGGTATGTTGCCCAGCGACATGGCGTACGCACTCCACACATCGAGCTTTATTTCAAAGATGACGACTCCGGGAGGGAGCGAAAGGCCGCCATTAATGTGAAATCGAGCGGAGAAGACTCTCGCTTGGTGTTCTGGTCTTCTGATGACTTTGCTCATCCTATCACTATTCAACTTGCTCAGCTGGATCAAGGCTTTCATTCGATCCCGGATCCTCGTGGTCGTGCTCGAGATCTCGTGGGACTAGACTATCTGCGACTGCGCAACCTTCTGAATCTCGGTTCTGGACGAGTTCTGCCGCATGATATTCCTGGCCGTGATAATGATATTCTGGACGTCGTCCGGCCGATTCTAGATCGAGCAATCAGGAGCTCAGCAAAGGTGTTTATCTTTGGCTCATCCTTCGGATCCGGGATTCATGATGTCCATATGAACCAAGGTAGTCTTCCTCGGTACGACAATGGCGTGTATCAGGACGGGGGCTTGCTGATTCAATTTGCCGATGGGCATTGGGAAGCAGTCTTCCTGGCCTTTGCCTCCCAAAGGATTCCCACCGACGATGTGGACGGGCTGCCGGAGCGACATAGTCGAAGTCTGTTGCAGATCCTGGCTCCACGAGAACACAATCTCTAACGAAGTCGATTTAAAGGATGGTGGTAGTCAATCAAGGGTTTTTTTTTTTGTTTCTTCAAGACTTTATCCGTAGAAAATTACAATGCCGTTCTAATCCAATCATCGTCTGTGGGAAGTCATAGCTTTAGACGCAGAGGGTCTTCACTAAGGTAAGGTCGCCGGGAGACTCTCAGATGGTCCCTTGAAGTTACTTTCATCAGCCTGGGAAGCTATAATGTGCAAGGTTACCGTCAAACAAAAGTCACCTTTCTCAAGGGGCATACTGTTCACCACCAATACATGAGTATGCCTGTCCACACTGAATAAGTGCCACGATTTCGCGATGATCAGACTCTTTGCCCATATTTCGGGCATACTGATTCCCCACATCTGCATCACCATTGTCAAGTCTGGGACAGAATTTTTTAGTTCACACCCGCCAGTTGATACCGAAAGAAATGAATTCTGGATGATCTCTGGTAATGCGATCCTCAGGCGGCGGGGCAGAACAGTCGTCATCATCAATTATAGCCCGCGAAAGTACAACGATAGAACTGCAGATTCTGTCTCATCAGTAGATAAACAACAACAGTTGAGAGTCAACTGGGTCCTGTAGGACGTACACCGATCGCCGAGTATGGTCATAAAAGATTTTGCTCCGTCTCTGGCATGTACCATCCCCAACCTCGGAGTCGCATGTACCTATATTCTCAAGAACAAGATTCTCAGCCCTCACGGCGATATAAAAGCCGTCAAGCTCTGGCCACCAGAAGACTTACTCCAAGGCCTTGATCATATCTCCTCTTGAATGATCACCTTGTCGGAGTAACTCAAATCGGAAAGATCAACAAGACCTGTGCCGTCCGCCAGCCCCATGGCCATCGCCCAGACATGCCCATGCCGGAAAAACGGATTCTGATCGGAAGACAGTTCCTCGCTGCCGTAGAATACCGGGGTGTACCCGGACTCCGAGAATATGCTGAGCGCCCGGCACTCGCCGTTGTAAGAACGTTTGGCCAAAGCCTCGGTGGCATCCAGTTCGGTCTCGCTGATTCCGCGCGCCCTTCTCCTGTATTTGGGATATCAGCCATTGCACTTCAATAGAAAGGTCCAGGAGGATGAAGTGGAAGGAACTTTACCCGTAACGCACCTTAAGGGCGTATCTGCGCGTGCTCTTGTGGATCGTATTGTCATTAGGGCATGTGGCTTCATAGACCACCCATTCCTCGTGATGTTCGTCTTTCCGGTTTTCGGAAAATATCTCGTGGATGACATAGTTCCGCCTATCAATTCTGATGATGCTACCGATCAGGTTATCCATCTCGAGGCCCGAAGGCGAGAAAGCGAGTTCGGAAGACGTGAAGTACACTGAGGGCGCTAAGGATTGTAGGAGAAGGTAGATGTAAGAGGATCCGATAACAAGGACGTAGTACACGATTATATTGCGGGAATATGATGGAACGCGACGTCAAAGTCGGAATTGCATCCCGAATTCCAATTAAAGTGCTCAATAGGTAAGAGTGACTGATGACGAACGTATATAATAGACAGGATGCTTAAGCTAAGAATGTAAGAATAAGTCTGGTCAGCCTGTCAAATACAATAAAAGAAGGTCGACGGGGGGAGGTGAATGTTACCATGGATGCTTTTGGCTTAGTAGGTGGCTTTCTTCCAGGCTCTCATTTCTCCATGTAAGTCTTTCGAACCGTGCTAGGCACAATCCAGTGTTACTTGGCCTTTATATACTTTTCCGTGAATACAATAAGCACATACGACCACAGGGTGTGGAAAACAGGGCTTCCCGTCCGCTCAGCCGTACTTAAGCCACACGCCGGGGGGTTAGTAGTTGGGTGGGTGACCACCAGCGAATCCCTTCTGTTGTATGTTTTTGTTTTTGCTTGCCATCAACAAGTGTACATAAAGCTCTAACCCAGTTTAATCATGAGTTGAATTTTCGTATCAAAAATATCGATAATATACCAGGGACCGACCGATCGCGCCGGGAAGCCATCTTACTACCATTGCGCAGTGCTCTGTCGACTCAGACCTAGCGACAAAATAAGATAGATCAGTTAGCTAGTAGATGTCATATCAGGAGCGATCCATAGTGTTCGGCTAAAATGGCTAATAAATCCATTCTCCTACAGTAGATGGGCCCGGTCTGAGCACGAATTGCTTCCTTTTGCTAGGGAGGATAGGTAAGTTCTGAGCAACTTTCATCTTGCCGGTTACTTAACTTCTCTGTCTCTTGATCTGGAGATGTGTCTTACTTTGTGACTGCCCTAGCTCGCGGCGTCTATCTATATCAGCCCCCAAAGGGAAGCCGATCGGCGCCAAAGTGGAGGTCTTCGGCTTTTATGCCATTGACAGCCAAAGTAGGGTCCAGAGCCGACCGTAACACGTTGGCGGCCCGGGCACATTGGACAGAAGGCCAGAAGGATAAGGTTACGTAGCACTTGTCCAAAAAAATCGCCATGGGTGTATGCAGGGTTGGGAATGTCACGTCACGTGGTTTCCTTCGAGGGGAAATTGTAGCGAGGCCTTCGAAGGGGGTGCGCATGCTTCGGACCCACTTTGAATAGTCAAAGGACAACAACATTCAAGATGATGGTTTTTAGTGTATGCGGGGTATATGGATTATATTGATGCCGCTACTCCTAACCTCCAGATCTAGTCAAATCTGGAGCCGCGAAATTGATAAGTATGCTGAATCATTCAGGGACGACACAAATCTGACGAACACTAAGCTTGTCTTTCTCTCTGATTTCTCTATCTTTACAGCAGGGATGTAAGAACTAAATAAAAAATCGGTCGAATTATGTCGGATATATTCTAGCATATATAGTCGATAGTCACCACCTTCCACCCCGTCCTATGCTATTATATCTAGTACTCTAGCGACCTTGAAGAAAATTACCCTAGGTGAATCTCGCCTTCGCACTGGGCAGCATGCATGAAGTTCGCTTTCAACGGAGTCACACTATAAGCAATTAGTCTGCGCGTGTGGGACGTGAAGAAAGCTAGACCCAAAGATGCAGCTATTTTCAAATGGCAATCAAATAAATGACACGTACCTGGTCTTTCCTTCACGCACTGCCCAATCATCATCTGCATCCGAGGTGCGGTCCATACTACCGTGGATATCTGATAGGTCCGGCGCCCATCGCAGTAGCAGAGGCGAATCCGCGTTCTGCGTAGTTGCATCACCCGACGGCAAAACAACTTGAAACGGACTGGCTGCCAGCCAACGGTTCGGTCGGATCCGAGTACACACGACCTTCCTGTCTCCGCTGGGAGCAGATTGCAGCGGTATGTTCACGGAGTAGAGTTCAACGCATTGGTCCCAGCTGCGGTACAAATGCTCAATCAGACGTACGGCATGCCTAGATGCATCTGTAATCTGCACCGGATTGCAGGCGTCGTGTTTTGTAGCGGGCTCAAAGGATAAAGCAATGGACCTCTTTCCACACAGGACAGCCTCCATGGCCCCGCCGATTGTGCCACTGGAGAGGGAAAAGAGAGCTGTGGCGTTCGCTCCAAGGTTGGGGCCCGATACCACCAGGTCGATTGGGATGGGCTTGCCCTCCTGCTGGTAAGAGTGATAGTGATGCAGCCCGATCTGCACACAACCAGCGGGGGTCGAATTGACCAGCATCCATGGACGTTGATTTTGCACCCCAATGCTGCTGCTGTTGGTGGTGCCATTGGATAGTCCTGGAGGGCTTTGGTGCTTGGTGCCTTCGAACTGGAACAGTTCGCCAGGGGAGAGATACGTCGCCTTGACCACCTCCCCGACGAAGTGGGCTTTCCCGATCCAGGAACGTTGCTGGTTTGGCAAGACCACAGTCACGATGTGTCCTTGGGTTTGGAGTTCGTGAACCAGGGAATGCACATATGGGGATGTATCCCGCGAAGGGGGCCCGTCGTCGTTGACAACCTGAGAAGATTAGCCACTCGAATTGATTCCTCCTTCCTGAAGGTGAATCGTGCGTACTAGAATATGCATGGGTGGGGATTTGTGTGGTTCAGAGCAAGCTTTGAATATGAGTGTGCACCAAGGAGTGGAGCAAAGGAGTCCGCTGACTAGAATCAATAGATAAGGAACAAGGAGCAAGGAAGATAGCTCTGAAATACGGGAAATCCACCGACATCTTCCATGGCGTACGGAGGATGTTGTAGTGCTTTCTGCACCGGGCACTGCTTGTCTGCTGTGGGGTAGGCATAACGTCATCTGGTTCTGAAGGGGAAATGTTCCCGAGCATCGGGAGGCCCCAAGGGAATTCTTTCCGAGACCGGACAAATTAGAGAGAAAACCCCGAGTTGTATGGAGAAGCGAGAGCTGGAGGCTATACTACTCGACCACGACGAAGGCTTTCTCGCAGTATTCTTACTTTCTATATGGCAAACCTTCTCCAGTCCTCCTCGGTTTCGTTACGGTCGAATTTCCAGATCATCGTGTTGATGTCTGCTGGGCAATGACCATATGCGTCATACATAGGTTCGATGATGGTTATTTAAGGGTTATACGATCGCCCACACCCATCAATTGTTATCTTAGTCAACTCGTGTTACATCTTCTGGAAGAATAGCATTCGGAAGCAAACGAACATGTTCAGGACAAAACCAGTGCGGTCTGTGCTGAGGTAAGGAAATACTCTCTAACTCAACATGCAAAACCGCGGTTGACAAGGTAAAATCTTCTATCGCCAGAGTGGATCGGTCCTGCATATTCATCTCAGGCAGCTCAGCAGCGCCAGAAGGCATATCTTCCGTGAGTGGAACATTATGCTTGTACGTTCTCAAAGATATATCGGTGAAAGCCATCAGCGTTAGACTAGTCGGGAGCCTAAGAATGTGAGTGGGCATCGGGAGTGAACATGACCTCGGTTTACAATATAACCTGACTTACCTCAGACCGCGCGATGACCATTCTGCAAAGTCTTACCAGGGAGGCATTACCTTCGAGCGCAGTCAAACATTGGCCACGTCAAGAGACAACTCATTCCTCATGCCGCGAGGGATGTATGTGTTGCCATTCGAGTTACCGCTGAGCCGGGAAATGCCGGAGACCGTGACTGGTGTCGGTCACAAGTATCATTCATACGAGGTCCAGGGCATTATGGTACATCGAAACTCCCACCTAGACGTTGTTAGTGCGCATCCCATTCGGCTTCATTACCTTCCTCACATCCTACAAAGCGATATGCTCGATCAAGTCGTCCCTGTGAGTATCCTATCAAGTTGTTCACAGTACTAGCGCTCATACTGACGCAATTAGCCATTGAAGTCAGTAGACGGGCTGATAGATGAGAGCATGTGGTACCGGATATCGATTTTCAGCACCGAAGTCCCTTTCGGAGCGACCTTTCCAGTCCGAGTTGAGTTTCATGCACTGCGAAAGGATTTCTCCCCGGGCAAAATAACCCTCCAAGTCTTGGAGACACACCTACTGAAGGTTACCCCAACGGCGTCCGACTCCATCACATACAACAGCGTCCTGTCCACGATCACACGAAAAGAGCATGCGGTCGTGCGCGAAACGTATGAGTATCTTGAATATACCACCGCGCAGTCATCCGATCTTCTGGGCTGCGAATGGGCAGCCACAGCACTCGTTCATCTGCCGCAGACTTTCCAGGCCTGCACACAGGACCTGCAGACGGAAGTAATTCAGCTGCATCATAAGCTTCAGTTTGAAGTCGAGTTCGAGGCCGAGCGTGCTCAGAGAAAAAAGGTATGAGCCGTGATCCAGCTCCGTCCGTCTTTCTTTGGTCTATGTTTGCAGTGTCGACGAATTGTATACTGACCCTGGAATTTGGCAACGCTACTTAGATCGTCGGCGCCATCCCTTTCCGAGTCTACATGTCTCCCTATACAGTGATGGAGCATGATCTCGTTTACCGACAGAACCTCCAAGAGCTTGAGATTGGTTTTGAGGAGCCGCCACCCTCTTACCTAGAGTACAACTCAAATACAGCGATTCAGTGCTAGATCTCCATACCAAAATGCTCAACGCTCTGACAGAGCTTGTTGATCTCTTGACCCTCACGGATGTAAACACGGCATCGCGACTGAGCGTCAATCAGTGCCTGGTTGGCAGTGATAGCCGTGGATAAATAAGGAAGGCTACACCGAAATTCAGACGCTCTGATCTGACTACACATTGTGCGGTGAAGCTCGGAAGATGTTGATACTACAGATTCAGGCGTAAAGCCAATCACTATGCATAATGGTCAATGTTGCCAGTATAGACACGCATTGATGTTCATCCCTTCGCCTGCATACCATGGAAGAGAAGACAGCTTCCGTGTTTCTATAGATTCTTTATGGTCTGGCCGTTGTTATTGAGGACAAAACTCAGTGACGCAAAGAATAGCGTGTTTCGACACAATTGACTGTTGTCTTATTAGGCTCATTGCCATCTTTTCAAGCCACGTCTGCAACGCTATGACCACGAATGACTATATACAGCCTATTCCCCAATCCATCATTCAACCCACAAACACCCTAGCTTAGAACAGCTTCTTCACCGACCGCAAATACACCAAAAGATAAACAACGGAGTAATTGAAAGCCACATAAGCCAGAAAAATGCCAAAGTACGGCCAGATATCCGACGAGTCTAGCCCGAGGCTGGCGAGATACTGTTGTTGCCTTGACGTCAGTACAATTACTCACAGGTTCGTTGCGGTTGGAATCTCACCTCATCGCCAGAATTATAATCGCAGTACCCGCAGACCCCCGACTCCTCCGGATTCGACAAATAGCCGACGCCCTTCTCAGCCAGCCACGGGCCCGCATACTCGCCGCAGGTCATGTTCACCGGACTGCGGAAGTAGCTCAGTTCATCTTTCTCACAGACGACCGGCATTCCGCGCAGAACGGAGGTTAGAACGCCTCCGATCCAATAGGTAAACGGGGTGAGGTAGTACATGATGTACTTCCAGAAGACCGGCATCTTGTCGTGCGGCTGGATGATGCCGTTGAAGAGCTCGCACATGGTGATGAAGAAGGGCATCAGGGTGGCTGCGATGGTTGCGTCGGCGCTACATTCGCTATTAGTCAAGTCTTTTGAGCGGCATGGCGGACGGCGAACTCACCTCAGCGCGGCAATCCACTGTCCCCACGAAGTGGCAAACAGGAAGAACAGGAAGAACATCAAAAAACTGTAGCCCGCGGCAAAGCCGTCCGGCAGTCCGGCGGTGAAGTAGCAGATCAGATAGAACATCACGCCCGAGCCGATGGCCAGCGGCATCTCGCAGAGGATCTGCGCCGTGCTGAACGCCACCCAGCCGTACATGCCCGCGGGTCCCTCGCGGGCGAGCCAGATGTCGCGGTTCATGACGAAGCGCATTGAAATAGCGTTGATGAATTCGGGAACGAGCATCAGGCACAAAAAGCAGAGGAATGCTTTGGACTCCAGGTCGGTGGAGCTGTTGCCCAGCTGGTAGAAGGTTAGGCCGTCGAGGAGGGCGTGCGCGAAGGAGGCGTAGAGGCGCGAATATGGGTACTCGGGGCTGCGCCAGTACTGTCGGAGGGTTCGACCGGTCAGAAGCTTGACTTGGCGGTAGAATGACGGGGAGGTGGGCTTGTCGATGGTGGGTGAAACCGCTGCAACTGTGCCTTGCCCTCGGATGGTCTGGATCTCAGCCTTGACTGCCGCCGCTTCGGTGGAATGATTCCACACGTCGACCCAATCGACGCTCTTTTCGGCTTCCTTCATACCAGCGACGACAATCTCGATGAGATAGTCTGCTGCATTGGTCACGTTCTCAGGCCGGTAGCCGTGTCGGCCGAAGTATTCGAAGATTGCACGGCCTGAGTCTCCTACTTCGCCGAAATAGTAGGTGTTACCACCGGGACTTAGGGCTAGGACGCGGTCAAACTGGTCTCGTTAGTACCTTTTCATCTAGTCAGTTCAGCGAGAGGATCTATACCTCTTCAAACTGTTCCTGATTCGCTTGATGGATAGTGCAAAGCACAGCCAAGCCTTGATCGGCAAGCTTCCTGAGCAGGGCCACAATACTTGAAGCACCCTGACTGTCAAGACCACTGGTCGGTTCGTCCAGGAACAACACCAATTCGGGTTTTGCGCAAAGCTCCACGCCAATGGTGACACGCTTCTTCTTCTCAATGTCCAGACAACCTATCACAGCATCCTGCAAATCGATCAAGTCCAGCGTGGCCAGAACAATGTTGACATAGGCCAGTTTCTCTGCATCGGGGGTATGCTGATTCTGTCTCAGCAGAGCGGAGAACTCGAATGCTTCGCGGATGGTACTTGTTTCGTCGTGGATGTCCATTTGCTGGCAATACCCGATGCGACGGTTGTAGGATTCGTCGGTCGGATGCCCATCGACAAACATCGTGCCGCTCAACTTTCCTGAGCTCTGGCGTTGGGTGAGGGCCGTCAACAGTGTGGACTTTCCTGCGCCAGATGCGCCGACCAAGGCCGTGAGGCTGCCCGGTTTGCAGTACCCAGACACTTTATTCAGCAGTCTCCTCGAATCCCTGCCTATCTCCACATGGAGCTCAAGATTATCCCATGTAAACGTCGACTTGCATGCCAGAACAGCTTGCTCCAGAGATTGGTCTTGATGAGGAGATTGGCGAGCAGCGGGCATGGCCTTGGTGTCTCCTTGCACACCACCAACTTCCTCATCCTGATTTGTCTGAGCTTTCCTTAATTTCTTCTGGGATCCCTTGTATTGAATTGGTCCTGCACTAGAGGATTCCCATTCAACGACCTCACTGACCCAACACGTTGCAGCGATATAGAACACGATGAAAAGGCACAGGATGCCGAAGTTACGCCACACGTGGTGGTAGTAGAAGCCGAAGTGAGAGGCCATGTAATCGTCCCCGGTGATGATCGTGGTCCCGATCCGGCTTCCGTAGTACGCGCATGTCTGGTAGGTGACATCGGTGTAGTTGGGTCCAGAGGGAACAATTGATCCGGGAGAACAGGTGAAGTCCGTATTATGGAACTCGGCCGCCATCATCGATTCGAAGGTGTAGATGACCGGCGTTGTGTACTGTGGGACATGTGAGTACATCTCCAGTAGCCAGTGCAGGGCTACGTACCGCTATCCACCCTACCCAGGGAACGTTATTGATAAGTCTGTCCAGCGAAATGACATAACCTCCAAGAACAATACATGCCAGGACGGAAAGACCAGCATAACGCAGCGCAACCTCAAATGTCTTCGAAACCGCAGCGAACAGTCTGAACTGCTGTGTCAAGCAGATCGCGCAGAGGAAGATGAAAAGAAAGTCTATGAAGAATGACCCGGCCTAGTAGAGTCAGTGTCGGTACAGATGGTGGAAAACGGTCATGCTTACGTTGGTCTTCAAGCCCGAAAGAAAGTAAACCACGACCTGAAATAATGCACTGATGGTGACAAGAAGCACGACATCGGAGAGCAACCGCGCCAGACACACTGCGCTAGGCCGGACAAACGCAAATTTCTTCTGACGGCTGAGAATGTCTCGCCCCTGCATCGCGTCCTCCAACTCCGACATCTGCAACCATGCGAGCATCAACGAGGAGTAAAAGATGACACCGCCGCGCGAGTACAGTCCATCGCTCGTTTGGGGCATATCATAAAATAGACTGCCGATGAGCAGCCCATAAACGACAGCCGACATCAGCTTGATGTAGATAGGCCCCATGTGGTTCCTGGTCTGCCACAACTGCCGTCGGGCACAGAGCACAATCTGCCGGAAGAGAGAAACGGTGTAGGGTGACTTTGGCGACACGAAGCGCGATTTCTCGGTCTGCACGGCCTTCTTGAACTCTTCCAGACTTCCTGTATCTGAATCATCCGACGGAACCTGTCCGCCTAGGCGCTGATCCTCGTAGTTCCGAATATCTCTCTTCACGGCCTGGTAAGCGTTGCTCGCCCGAAACGCCGTCTCTAATTCCTCCGCTCCCTTTGGTGCACGGCTCTCCCAGCCCGGTTGAAATCGTCGTCGTTCGGGAATGGACACACTTGTTAGAAAGTCGCAGGTGGTCTGCATCGGGGCGCACTCGTAGCCAAGATCCTCGAAATAACGCTTTGCGTCGCGCGCAGGTCCTTGGTAGAGCATGCGGCCCTCGTCAATCAGCAGGACCTTATCCACCAGATCGTAAATAGCATCAGAGGCCTGATACAGCGTCATCAATGTGGCCTTGCCGCACGTGTCCGTCATGATGCGGAGACTACGCGCGTAGTCCAGCGCAGACGATGCGTCTAGCCCTCTCGTCGAGTTGTCCCAGCAGCTGATCGCCGAATCCGTGGCCAGGGACTCTATGATCGAGATACGTTTGCGCTCGCCGCCGGACACACCGCGAATAAATTCATTTCCGACCAGGGTGTCCATGGTGTGCGACATGGCAAAAACACGTCCGTAAATCTCCAGGTAGCGAGGGATCCGGTCCTGACATCGCTTGGGGGTCTTGCACTGCAGCGCGAACTCCAGCGTCTGTTGGACGTTGAGAGTGGGGAAGTGCACATCGTCCTCTGGGCTGTAGGCGACTTGACCGCGGTAATGAGTCTGAACCTCCTCCAGACTCAGTCCGGAGTAGTCGATGGAGCCTGTAACCCCGAGGTAGGAGGAGTGATCACCGGCGATAGTGCGCAGGAACGTCGAGCATCCTGCTCCGGGTCTCCCCAGCACACTGGATATCAATTCGGTCAGCTCATTGGTCTGTGTTCCACCTGTTTAGACCCAAAAAACATGACTCACAGCATCATCTCACTACTCCGCACCACGCCTGAGAAATCCCGAATCAACTGCCGTCCACTCTCCGGCTTCTTCTTCGACGCCCACGGCTTGATGGTCCATTCATAGACATCCTGTAGGGTCAACGTCCGCCACAGCGCCGTCCCGAGAGTCTTGACCTTGACATGATCTTCCCCGTCTCCCCAGGTCGAAAGCGACTGGAAACAAACCCCAAGGTTAGATCTCATCTTCCCAGCGCGCACCTCCTCGTCCAGAAACTTATCGAACGAGGAATGCGGCTCCGCATATTCCGGACGCGCATCCCTGCGGCTCTGCGCGGTCAAGGTGCGATGGATCTCCGCCAACTCCCCCTCATCCTCCTCTGACAGGAACACATGCGACAAAGGAGCTCCGTCATCATGAGCCCTCGCTCCCTCCGATGAAGCGGTGGCAGAGGACTGCAAGTGTGGTACGGGATGTGGAGGCATTATACTTAGCCCAAGGCCATTGAGAAGCACAACTAGAATCCGGGTCTGACTCCAACACAACCACCGCAAGGTGTTGGACACTATTTAAGGACAAATTGAGGGAGTGCAGCCCGGGACCCGCGGGGTAGTGGATGATTTACATATTCTCGGTCCCCGGAACCCCAAAACGGAAGCCAAGACACATTCGGTCTAGGCGTTTTGCCGGCGGCGATAGAATCATAATCTTATTAAGTAATAAATTATGATTTGCAGCCCTAGCCGCAGCAGAAACCTATTCTCCGACTGGCCCAGAGAAGCTCGCGGAATGACCTGGGGATTGGTACCTACCAGCCATACTTGCAGTCTGAGTTTTCTGCCCGTTTAGAGTCGTGATTGGTCTACAGGCGCTAAGCGGGGCGCCTTAGCGAGGTTGGCGCCCATCAAAGATGAGGTCAGCAAATTGCGGCGCTATTTTTACTAGATTAGGAAGCTCGGGGGAGAAAAAGCTTTTTGTGCCGGAGACCCACCGGCCCATGCCTGGCAGAAGCCGAAGTCAATCACGAGAATGTGCTGCATGGTCTTGCATGCATATCGTATTGCGGGTATTTGCCATACTCGTGGGGGAGGGAAAACAGACGGACATGGTGGAAATTGATAGCCATGTCATCACGTGATCGAGATGCGAATGTCTACGGTACATCGCTCAATGATGACTGTGTCCTGTATATAGCAATTGAGCTCATTGCTCAAGGACACTTTTAATCCCCGAATTCTTGCGATGAGCTGCGAAAGATCTCTTTCACAACCAAAAATGCCGTAGTTGATGTGATCAATCACGCACTTTCTAGTTACGAAGACTAAGTCCTCGACGGATCAGTCTCCCAAGATTGAGAGAGCAGGTCGAGAAGAGCGTTATGGAAGAGTGAAGATTGGCTAATTCCGTAAAGTACTAGACTACATCCCCAAGTTCTCATTCTCAAGATTCGTTCAAAACAGGTGTGCTTTTCGTAGCTCGCCACGAGTTTTCCGTGTAATGACGTCATTCCCAGGCTGCGCTACAAGAAGCCACCCAAGATAGAGCAAAGAACTACATCGATTCGAAGATCGATGGGTATGATGCAGTCATAAATACACAAGAATCAAGTCAGTCTAGCTAGTGTAGACTACCTATGAAAAGAGTAACCTTTCACCATAAACCACAAGGGCGGAACCGCCAGCAAGGATATAAAAGTCTCTGCGAAACCCAGCCAGCGAGCCCCAGCTCTATTCGAGTAATCGGACCTCTAAGCTACCATCCATCGCCAAGACACCAAGTTACTCAGCTAGATGCAAGTCCTTTGCCAAGTCCGGCTGCATCAACTCCTGGTTGAACTCCTCCGACGCAGGCAACTCCAGATGCACATGCGTGTTGACTGCGGCCTTCAACTCGACATTCTCAGCCTCAAACTCCAAGACATGACCACCAGCCTGGCGGTCTGAAGACAGAAAATGCAGATGAAAGCCGGCGACGCAGATCCCGTTCGTGTACGGCGGGGAATAGAACCCGAACAGCGTGCCGGCGACATTGTCGTACGTCTTGATGACCTGGCGCTTAGACAGTTCTAGCAACGGCTCCCGTGGGCGGATCTGCGGGCCACCGATGCGGTACACGATCTTCTTGAACGTGGCGTCCACGCGGACGGCGATAAAGTTATTCTGATTGGCGGGGAAGAATGGATGCAGGGCTTCCTGTAGGGTGTCCATGCGCAACGTGTCCAGGGGTTTGGTCAGCGTGGGCTGAAAGTCCGTGGCGACGATCATTGGTAGATGGTCTGTGGGCGCCAGCCGGTGTAGTTGATTGTCTGGGGTAAAGTGATAGGCCTCGCCGTCTATTATGACGATCTCGCCGTTCAGGCCGCAGACGGTGCCAAGGCCGTGGTTGCATCTGGAGAGGACATTGGAGACGGTCGCTCCGTCGGAGGAGAAGCCCTGCATCAGGGCGCTGAAGACGCCATACTGATAGATGTGATTCATTTTGGGACGAGATTGGGATTGTATCTCATGTGGTAATGAATGTGTCGGATTCTGGTGACAGGATGATGATGATGATGCTCGCGCGGGGTTGTCTATATGACTGGGCACTAATCCGTTTAAGGAAACCGATACCGGTGGCATTATGCTCAAATGCGGCTCTTGAAGCCGAGGAGGCTGGCTTCTACTCCGTGCTCATAATTCCTTGGTGTAATAGATATATACTCCATATTTTGGCCAAGTCATTTCTGGCTAGGCTAGGAGACAAATTGCGCAGTTTCACACACTAAGACTCATATCAGCTGCTGTGTCTGCCGCATCGCTTACCATGCCAGCAAACCGTATGACCACCGCACGGGCCACAACTTAGCATTGCGGTTAACCCGCAATCGGTCTGCGGTCTCTGTTCTATTGCACATCTGATGGCCAGGGCTTCGAAGGTCATGTGCAGGAACTCCCCCCCCCGGGGCTGGAGGATCCGGATTATCCTGCTACAGTCACCTTCCATAACTAAATCTCAAATGAATCTTCTGATTTTAAGCATTAAAAAAGTCCCCATGTCTTGAAGATATACGGTAAGTTTAGTATCCAATGCAGGGCTCAAGTGTGTGGTGTAACATGGAACCAACCCAATTAGCTGGATTAAGAGGGCTAGCACACAAACATTCCGTAGAGTCTACCAGTGTCGTTGAGATCACTTCCTAGTTCGAACAAAATACCTCGCATCATTCGGCATGAACCTATTGTAGAGAATACTGGACGAACTCAGGTCTTCTTGGAGATGATGCTTGTAAAGTGTCTATGTAGTATAGGATGGAAAGGATTGGAGGGGGCGGGTGGGGCAGAATACTGAGTACCTCCCAAGTTCCCATGCATCTTTAGCGCATGAAGACGGGCAGCGATGCTGCTCCCAGCCTCCCAGCCTCCCACAGGAAATCAGTCGTAGGGCTGGCTCACCTGGTCCACTGCAGTCCGGCTGTACGTCACATGGCACGTGCTCTGCAACACTTCAAGGTTCAAACGATTTGTCTCAAGCCTATTTTAGGATAGAGTTTGATGCAGAAGGGTTGTCGTCATTTAGTTCTAGATGTTCTATCAGTGTTGCTCTTGCTCCTGCGTATCCGCCAGGTGGCTAAAGATCCTTTAATGAATGAGCGGTGAGTCACCTCGTTTCATCTAATCACCGTAACCCGTGGTTGCATCTGGTCGGAAAATGTCGCGTTGAAGATATTGCAGGCAGAGTTTGCATGTCCAGCTTCGTTGAGGTTGCCGCATCAGGGTCCAATGGTAATGGTTTCATGCCCTATGGCTAAAGTACGGGAAGTCCCGGACTGGCCCAGTAGGTAGAAAGATGAGGTAAAAAAGAAGCCCGAGCCATCTCCGAGTCTCCGAGATATTTCCGCGCGCCGAATGAAAACCGAAGCGCTTACTTGCCATCTATGAAATATCTGACGATGCCCATGGGTTAGATATATAAGCGTAGTTCAGCCTTATCTTTCTTTCCTGTAGAATAAGCAGTTCAGTCTCTTTCTGTCAATCTGTCTCTCTGTCGTGCAAATTGCTTTGCTCAAAATGAGTGCGAGATCGTCTTTAGAGGTCAAACTCCTGGAGAAACCACGACATGTCTCCACAAGAACAAGAAGCAACCTCAAGTCTCGCTTACGAGAACAATGGGAGCTATGGAAGGTCGGGCTAGCTGCGAAGGAGCATTGGGATGACGAATATAATTTTCCGCCGGGTCGATATTATGGCCAGAGCCACCCATAGATGTGAGTGAATGTTTGCCATTTTGTTGGCCTAGGTCTCTAACATGTGTTGCTTTCAGTCATACCTGTCATTGAACCTCATACAAACTACCACAACTCAGCCTAATCAAGGCAAACCAAACGATTCCACGAACGCATGTCCCAGAAGAGCCACACAAACTTCCCAACACGGCACCAAGGGATCCTATGATATCGACGACATCTTCTTTCACATTTCAAAGCCATCAGTCAGTTTTCCGGTCATTTCATGTTTGATGTTGCAACCTATCCAAGCATCAGTACGGCGTTCGCTTGAGATTCATCTCAACAATTGCGCTATACGAACATGTAATGTTTGATTCACATACCCGAGAATCAGGACCTGTCCATTATTTTCAATTTAATAGATCTTTACTGTCTTCATTATCTTCCCAATAAAAGATTTACTCCGCTCCAGCTCCGACAATGTCTCTCCTTACCTTTTGTCAGAAGCCTTGGAAAAAAGATTATCTTTTTGTCGCCCGGTTGTCATGAATATGTATCGATCCAGGGTTTTGAGCCGAGCTCCCGCATGAGCGACGAATCTTGCCTAGTCGAGACGACATAAAGCGACACGCACGCAGGGAAAGAAGCCTTGGGCATCACGCTGTCTTGGCCTGCCATACTTAAGCGACATGTCAAATCCACGAAGTGAACACATGAAGGTCTATTTGAGTATAGGGGTGCTTGTAGAATTAATTACTATTCGAGCACAACCGTTGGACCCGTGACCGTGGACCGTGGACCCTCCCGACAACTTCCCAAACCGGTTAGACTGTCTTCTCCGTTGACCTTCCTTTTTCGGCATGGCCACATCCACATTGACTGGGCCCTGCACGCCTACCACATTTCTATACTCACGTAGTCATTTTATAAAAGAGGAACCCTCCTCGTCGAAAATACGCAATGAATGTGAGTCCTTGCTTCTCGCAGCTAGAAACATGTCTGACTACTCCACAGAGCAAGACAAACCGCCAGGTGAGGGCTCCGGGGTGATGTCTTCCTCTCCTGCCCAACTCTCGCCCGATATGCACCGTCCACAGCCATCGTCATCGCCACTGGATGCAGCTACGATAGAGAGGTTAGGGCGAGAACGACCCCCCACCTTCTCGAGTATCTGGTCTGAGTTGGCTTTCTGCTTTTCTATCATTATGTGTCAAGTTCTGGCAGTACGACCGTACCCCGATGTCCGTCGCATAGCTTTTGAGATGTCTAACATGTAGTCAACATAGGAATACTACATTTCCGGCTCCAATGTCCTTCTTCCGACGCTCCTTGACGAGCTGGATATCCCCTCGACACTGTCAATCTGGCCGTCCACCGCTCTCTCCCTCGCGGTGACGTCTACCCTCCTCATCTATGGCCGCCTCGCGGACATGTACGGCGGGTTCATTATGTACTTTGGGGGAATGGTGTGGCTGACTGTCACCTCCCTCATTGCCGGATTCTCTCAAAATTGGATGATGTTGTTTGTGTTTCGTGGTCTGCAGGGGCTGGGCTTAGCTTCCTTCCTTCCCTCCAGCATCATGATTCTCGGAAAGGTCTATCGCCCTGGGCCGCGCAAGAACCTTGTCTTCAGTGTTTATGGCGCCTGCGCAGCGCTGGGATTCTTTGCTGGAATTTTCTTCTCGGGCCTCGCAGGCAGTTTCCTCACCTGGCGCTGGTACTTCTATATTGGCTCAATACTGTCTGCCATTACGGCTCTTTCGTCATACTTCTCGATTCCAAATGATTATTCCGCTACGAGAGCGTCGTCAAAGGCTTCAATGGACTGGATAGGGGGTATATTGCTTGTTCCCGGGGTCGTACTATTTGTCTTTGCGATTGCGGATAGCGCGCACGCGCCGCAGCAGTGGCGAACACCGTACATCCTTGTCTGTCTCATCCTAGGCGCTGTCATCTTAGGTGCCTTCGTCTACGTGGAGGGCTGGGTGGCCGATAAGCCTTTGCTGCCCGGAGATTTGTTTTCTGTCAGGTACATGAAGCCGATCGTGATCTGTCTGCTGCTCATGTACGGCAGCCTGGGAATTTTCCTTCTCTATGCTGCGCTCTAGTATGCCCTCACCCCAACCTGCCCCAACTTCCATCTCTCTATCTCTTCTTCACGCATCTACTAACGCTCCGCATCAACAGCATGGAAGGTATAATGGGCGCAACCCCACTCCAAGTCGTCGCCTGGACGACCCCGATGGCCGTGGGCGGCCTGATAATATCGATAGTCGGGGGCCACGTCCTGCATAGTTTGAGCGGAACCCTTCTCATTATTCTTTCAGCCCTGGGCTACTTAGGCTCAGGCCTTCTCTTTGCGGTGATCCCCAAGGGAGGCAACTACTGGGCCTTCGTGTTTCCGGCCATGATCTGCGGGACGATCGGCATTGACATCAGCTTCAACGTGACCAATATCTTCATCACAACGAATATGCCCGGGGAGCGCCAGGGGCTGGCGGGGGCGTTGATCAACTGCACCCTGCACATGGGCATTGCCGTCATGTTGGCCTCCGCGGACCTCATCCAAGTCTACACGGAGGAGTACCTGGACACAAAAGAGAGCTACCAGGCTATCTTTTGGTTCCAGGTTGGGCTGTCAGGGCTAGCATTGATCTTGATCGCGCTGTTCGTCAGGATTGAGCGCGCCAAGAGTGACCTGACGGTTGATGAGAAGCGGAGGTTGCAGATGGAGCAGGAGGGCATTTTAAAGGATCCTTGATACCATTGATGGATGTAATATGCAGATGATGATGGAATTTTGGGAAGCGTGTCAGCATGGTATAAGGGCCGAATTTTGCATTTCTTACATCTGTCGTCCCTGTGTATAATGATTCGGTAAAGCGTTTCGACAACAAAACTTCTGGCAGGGCGGTGAGGAGCAAAGGATTTAGCGGGATATAGATAGAGAATGACAGAGCCTAGATCACGCAAGAAATGCATAGTAACGAACGGTAGTCTGACCAAGGCCAGCTGAGATTATATCTAAATGAACGCAATTTGGTCGCATACGGGGATGCATCGCGGCAGCTTTGTCCTTCCATTCTAGCCCCAATTGGACGGATTATGTCCTATTTCCTCCGACGAATTCAGCCAAGCCCCAACTTCACAAAGGCCTCTTTGTATGCAAAAAACGATAGGCGGCAGATCCCTTTGCAATATTCCTTCCTTAATGTTATTGTCATTTGAAGAAATGCACCATCGCTGTTGGATAGTCGCAGATCAACTCCATTACAGTGTAGGACGACGTTGAGAGCAGAAATGAGAGAATCGCGAGATAAAAGCTTTTTTGCAAGCAGCGGTACGTAATCTTCTGACTGAGTAGGTACAACATATGAACTCAATATGAGCGAGCATATCCGATGCCAGGGCTACTAGAGCTATTAGTCAAGTTACACATTGCTCGTGTGATGGGTATCATGCTACTTGTTGTCTTCGACTAGAATTAACCTGATCCTCACCCTGTTTAGAATATGAGGTCAATCTTATTTAGCAGTTGAGGCACATATACTCGATACAGAGCTCTTTCCATAGAATGCTATTCCGATTGTTGAATCAAGTAGAGACGGAGACGGAGGACAAGTGGGAGCAAAACGGGTGGAGTCCAGAAGATTTTCTGATAGTCAAGAGGGTCATGATTAACAACATGACCTGTGCAATGACCTGTGCCAAATACTGTCCTGGTCGCATCAGTGGTTGAATCCCTTGTCTCACATCGGGAAAAATGGATATGACTGTTGTTAGACCAATCCTCAGGGTGGGAATTCTGCTTAGTCAATATCCAACTGCGGTTTGATAACATCTCATCAAAACCTGTAAAACAAAGACTGTATTCTGCGTACAAGCGTAATTTGCAGTATGATGATTGATATTCGACTTTCAAGGCTACTGTCACTACTTTCATTAGACCATTTTTGCTATAAGGAATCCAGGGCCGGCTGAGCAAACATACAAGAGCTTTTGAACATCCGCACCCGCATGGCTTTTCCGGGAACTGTTCGAGATCACCACTTACTGGAATATTATCAATAACTACCCCGATCAGCATCGATAGTATAGACAATCTGCTTGTAAATCGATCATATGTCTCATTGACACATACAATCTAGATTTAAAGCATGATATTTAAGTGGCTGAGATCCCTCAACACGCACCAAGACACCCGCGTACTCTCTTTGTCATCGCTGAAACTCCTTTTTTCCATCACCACTTTCAGGTATCGTCCCGACCTGAAGCTTCCTACTCCCGCTCTACTTATTGCCGCGCTTTTGACCGCTGCTGTCGCGTTGTCCGTTCAAAATAGCTCGCCAACATTGGAGCAGGGGAAACCTGCGGTAAGCAAGTCATCACAACCATCACACAACTGCTAGGCTGACAACGATGCTTTCAAGAAGGGTCAAGTAGTAGGTCCCTTTCCACGGCTTGCTGTATCACGGTCAATGAACTCGGCCATGCAGCGAGACATTGTTGTGGACAGTCGTCACACGAGAAGCAAACGCCAAAACGAGGATTGCAATGAACTAGCAGATGACACTCAAGAAGAGAGTACATGTTATATCGATGCAGAGCTCGACGAGTGCATAAGCGTTGCAGATCGGGATATAGAGGCGGAAACACAGTGTTGGCAGAGTGCACTTCAGGATTGCTCGGACAACGTAGCTGATAACGCTGACGATGTTGACCCCTGTTACCAAAGATATGCTTTTATCTGAGGTAGCATGAGGTAAAACGTATCAAAATCTCTAGCTATGCACGGAACCAGGTTTTAGATTCTAGTTGCTGCGGCTGAGAAAGCAGATTGTGAGCACCCTGGCTGCCCTAGGATGAGGTGCAAAGCCTCGAGGGGGAGAGAATGCCGCGGCTATGGATTAGTTTGGGTTTGTGTCGAATTATGTGCTTGGAGAACTATTGTTCTGCATGTGAATGGATCACCTATCATGTATATTCCGAGGTTTCATCTCTGCAGCAGGTTGGTCTAGTAGCCATTTGTATTTCAGCGTCTATCAGCAGTATTAGTGTATCTTCGGGCTGGCAAATTTGAGTGGTGTCGATACTCAGCTTCCTGCTACAAAATGAAAGAAAGCAGGCGCTAAAGCGAGAAAGCTAGTGGATGCTATTGACGGCTTGCATTTGGATTGACTTCTCACGGAGCGAGAGCATTGTGGATCACAATTATCAATCCTATCGGTAGTCGGGTGCTATCCTAGCAATCTTACCCCGCATGCATGATTCGGATTGAGCATCCGACGACCCGAAGTTGTGCAACCATGCGTCGATATAAATAACTCGTTGTCATTCACCTCCCTGCTTCGGAATTTCTTGCACTTCCCAGTCATATACACAGCTCCAAACAATGTCCAGCCCAACAATGCAAGTCGCCCCGAGCTCTACCTGATCCCCCCTACCAAACACTCTCCCAACTCTCCCTTTCCCGTTATCGTCTTTCGCGGCGCCCTTCTTGATCGTACTCCAACCGGTGCCTTGGAAGCCATAGAGCTATCTGAATGGGCCCACGGTGGTCATTGGAAAATTGGTGGCGAGAAGGTCGCCACCACACCTCATTATCACGGCACGACCCACGAAGCCTACACCGTTCTCCAGGGAAGTGGGACCTATCTTCTCGGTCGATCACCGTTGACCCCGAGACAGATGAGAAGAGGAACTCCGTGGGCGTGAAGTTTGTCGCGAAAGCAGGTGATGTCTTTGTCTTTCCGGTACATAGTTCCAAACCACTCTATTGAAGAAAACTTATGTCTCACGATGAGGTGAATTACAGGCTGGAGTCACGCACTACGTGACTGAGACGGAGGACGACTATGAAATCATCGGGTTCTATTCCTTGGTGAGAGGCAGATTAGCTCTCATTACCCTGCTGCAGACTGATCAGTGGCAGAACGACCGAAACTCCAGCGAGAGCCCGTATAATATGGAGTATGCCTTAGACTCGATTGAGAAGACCGATGAAAAGCGGCAGATGTGCAGGCAAGTGCCTGTTCCGGCCCACGATCCGATCTACGGTACGGAAGGGATTCCGAGAATCTGGCGAGAGGAGTGAGAGCATGCTGACCATATGTTCCCATCTTTTAACTTAACATAACGACCTGCACTGAGATCATGTCTCTCAGAAAGATTCACTAGTGCATCGCTTCTCTTTCTACTCAACATTTTATTATCGTGAAGTAGGACATAGGTCTCGAACTGTTGGCCCCCTGCGATTTGTAATTACAAGGAGAGCGAGATCAACCAGTTGTAAGACAATATGTAATCAAACACGAGATCACAAAGTCAACAACAAGATGAGGAAAACCTTGATGCAGGCAGCTCAGAGCCGTGAAATGAGGGTCGAGCGGTAGAGGTTCGTATTCGAGCTGGGTCTGAAACAATTGCGGGGGCCGAAGGATTAGGGATGCGCGCCTAATTTACCCAACTACTAATCATCATTTTCTCCTCTAGGCTTTAGCGTCAGGGCCAAAGTGAAGCGTGTTGTGCTCCCGGGAAATGAAACATACAGAAGATTATTGCTGATTTTGTCTCACAATGTGGTTTCCCGAGCGGGTATATAAGCCTGGGCACAGAACAAGATGAACGGATTCTCGTCTCCCTCAGAATCACAATCATATACATCTGAGAATCACAAACATGTTACCCACATTGGTGATTCTTGGCCTCAGTGCCGTCGCCAACGCGCACGTCGCCGCCTGGGCGAAAGGAATGTACTGTCTGAACGGCACCTCCGGCACTGATGACCCCAACACCAACACGGCCGTCAACCCCCTATACATGCTCGATCAGTCCGACTGGTGGTTCCAGCACGACCGTAGCTGCGACAGCTTTCCCCCCGCAGACGGCGATTTTCTCGAGCTTCCTGCCAACGGACAATTCACCGTGGAGCTGGCGCACAACCGCGCGCAGACGACGCTCTCGTACAATGGCCAACACGCGGGCGAGTGGCCCGACGGCAACGACCACCCTGGAGACTGGTCGGGTCCCGGAAGCCCCCCTGACTGCATCCAGGATGACGGGGCGATGCACACGCAGAATCAATCCATGGCTGCAGGAACGGCATTCGCGATCAGCTATCAGAGCGACTTGACCCAGGTGACGATAGAGAACCTTGTTGTCTTTAGTGTTTTGGAGCAGTAAGTGTTCACTTGGGTTTCGAGACGTCAAGTGGCTTACACGCTTGATGAAGCACCCCGTGGAAGAGACTGGCTACGTACGACGTGCCGGATCTCCCTGCCTGTCCGCCTGCAGGCTGCACCTGCGCTTGGCTTTGGGTAAGATCTACATACATACACACCCAACTTCGTCAGACAATTCCATTGACAATTAGTTATAGGTTCCCAACGGTTGCGGACAACCTAACATGTGAGTTACATAGACCCTATCTTGTGGGCCAAGGACTAATGTGTTAAGGTACATGCACGGTTTCAAATGCACCGTGACGGGAGCCAGCTCGACCAAGACTCTTGCTGCGGCACAAGCTCCTGTTTACTGCGGTGACGACTCATCGAAATGTGTCAAGGGCGCCAAGCAGATGATCGCATGGAACCGTCAGTACTCGATCCGTTGCGTTGCTGCCTCATTGCTGATAAGAAGGTTATACAGAACAATCCGGTAACAATGTGGAAACCCCCAGTGGGGTCAGTCCCGCGTACAGCAGCGTCTTAGGGTGGGAGAGTGGTATGATCATGTATTGCACCTAATAAACATTTGACTGACCACAAACCACACGCAGGTGCTCAAAATGATATTTTCAGCTGAACAGTCGATCCTTGGTGATCACCTCAATGCAGCTTGAGTCGAGGATTTCTGTACTATATTTTTGTCAATGATTGATAATGGCCAGTGTGGATTGTGGCATTTCGGATTTGACTGTAGCATACACCGTCTATCGGGGACGAGTCAGCATTGATCCCGCCACAGCCCTTTCCAGAGACTGTACAACGAGAAAGATCTTGTGATGGCTGGCCACATTGTCGAGGGCAAAGACTTCGTCTCTGCCCATCAGAGTAGCATGGTCTTATTGGGTAGACTGTGGGATCACAGAGCCCGTCAAGCCACGGAGAAAATGTGATTCCAGATCTTGCGGTCGGAACTCCTTGCAATCGTCTTCGACGTATCACTCTCAGGTACTAGTCAGGAATTGTCTATGAGAGCCACCTCAAACGCGACGTGATGCCCGAAACTCACTCCCAAGCACGCGAGGTCTTGTTCAAGTGATAGCCTCACATCTGCCTGAGTTCGCTATTAGGGGCTCCCCTGCTGTCTATGAGCTCTAACATGTGAATCTCAGAGCGTCGAAGCTACCTTATAGCTTATCTAGTTTAAAGCCAGAAGGACTGGTCGCAAATCAGATTGTTAGACAGTAGCAGGAAGCTCTAAGCTAATGGGACTAAATACAGCAGCCAGCCTACAACCATGGGTTCGTAGCACCCAAGCGATTGTTGAGGCATTACGGGCAGGCAAATGGACGACAGAACTCCTTAGCATCAGATAAGATGAAATGACGGAATCTCTCATCCTTGATTGGGCGATAAGCCGCGGGTTGTGGAAATAAGCTCGGGGAGCATCCGTGGCTACCAGATTGGTCGCGGGTGGGCAGAATCACTCGTCGACGTCACGGGGATGAGTCTTCCAGTACTCATCCAGCTCTTTGTCGCTCAAACTGGGGACAGCATCGTAATGAGTGAGCGGGGCTAGAGGGATGCCCAACTCCTCGAATTTCGCAAGGCGTTTCTTGGTCAGCTCGTGGGTCTTGTTGACACTATACACCTTGACGCGATGCGCGGAAGATGTGACGTGCAACCCCCAGTTCCAGGTCTGACGGATTCCAATCGGCTCAGTGTTGAGAGCGTTGTCCCATGTCCTCACGACCAGCTCGATCCATCCTTCTACATCGCAGGGAATATCAATCTCCCATGTCCGCCACGTCCATTTGCCCTTCTTGGACAGGCGCTCCTCCGGGACTGCATACCAGGTGAAACCGCCGTCTGCTGAGAGCTCGACACGCTCTGGCCAGCGTCCACCACCACTGTAGGCCCATCCCTTGCATGCGATTGACCCGTTGTGGAAGATAACTTGGTGCTGCCAGGGTGACATGATCGCCGAGCTGACAGGCATCTCCTGGATCTGGATCCCGTCAATCGGGCGCTGGTTGTACTTGCCGACCTGTTGGTTGAAATAGAGGTATTCGCGGCTCTGAACTGGAGCAATTGAGGCATTCTCAATTGCCTTGATTCTGTAAAGCCATTTGACGGACCTCGCCCCGATATACCCGGCAACCATGACGCGTAAGGGGTACCCGTGGATTTTGGGGAGTGGCTCTCCATTCATCTCCCAGGCGAGCATGACCTCATTGGCCTTGACCTTAGACCAGGGCACGCTGACCACGTAGTTCATCACCTCCAAGTCCTTGACGTAAGTCTCCGCGCCGTATAGTTCGAGATGCTTGGCGCCGTCGATCAACCCCCCACAATCCTTGATGACCTTCTTCAGGCTGATACCGACATATCGAGCTGTTCCAATGGCTCCTTCAGCCCACGGTGCCTGGGGCACCTCATCGCCTTGACCAGGATATAGAGTTATCTGTTCGATTCGACGAGTTCCGGAGCATTGCATGGTGATAGTCTTCTCCATGCGCGGGAACCGAGTTTCGTCCATCAGTTCGTCCAGGGTGTACGTCTTTGGGTTCTTGACTAGCCCGTCTAGCTTTAGCTCGAATTTATCCTTATCGATCAGCGGAATACCGCCGTGATTGCGCACGAAGTGCAAGGAATTCGGGGTAATGGGCTTCGACGTCACCAACCGTTTGGGCGGCTCTCCGTTGTATGGGAACTGCAAGAGATGCAGCATGTCGGGATGCTTCTCTTTCAGGACCGTTTCCCACGAGTCATCGGCTACGGTTGTCAGCTCGCCGCCGATGGCAGCATGCCAGGCTTTGAAGTCGTCTCCCGACAGTACGGGGTTGGTGCCGGGGATAGGTCCAAATTGGTAGTCCGGACAATCCGGAAAGGTCTGAGACTTGAGGATTTCATGCGCCTTGGCCTTCTTCTCGGGGTGATCCTCCCATTCCACATATCTGGCAGTGAATCAGCTGCGTAATCGAGGTGGATAAGAAACGAGACATACCCAAGCCAGCCCTCTCGTTCCCGAGCGAACAACTTATCGCGATTCCCAACCGCCTCAATCGCCACTTTGTCTTGCTTGATCTTGGCCGGCGGACGAGGATATATGTGGATGGTCTCTTTGCCGGTCTGGTCGAGGATAGGCAGCTTGTGGCCTGCCATGCCCTGCTCAATCATCCACTCATCGGGGCGATTCTTGGTATCTGATTTCTGGCTAATTTCCATTTTGAAGGTGTGCTCGCGAGATTAAGAGCCGGTTCGACGTGCTCAAGTTGTCTAGTCGTAGGGCTGAGAGTGGGTTGAGGAGGTGTGTTATCTGTTTATCTGCTCGCAACGAAGGAGGGGCAAGTCGATCAGTCGGATTCGGGAATTGGTGATTGTCCAATGACGTCTCCCAATCGCGTCCAGGTGGCTGTCACGTCGGATAAGGCGGAGTCAATCACATCAACTTCTCGTATTTCTCCCCGACCGGACTTCCTGGGCTGGCTTGCAGGGGTCGAGAGAGGACAAAGCCACATACCTAATGCATGGTCCATTTGCTTGCACAGACACCAGTCCCAAGACGGCATCTTTAGAGTGCTCCATGCATTTTGCTACCAAAGATGGCCTGTGAATGTCTCAAATGATAGCCTATTAGCTCCTGGTTTCAGGGAATAGGGCAACGCACCTCGTGTCGGACACCACCACGTCATACGAGTGCGCCGTGGTTGCATCGCTCATAACCCCACCAATCATTCCAGCTCGATTACTCTGCAATGTTCAGAGGTGAGAAACAGTGGCCGTCAACTTACAAGCTCTGCCATAGAACAGAGACGTCGAAGGGAAGTGGGGGGGAGATCATCCTGAGCTCCACTCGGCCTTAAAACTCATCCGGAAATTCCGAGCCTAGACCCTGTTTCGCATTCGCCCAGGAATGTCAACACCAAACCTGCAACATACTGAAGGTATGAGCTCATCGAAACTCTGTCGCATGGCCTCTGCCGCTGATAACGTTTCAAACAGCTTCTTTGAGGCAGTAGCAATCTTTGACTCGATGCCAGAACCCTTGTGGAACTAAGATGCGCTGATGCGACCGTAGAAGTTTGGCCTAATTGAGAGCCTGAGGCAGTGCACGTCGGGGGTCCATCTCGCACAGTGGTCACTACCACTTCAATTGTCCTTATCGTCGTACAGCCTCTTGTACTCAGTTTTTGAGAGATTTTTGCCCCTTTCAGGTCCCTGACATATGCACAGTCTAGTCAAGGCTTTCGACTGGAGGAAGAATATTGCCATTGACGTGCAGCCTGAACACCACGAGGTACTCCGAGTATATGCGGGGGACTGTGCACACTACCCTCTCGATTCCTTACTCCGTATCAATGGGTGCAGTTCTTATCGGGCAAAACATTCCTTTTCGTTAACGGTTAAGACCGCATGGAAGCTGCGGAGCGCCGGCAGCGTACCGCTAGGTATTCCACCCACAGGGGGCTTCAACCGGAGAACCCTCATATCGTCATAGACTTTGCTTTTTCTCCACCACAGACTCTGGGAACGGCGATAAGGAAACCACAAGTACCCGGCTGATGTATCCAGTGAAACAAATAAATCCGAAGAAGGCAAGAAGAAATTTAGTATACCTTGGCGAGGTAACGTGGTGAAACATCGGAAATCAGCTGCAGTTTCTGGCACCGACCCCGACTCCTAAAAAGGTATGAAGCCCGGCATTTTTGCATTGCTGACTCATACAGGGTCTTTATGCAAAAGCGTTACTTTTGTGCGAACGTGTAAATCGTTCATTAATCTATCCCGAATGAACGTACTGTACATCTTTACCATCTTTGATTTTAGGCAGTTACTCCACTCGGTGATCCCCAATCTACAAGATACAACTCTACTTGGACTTCAAAATTGAACTTCGAAGGATTTTTCGATTGTACAGCAAGCTGCGAATAAAGTAATAGTAAGAAAGAGTGCCGGATCTAGCCCAGCGTCGAAGGAGAGTAGAAAGAAGGTACACAGAGCACTTTATACATGGGATTGGCGAGTCATCGGCGGAAAGCGAAGCGGGCCATGTGACGAGTACCAGATTGCTGGCATCACTTGTACATGTCCCGACAAGGCATGTGCCACAAGAAGATACCCCTTTTCTCCATGGGTTGTTGCAAAGAGTCAGCTGCTTAGACGTGGCCAACACCGGCGTTGGCCATGGTCCAGGCGGCAATGTTGGTAGGTGCCTTGGCAGGGGCGATGTTCTTGCCCTGGAACTTGCTAAGGATGCTGGTGTCGGAGCCGCTCATGGAGCCGGAGGATCCGAAAGCGTTAAGCTGGCAAGAACGGCCAAGGTAGGACTGGCAGAGTTTGTTGGTGTTGGCGTCGGGGGAGCTGAACAGGGCGCCCTGGTAGGGAGACTCAACCACGGTGTCGACGTTCTGGAAAACGTTACCCTCAGCCAGGACATAGCCACCCTGGCCAATCTCGAAAGCGTGGCCCTCAATGTTGTGGAAGAGGTTGTTAACCTATCAAAGTTCTTAGTGGGATTCCGGTTTCCGTGGCTTCGCGGACACTTACGGCGTGAAGGAGGGTGTTGCTCTGAACCTTGGGCATACGACCGGACAAGTAGTAGAAGTAGTTGCCCATCATCGTGATCATGTCGTTAGAACCATCCAGATAGATTCCCCAGTAATGGTGACCGTTACAAGTCGCGGAGTAGTCGGAACGGCCGTCGATCAGGTTGTAGGAGATGGTGACGCGGTTATCGGCCTGGGTACCAAGGACAATGTGCTGACGAGCGATGCGGGCAGTGGTAACGTGATCAATCCAGACGAGATCAGCGTTGTTAAGGGTGATAGCATCACCACCCCAAACGTACTTAGGGTTGATATCAGTGATAGCGATGTTCCTGGTCCGGGTCAATGGGGGAGCCAATGCAAGTACCGTGATGGAACAACTCACTGGATGATGATGTTCTTGGCACCGCTGACCATACGGATACCCTTTCCTTTGATACCTCCAGCAGAGCCCTTGCCGACAAGACTCTTGTTCGAGTTGACAGTGATACCGAGGACACCGGCCTTGTCACTGCACCACCTAGTCAACACTTGATCCCTCAACGGATATAACAAGTTTAATAGACTTACTAAGTGATGGAAGAGACCTTGGGAGCGTTGGGCTCGTAGTTGTTGCACCAGTTGTCCTTGTTAATGGCCTGTTGGCACTTACTGCCTGTACCCCACGGACTGCAGCCGCTGGTGGTCTCGGTGCCTTCAGTTCCAGTGAAGTCGAAGCTGTATTCAGATGGTTGGTTAGCCATGTTGCTCACCTGCTGTCTTGAGGAACGAATGACTTACATCTTGTCGAGAACAATGACACGGGGCTGGCTGTCGCCCAAGTACGAGACCAGCTCGTCATTGGTCTTGGGGTAGACCTCAGCGGCGCTACCACCACCGGTCACACCCTTAGCAAAACCCTGGGCGGCACCAACGACACCAGCGTTGACGCTATTCGCGAAGACAGCCGCGGCGGCGGCGAAAAGAGTTGTGTACTTCATGATAAGCAGATGAAAAGAGTGTAAAGGAAAAGGAATGAATGAATGAGGATAAGGAAGAAAAGAGAGAGTGGTTTGATGGTTGGGATGAGCAAGTCAAGTTCCTATCTTATATAGAGAACCCTGGGTATCCTGGTGGAGTTGGAAGAAAACCCCTGTCTGCAGCTGAGACAGGCTTACCCAATTCATCAAGGAACTGGAGCCAGGCGCCGAACGTTGGACCCGTTCGTTCATTGCAGCAGAGTAGAACCGGAGGTCCATCTGCAATGGGACATGCTCCACCCTGAGCAGATTCGGGGTTCTTGGCAGCACCCACACAGGCCAATTGTTTGGTCAGGAACAGGATACTATGCCCGTTCCACCGGAGTTCAATCCCTTCTAGAAAACATCCCTTGGCAGGACCGGTTCTACCATAGCATCGATAGCATGAACGAAGATGAATCCATTGAATGAGGCTTTTTCTTTGCCCCACTTGCAATTTCACGGCACCCCATGATAAGAGGTCAAGTTTGGGTACTGAAGAGTGCCCACCTAAAGCTTGCAGCTGAAGATCGGAGGAACACGGAAAGCTTAGTTCTTGATGGATGAGCTGGATTGATGCAACTGAGCATGGTTGAAGAAATCAAGACTGAGGACTGTACGAGCCCATCACGAGTGAGCTCGGAGAGGGGGTCGTTGCTGCCTGCAGACCCTGACCGAAACGCTCGGACCCAATCGCTTTCCGTCGCTGCCGAACACCGTAACGGCCACGTGCAGCGTCTAGACCTAATCTCGTCTCACGTGAATTTTAATGCAGCAGTCCTGCCAAGCCTCTTTTGTCTCACCTCAATATCTGCTAAGAGTCTTGGTAGGATCACTACCGTATGATCGAATAGATTGATTCCCCACGAGATTTAGAGATACCAAGACTTGAACTGTCAAGCGCCTAAGACATTTCTGGCTCCCGATGGTCTACGCTGCGATCCTATTAGCGGATCAATGCCGTTGAGTATGAAGTACCGATGCAGCCAAGTATAATTCATCTTGTCGTAAGGATCCCCTGCTACTTCGAGTCCCCGCTGCTTGATGATAGATGGCGCTTCTCCGAGTCATGGTGGCTGAGTCCCGCGACAAGCTACTACACCGTCGCTGAACAACGATTGTAACCTTTCTACAGAGTATGTTTACTACAGCACAATTTCCAAATTAGCCGTCCGCTATCTTCAAGCACCTTTCATTGGTACACAAGAGAAACGTCTGGTAGCTTCATCAAGTGTGTCATGAATCAATGTACTTCTCTACCCTATTTAAGTTTATAAATTGCACCTAACTGTGAGTGGCAAATTATCATTTCTAATCCGAGCCCCTGAAGTTTACCGCCAGGTGGGACTCTACTACAGTATACTCCTGCATCCTGCCGGAGCCGTAGCCTAGACATCCGTTAAGTAGAATGCTCGAAAGACGAGGCTCTTTCGTGTTACCTCAATACTTCCAAATATGGTTCCAAGCAAGCAAGTAAGGCAGCGAGGCATAGGTTGTCTCATTAAACTGCAGCAATTCTCAATCAACACAATGTAGTAGATGCATGGCTGCCTTACTCGCTTGCTTGCTTGACAAGGTGCTTAGAGTTGTCGCAATGCCTCATTTGTCCATAACTATGCCTGGATATGTGCTTGACTACCCCACTTACTGGGAGAGATGCTGGGTAAGGTGCTTGGGCAGGTGCTTGGAGAGGTGTTTATACCCCCTATCGGATACCATCAGACCATACTATGTAGCCAGCTAACGTAATAGTATATATTACACAAGATGTCGGCCATTGTCTGCCTTCCTTGAGTCTTAAGATTTCGAGTTTTGATATTCTCGGCCCCACTCTCAGTAGGTATATCGATTCTGAGAACCTCGAAGTCTCCGTCCGCCTTAATGCGCCAGGGTAGGTGATAAGGGGCAATGCTACCTGTAATCAAGGCAAGCAACAACTCAAGTCATGGGGACAGGAAGAAGGACGGAAGATTCCAGCAGGACCCTCGCTCCGCACTGTGTATGTAGCTAATGCCTAAGGCATCAATGAGCTGGTGCCTGGCAGGCTGCCGCGGCGCCTGTGAACAAGTCATCCTTTAGCGAGAGACAACCTGCCGGTAGATAATCCTCACGTTCGTTACTTTCGGAGAGATGGTTTCATCAACTAGGCAGGCATGTAGCTAGAAACGAATATGGAATGGATCGCTTCGTTCTTTTGTTCCATTGAGCTCAACCAGTCAGTTGCCGCGGCCGGAGGAAGATAATTCTAAAACACTGCCAGGAGAACAAAGGAGAATGCGACCGTTCGCTTGATCCAGCCTTACAGGACAGGATGTAGTCATCCAGCCTGAGAATATTCTTCAGCCGCAGGAGAACAGTCCCGACCAATTCCCCTCCGGATCAAAATCATGAGAATACTTTGTTGTGACTCGATAGACTTCGTGTTGCAGGATCCGGACCCCAACCGGTTGGGGTCCAAGCCACATTCCTCCCTACACCCGTCCACGTGCTCAACATATGGTCTCCGACAGTTATTTCAGTTGGAATAGTTGGAATGTGTGCTTCTGTACTGAGCAGAATTGCGCCCAATTGACCCGTTCAATAGGGTGAGCATAGCTTGTCTCTTTCCCTGGAATCTTTGGGGGCGGGCCTGCGGCGGCAGTGCCGGGTACAGTATTTAGGGCTTCAACATCTCGCACTACTCATCTTCATTTCACTGCGATCATCAGTTGAGCCTAGTCTCGTCACTTACAGTTTCATATCACTCTCGACCGAGTTTGATCTCAGTCAATATTACCTAACAAAGAATGCTTCCACCCTTAGATAAGATCCTCAGTTACTTGCATTCAGGATCTCACGATCGCAAGGTCAAACAACACCTCAGAAAAGCCACACAAGGTCCAATCAACATTTGATCACACATTGAGCACAGTATCAATACTAACAGCGTACTGGAATCCATCAAGCAAAACCTCCAAAATGCACTACGACCCATAATAACAACAGAAATCCACAATCCATGGACGACATTCGACGCTTCATGTGTGGAGGACTCGGACCGCCGACGCTGTAAGATATGCGCCCGCCACGATTTCTCGAGCCAGCTAATCTTGGAATTGAGTCTGGACTAAGAAGAGCTTGAAGAGCCAATTTCAACGAACGCACCCGGGCGCTTCATTCTCCGAGAATGCCATCGATTTGTTGTGGAAATGCTTCTAATTCTTCGCTCACCATCCGTTTACATGCGAGTCGACCGACAGGATAGCCAACGAGAGAGTCGACGCAGATGCCTTTCAACGAGCAGTAGCCTTGATCGCGCACCAAGGCACTGAACTGTTGGGAGCACAAGAGGCAGGAGATTACTATTGGCGACTTGACGAGACGTTCTTTCACAGAGCCCATTTCGCAAGGGTGCTAAGAAGCATCGGTCTTTTGGGGAGCACCCAGGTCTTGTCCACTTTTGAGCCACCAGACTATTCCCAGTCTTCTTCGGACGATATTATGGATGTGCTGGCTACGACACAGCCAGTTTCTGTAAACCTAGCACCGTCACCAACTCAGCTGGAAGCGGCTGCCAGGAGGCTGCTCGACGCGGGATTCTCAACCACAACATACCGGCTCAGACACACGGAGCTCTCGACCTTTTTTAGCCTTACTTCTTCGGCTGAGGGTTTCGAATGTCAAATGGGGCAGGGATTATTACTTTGGGTCCTTCGCGGACGAGGATCCGGCGGATGAGGTGTTGGCTAACGCGATGGCTGCAAGACTGATCGGCAGTAATAAGGCAGACTTTGACAAGGCTTTAGAACTGACGATGGATGCATTGGTAAGAAGCCTCTACCCATCCGTCAACTAAGATGCTAACAGGTGCAGCCAAATCTTGTGCCACGTTTCCATCAACTATGGACAACTCTTTTCCAGCCTCCAATGTCGGACTTTGACGTGGAACTCGAACCAAAAGATGAAAATATGTTATCGCTTTACTTGGCCGCCGCTTCATTGTTCGTGCCTTTGCCTGAGGCATTGACACCCGCTGGTTTGCGAGATAGACACATCAGTCATAATAAAGTCGGAGCGAGTCAAGATGAACCTATTCTATCATTGCCGAGTCTCGTCCACCGCCTCCAGAATATGCCAGATTCCCACCTCATCCTGGCCACGAATCTTCACGATCCCCATGCTCCAGCAACCGTAATAGGAAGCTTCATCCCTAGTCTATTATGTGCAATGTCCGACAGCAGCAGCGGAACCCGAAGCCGCAAGACTGGAGACGCACACCTCCTCTTCCAGCTACAGCCGGACTTCCGACTGATCCGATGGGAAAGACCTCAAACACTTCCGAAGACCTTGATCAAGACCAATTACGAACTTGCCTCTCTCCACGCCGTGGATGCAGAGAGCGGGCAACAGACGTGCATGAAACCTTACTATATCGGGGACTCGAAAAGAAGCACTGCTAGGCTGCTTATCCATCCAGAAGGGAGTTCGGTGTCATTGCATGGCTCAAAAGATTTGAGCACTGCAGCGGTGGGGAGATATAGAGAGGTAACGAGAAGTGACACGGGAGATAAGGATTGGGAGGTAGTCGTGCAGCATTGCACAGTTCATATGTTCGCCGTGGTCTAAATATGTCTAACGTTCTGAGTCATACAGTTCCACCACTAGAGTCATTGGGGGTGAAACTGACGAGCTCCTTAGCCCGCAGGGTCCTCACCCACGGATGCCTAACGCATCCGTGGCGGTATAAATGTACATAGTTCAGAGCGAAGGGTCTCTGGGCCTTCCTCTTCTCTTTTGGTTCTTATGAATGGGATTCTTGCCTGGAAGACTGTATGCCTCTCGAATCCTTACAGAGCATTTAATGATTCATACTAATGTAACTGCAAACGCTCGTCCAAGTTTTCCGCTATGCACCCTCATCTCACATGTACCGGTCCCAAAGTAGTGCCGCGCCAGCCAACACGGCCATTGAAGTTTCAAAGGCCGCAACCGGTCTCCAATTGCCGCCATTCCGATACATGACCCACGCTGCCACCAGACGAGAAGGTATCGAAGAGACCATGATCAGAGTATCGCGCTGGTATGTCGAGATAAGATAGTATGTGCCAAGCGCAAGAGAGGTCAGACTACGAGGACGATAAGCGACCAGCATGCTGTGTGAGTTGTGAGATACAAAGGCTTACCCTATGCATTGAACAGCGCCTTCAGGCGTTCCGGTCAATGACGAGCCCTCGAAGTGGGCAACCGATGATGGAAACAGGATGGAGTAAAATGCATTTCCGAGAAGGAATACGCCTTGGGCGGCGAATACAGTGCTTGAGACGCTGCCCATGCGGAGACCAAGGTTGTGGAAAGACATGATTTAATTACTTTGTGGTTTGGTGAATTATGGTGATTTGACCGAGTGAGCTTATTCTTGGGTGCGCGAGGCTTACTATTTTTATACCAAGGGGGTTTCGTGGGGGCTTTCAGGTTCGCTCCGATCGGCCGCCAAGTTTAAGCGTCGCTGCGGCCCCTCGGATAAACTTTCATACGATTGTCCATACTACCTAATCTCTTGGCAAGAGGAGATGGGAGGTGAGAAGAAAAAGTTGGAGAAAGGAAGATAGAATAAGAGAACACGAGCATGCGTGGGAAGGTTCTCTTGAGATTTGCCTTGGAAAAGATATATAGGGGGGAACGTTTTTCGGAGACCATAGCCTCGCGTCTGTCAGGCCCCGATCGGCCGGCCAGTGAAGGGGGAAGCTCTCCGCATCGTACATGCCAATGGAAGATGTTGAAGCGGTATTTGTGCCGGGCGGTCAACAGATCGAGGATGGCGTTGACCGGAAAGAACTTCCACGTGGTGTCGAGCATAAATCTCCTGTGGGGGTAAAGATCGGAGTTCTCTTCCATGAGATCGATGTATTATTTTGTACCCAGGGCGAAGTTGTAGAGGGCGGAGCAGAAAGGACAGGCGGGCACCCAGACTTTCTACTCGATTTATCGCCACACAACTACTTCGTACGCGGCATCGCCTGTATAGTACTTCGACACCTTGTTACATGGGTCCTTGCTAAGGCAAGCTACAAATACATTTTCTACCCAATGATCACTCGTAACCCGATACGGTATTAGAAGATGGATTCCGGTCCCCTGCATGGACCATTGTTAACATAAGGCTAGAGTTCAATATCGATCACGTGTATTTGGGGGCTGTGTAATCTTCTAATAACACAGCTATCCTCGGCTGCAATAATTATATAATTAGTATGTTTAAGCCTTACCAATTCAATCTTCCGCCTCCTCGTGATCAGGTGACGCTCTCCGCCCCCCGATTGACTTGGCTAGTTCGTCCGCGCCACGCGGAATGCAGAGATGTCCGCTCCCATAAAGATTCATCATTATGAATATGACGATTTCAAATACAAGTTGTGCAAATGTGCGGGTTTGCCTTTATCTAGGACTGAAAGTGGTCAGGTTATAGTTGGAATGAGGTGTCATAATTCTTTGGGTCGGGCAACGTACTTTCGGTGGCCTGTTTCTCTTCGGCAGCTGCAACAGACGAGGCGTCCTTCGCTGTGTTGCTTCCTTTGTCCGTGGTCTTGTCCTGGTCCAGGCCTGACAAGAAGGAACATAAGTTTCCCAAGTGGGGCGACCTCTCATGCTCGAAAGAGTTCAACATACTATCAGAAACTTTCTTCAGTTTGTCATCGAACAACAGACGTGGTCTTCTTGGCTGTGTCTACGACGCCTTTCACTAAACTGACGGTGGTATTTTGAAGCAATGAAGCCATTCCGGGGAGTTGAGCTGTCCTGGCTGGTACTTGAGGTATCGTCTGTGGTGAGATAGATTTGGGACTCTAGATAGACAGGTGAGCTGGGTATACAGGGGTGAGCGTATTTATTGCGGATCTTTTGACTACAGCGGAAAACTGCCCGAGGAAGCTACATGATCCTGCTAAGGACAAATATTTCTTTCGTAATACGAAAACTCTGTCGTCCTCTGCTGACCTATCTCTCCGCGGTGAAGGTCGGCCTGAGAGAGAGCCACTGGAGAGAGGTGGTAGGTCCAGTTGACCCGCAGTGGCCTGACTAGGCATTTGGTTGGCATGGACTGATTGGGGCGATAGGAACAAACTTGTCTGCGTCTAGATTGCTCGTAGGGGCGTTATACACAATGATATCAGAGTGCATCCTTCGAAAGCTGGTTATTCTAGGTGACAAACCTGCCTCGTTTGTGACACACTCTTCCGTAGCGTAAGACAGATCGCTGTCATGTTACACGATGGCGGAAATCTGCAGAATCGAGAATCGCCTGTGCGGGGTATCAAATCTATTTAGATTGGAAAGAGGGGTCGGGTTCGAGCACTCGGGATTTTGATTTGGGTCGGCCCGCAAGAGACCCACTTCAGCTCGACGCGATCAATGTCGCTCCGAGCCCTAGCTCCGTGCATTTGATCAATCGTGAGCTGATCTGCAGAGTGGCTGCTGGCAAATGGTGAATGAGGTTCTGCTTCCACATCGTAATCTTCGAAAGCCGCTATGCATCAGCTGCCTTTCAAAGACGGTTTCGTCTGACTATCAGCAGACGTCGTACAATGGTTCAAGTTTTGCTCTCTTTTTGGAAATATTACGATAACCGGGTCGATGGTTTTGTGAGTTCGTGATAATGATCGTGGCCGATGTGAATCCGACCCGCCTGTGCCATGAGAACTGGCATTTTGGCTGGATGCACACTCGACGGGTCGCGAGCGCCTCTGAGACTTGATCTCAACAGCCCTTTCAGAAGTGGGCTTGATACGTAGAGTAATCTGCCTCTTTCAGGTCTCTAAAGAAAGACGAGTGCTCATATTTAATGCACAGTTTGCAACTATACTACTGCACGGTGCAACGAACTGGGTATAGTCGTGGCTGACATGCTGACTGCACAGATGTATTCTCAGGTTGTGTGGATGTAGCTCTACCATCCCTTTCAGGTAGCTGAGCGATTCTGCGGCTGAGCTCATCATTGCCGACTAATGCCCCCGCCGTGGTTCGCCAAAGGTAGTAACTATGTGTATGAAGGCTAGACACATGAGGTCGGCGACTACAGCTTTAGTCGGATCAAAGACAGTATAGATCTGATAGGTACTGCACATCACAATTCAGGTGAAACAAGCTGCATGTGTCGTCTTGATTGCCCGCGGCTCTGAGGCCCATGTATCATGATGCTATTTTACCCGGGGGTGGGTGTTATGAAGAGAATGGGTTCAAAGATCCTGCGGTACATCGAAAGAGAGATGACATATGAATGATTGTTAAGAAACCATAGTTCTGAGAGATTGAGATGTGGGAGATTGACAAAATAGCCGCACCAGGCCCAGGTCGACAAGCTGATTACACTTTGATGATTATTATTCACACTGACCTTAGCAAAGCATGCTAAGGTACACAGAAGAAAATAGTTGTGTTCCAGAAAACCTGTTTTATTGTCATGAAAACAGATTTGATCAGAAAAAAGGAAATGGGGCAAAAAACATACAACAGCTTAAGTATGGTGGTGGTCACCAAGCGGCTGCAGTGGTTCAGTACCGTCTTATTCGGGGTTATTCAGGTCAGCTTCTGGTGGCCGTCAGTACTCTAAATAATAGCTATCTTTATGTTCCGGCATCTATCTAAAAAATAACTGGTATTTATTGTAGTCTTCCGGCTCTGCCATACTAATAGACTGGTAATATAAGTAAGCCCTTTTTTTTCTATTTCTCTCGAAAATAAGAATTTTTTATTTTATATTCTGTTTTATTCTCTCGAACTGCTCTTTATAAAGGTATTTTATAATTAATAATAGTAGTAAAAACAGTAAAGTATTACCAGATAATAAATCTTAATAACTATAATAACTCAGAAATTAAGCGCGCAGTTTTAGACAGAACTATGGTTTTTTATAATCGGATATTAGTAACTTTTAATAAGTAAGTATATCTAGAACTATAAGTCTTTATATATTTATTTATATATACTGTTACTAGCTTTCTCAAGCTATATCCAGAGGTATTCTGGTTACTTAATATTTGTTTTTATAAGAGATTTATAAAATTTGTAAGTAAGAATATACCAGGCCGACTAGAAATATATTTTATTTTTAAAAATAGTAGAATTTTTTTGTTGCTAATTTAAAGCTGGTCTTTTCTTACGCTGTAACTTTAAGATTTAAGAGTATATATTAATAACTATTAAGAAAGTAAGTATTCCGGTCTGAGATATATACTATAGTTAATATATATTTAGTAGATAAGAAAAGATCTTAGAGATCTTATTTCTTTTTTAGATGCGGAAATAAATAAAGATAGTCTTTTACTAAATAATTTATAATTCTTTTTATACAGCTTTAGTGTCGAGACTTTAAAGAGTATAGGAGAATATGTTCTGATTGTTTATAAGTTTAACTAAGTGCTTTTTTATTATTATATTGTTTTATATTAGTAAGAACAGGCGAGGTATATAAGTTAACAGCCCGGCGAGAATTATTATACAAGTAATCTTTTATAGTTGGGCAGTATAAAGTAAGAACTAGTACAGTATATTATAAAATATATTTTAAATTTAGTTAATACAAAAATTACTTTTTTCTGATAAGTTAAGTATTTTACTTTGACTATTAAAATGGTTGATGGTATGAAGATGTTAGTTCTTATATACTTCCGCTAATATGTAAAGGGATTTTAGAGAAGAAAGTATTAGTAGTACTTTATTTACGGTTTTTATAAGATGTATAAAGAATATATGTCTTTATTTTTTAATTTTTTAGTATTTTTCTTATTGTTAGCCTCAGTAGATTGAGCCTTTTAAGATTTCGAATTTATAAGTAAGATTCTGGTTCTAGCTAAGTTTATACAAAACAGTAATAGTAAGAAAATTCTGGTTACTATAGATTTTACGCCAGAAGTCCTGGATACTTCTGTATTTCGATTTTTTAATAAACAGAAAATACAAAAGTTAATATAAAAGTCTTATAGTACGGACTTCTTTAGAAAAGATTTTACCGAGCTTGAAAACTATATAGAATATATATATAATATTACTGTATACGTTTGTTGTTGATAGGCTTTAATAAAGAATGGTAAAATAACTTGTATATTTTTATTTAAATCTGACTAATAGAGCCTCTTACTTAGATAAGCATTATTCGGAGACTGTAAGAATAAAGTTTACGGGCTATATTTAGAAAGATATATTCGGCAGATTTTATATATATTTTTTTAGTAAAGTTGACGGATCTGTAATATATTTAGATATTTTAACTTGCTATAAGTATATATAAAACTGTCGAAGTATAGGTATATATTAAATTCTGTAATTTTAGCAATTACTCTCTGCTAGAGCCGAGTTTAAGTTTCTTGAGAAAGAAAATATTAAATTTCTTAATAAAAAAATAAATTAGCTTATATAAAAAATATAGAATGTAAGAAAGCCAACCGAGAAATATAAGCTTTAACTGGAATAATACTAAATATATAATAAAAAGCAGATACTTTATAAGTAAGAGCTCCGAAGATTATAGTAAATCTAAAGACGAGATTCGATTATTTAGTAAGATAGTATATTTAAACAGACTTTCTTCTTTTTTATAAGAAAAATAATATCCGAGTGTGATCTGCTTGTACAACTTTTCTTAAAAAATAAGGGCTTGAGAAAAATGATTAGGTTAAAAGTTCTTACAGCTTTAGAAATTATATATTCTGATAATAGTATAAGTATTTATAGCGCTGGTATATAAGCTATTAATAGAAAATACTTCTACGGAACTACTTTTAGTACGTGAGAAATCTTTAGATAATTTATACTTTATTAGATTAATTTATCTAGATTTTATTTTTATTGCTGCTAGCTTTACTTTTACTATTATTATACAGACTTGTAAAAATAGCTCTAATAATTTTTTACAGGCTTGTATTGTATGCTGTTAATGGTTTTTAAATCTAGAACTTTAGAAATTATATTGCGAGGCTTATCTAAGTAGGCCTGATAAGTTAAGTTGTTGCGATCTTATAATATTTTGATATATTATAGTAAAGGCGGCCTATTATCTATTCTGCCTTAGTAGAACTAATTTAAAGCTGTTACAGTGTATATATCAATTTTTTAATTACAGTAGGTGGTCAGTGTCACGGATAACCCTCGACACCTTAGCGGGCCGCCTACGACTCCCTCACGTCTTTCCCACATAACGGTCGTGACGTTAATGACTCTAATCCCTCTTGTATACAAAATCCTCTTCTTCCTTGCTAGACTATAGGAGAGCAAGGATTAGTTTTGAATTCACTAGACTGCTACTATTCCATACCTAACTGACCTCTTTCCCTTAACACTACTATTACTTTTTTAGTCGCGGTAGAAATATAGTATTTGAGTCTGTGAATCTTCTCTGCGTTAGCAAACTTTACTGTAAGTACAGCAGTAAAATTACCAACAGATATATAAAATACTAGATTTTAGATATTCTTCTATTTAGTATTCCAAAAATATACAGTCCAACACAGAATCTCCGCCAAATTAGATATATTTTCTAGTATTCCTGTTGCCGTCTAACCTACAATTAGCCGCATCTAAATAATAGAATAAAAGACCTATCGAGATGCAGTTAGACTTTCGCGCAGTATATTACTAGTATTTTACCGAAGAAACGGTATTAAAACAGCAGTTAGACTTAAACTATATACCAGACCCTGTAATATAGTTTTTAACCGAAGTTTTAAGATATTTCAGACAGAATATAATAGTAGGGCGGAAAGGGGCCTTCGCTAAAAAACAGCAAATAGACCTCAGAGGTATTTTAATTTGTTAACAAAATTACAGCTATTTATTAATATCTTGGTAATATTAAACATAAATTTATACTTACTATTCCAACAGTCGAAATAAGACAGAAATTAATATATAACAACACCAAAACGCGAGTAAAACATAAATAAAGCAAAGTTGCAACAGCAAGATCGAATAATAATAGAGAAGTTTGTAAGATATAATTATACTATTATTATTATATACAAAAAAATATTATATTTCTAAAACAGAATAGTACCGACTTAAAAGATATTAGTCTAGACTTAGCCTAGTTCCGCGGTAGTACTGCTCTTTATCACCGCCTATACTAAACTGGTTAGAATAGCAGACAAGACGGTAGTATTATACTGTCTATATACTACTAAGAACAGCCGTATACAAAGAGAAGCCTAATTATTATAGATAATTCTTAATATCTTAGTAGGCTGCCTACAAGTCCCTCACGTCTCCTCTCTATAACAGTCGTGACGTTAATAACTCTAATCTTTCTTGTATACAAAATCCTCTTCTTCCTTGCTAGACTATAGGAGAGCAAGGATTAGTTTTGAATTTACTAGACTGCTACTATTTCACACCTCACTGACCTCTTTCTCTTGACACAGTTAAAAGCGGTTCGGAATCTAAATAATTAATAGAAATACAAAGTCGAAGCTTTTTTTCTTTTTGGAACAAGCTTTTCTATATAGCAAGCTGCCTTTGTATAGCTGTTTAGTTAATATTAGTCTTCTTAAAATATTTAGTCAGATTATATTGTAAACGATTATTTACCGAAACTACTACTGTAGTATTATTTAGTTTTACCTGTCGGTTATAAGCTATCTTCTAATATAGAATATTCTCTGCTTTCTGTTTGATACCGGACTAATAAAAGCTAGGATCGAGTATTAGATTCTGTTCTGTATTCTTTGTTACCATCCGATTGTTTAGAGTTATTTTCTATTCGATGGAATAATAGATATTAATTTTTTCTAGTCATCAACCCTTGTATCCCACTCTGGTACCGAATTTTGTTGTTCGGGTGGAGTATGACGCAAGGGGGTGAAAATACTCGCCAAAGTTCCCGGGGGTGGGGGCATTTGAAGGGGACCGTTCCCACAGAGTAAAATTCTGAACCTGAGAAGCGGTCCTACTTGGGGGATTGAAAGTATTATTATTAAGATAATAGATACCGCCAAAAAGCCTATTAATAAGAAGTCTTAATATTAGTCAGAAAGATAAGAGCTTTCAAATAACAGAATATATAGAGTTATATTTAAGAAAGACTTCTAACAGGCTTAAAAAAATAAAAAGTAGAGCTAAATAAATTGTACTACTTATACTGCAGAAGTATAATTAATAGCAATATACAGATAGAAGAATAATAAATAGTAAAGCTGTTAAAAACAAAAGACTATATTTCTTAGGTTTTTTTTAGTTATAACTAGTTTTTAGCTCGGGCTGATATTACATCCGATGCCGAACAACTTACCAAGACCAAATTTATCGAATTATAAGAAATCGAAGATTATCCGAATACTTAAACTATTCTAATTTATAGTTTGTTAATTTTGTCTATGGTTAACACCTATACCTTTTTATTAATTAGCTATAAAAATATTTAAGATAATAAATATTGCTTCTATCGGATACTAAGGTTCGCCTCCTATCTTAAATATTCAGCTTATAATATAATAAATAAAGAGAATCGATCTCCGAATATATTTCTGTATTCCGGTATCAACATTATAACACATGACTCTAGCTCTGGTAGTAAATAAGATAAAAATCCCCGCCTTCTCTAGTATACTATAGAGCTGGCTATAACTGGCTAAGTCAAGTAAAAATTATTTTTATTATCTAGCTATACCAGCTCAGCAACAAATTTAATGCTAGTATTAACCAATAATAGTTATATATTCCTCTTAAACTGCTCTTCTCCCGGAGTTTCGCTTTTATCTAAGACACAGCAGCTGATCTCTTAAGATATTTAAGATATTATATTTTTTTAGAAAGCATTTCAGTTATCTATTTTATTAGCAGAAAGAGAGTAAGAAACCGATTATCGAATTAAAATTAAATAAAACCTAAAAATATTCTACTAATAATAATACTAATAATATTTTTTTTAAGCCTGCAGACCAGGCTATTTAGTCAATATAAACTTTATAGATGTAAGACTTATAGCAAGCTGCTTATAACCAGCTTAATAAGACATAGCGGCAGATTTTATTAATAAATAAAAAGCCGATCAAGCCAGGAGATAATAATAATATTCTAAAGAATTTAATTGATTAAGTTATTTAAACAACAACAGAGAAATACAAAAAGTATTATCTAACAGCAGATAGAAACTTTTGCAAGACTTTATAGAAAATTCTCGATATTATACTATTATTTAAAGATATTATAAATACAGTGGCTGTATTTGATCTGATATAATATACAGCTAGTATATAGAATATAGTCTTACTTAATCTAACAGTATATATATAACCAGGTATATTAAAAGTCGCTGCTGAGATATTTATTAATCGGTATACTAGTTGATAAAGAAATACTTCTAATCCCGTAATTTTTTATTTAAATTATCGGAGTATCTGGCAGATGTTTTAACATACAGTATTTTTATTAAGCAGAAATTCTATAAGAAAATAAAAAGTATTTCTAATAATTATCTTATAGAAATTATATTAATTAGACTTTATAAAGCTATCTTATATTATATAGTCCAGATACGCAAATTCTAGAAAGCAAGTATTAAAGAAAGAGTACTTAATACAGTAACTAATAGCTTTCAGCAACTACTTAATATACTTAAAACTTCAGTTAAGATTAAAAAAGCTAAATTAAATAAATAAATTAGATTAATCGAATATCTTAACTATATAAAAAAAGCAGAAAATATTCTATGTAAGCTTAATAAACTAGCCGATTTTTTAAAAAGATTTTATAAATATTCTGGCTTTAAAAGCTTACTATTAATAGAAGAAGTATTTTTCGATTCTTATACTTATTAGTATAAAGATTACTGTCTTTTAGATATTAGAATAAATTTTCTTAGTTATATTTCGATATAGGCTTAGTTGTAAAATCAACTTATTTTCTGGCTAAACGGTATAATAGGAACTAGTAAGTTTACTATTACACAGACTATTACTTAATTCTTCTAAAACTAAGGGTTTTTAAATACCAGCTTTTTTTTTAAACAAGATAAAGCCGACTGTAATTATATAAAATACTTTATATTAACTCTCGCCTGTCAGCTAATTATTAAATACCGGTAACTAGATTTCGATATTTTTAATATAATTAAGAATAACTTAAATATTTTATTTAAATCTCTTAATATATAGTTTAAGAAGCTTCTTTATCAGCTATTCTAAAAGTTATTTACTAGCCAATCTACAATAATTATAATTGTTATTAATATTTTAGACGAGTATAATAAAAATAAGAACTAACAACTTATTTTTAACTACTTATTTAAGATATAAGAAATCAAATCTGTATATTTTTAAATATTTCTAACCAGCTAACCGGAACTTCTTATTTGCAATAGCTTTAATAAAAATAAGAATTATTATAATTTAATTCTTCAGAAGCTTTCTAAGTCTGTGATTAAATATAATATTTGTTTTTTCTTTGAAAATAAGCTTCTAGCTATATAAAAAGAGTGCTTACTATTACCTAACTAGCCCGGAAATAAAAAAGTTGAAAAGCTGATAGTAATAGCTATTTTTCTATTTATTTTTGTAGCTATAATTTGCTGCTTTATCGAAGAGAGAAAATAGCATCTAGAATAACAGCTTAAAAAAATTCTTAATAATACAAATATATCTTTAGCCGACGAAATAATACAAATATATATACTTATTCTAAGCCAGCTTCTTGCTGGAGCTAATAAGAAAGAGATATATTAATTAAAAAAAAAGTTCTAATATATAATTAGAATAATTATTCTTTTAGTTTTATCTTTGTTTATTTATGCTCTTTTCCTACTTATTAAACTTTTACTTAATAATATTAATAATTGCTTAAACAGATTTTACTCTATTCTTAGTATATCTGTGGATTTTAAAGCACTAGTCTAGATTTTATACTTATTATTTTAAGATTATTTTCTGAATAAAAAGTATCTATTTTATATTTCTAAGTAAGATATATATATCAGAATCACTTTATATTATCTCTGGCTGATAAAAACCCGGTTTAAAAAAATATATACGAGCTGTAAAATTACAGAATATAGTAAGAGAATATTAAAACCGAGATTATCAAAGATTATTTTACTGCTGATATAAACTACGTCTATTACTACTAGATTTATTATATTAAATAGAGTAAAAGTCGGATTATAAACTATAATATTTTTTTTTTCTTCAGAACCTTTTTCTTTACTGGATAGAGATTCTAGCTCTGATAGAAGAAATTTCAAAAACAGTAGGATTAATATATATATTAAAGTTAATAGTATGTATAAGTCTATAGTTCGCTGCTTAGAAAACTAGCTAAATATTATCTAGGCGCAACTTGGCTCTGAGTTATCTAATTATTTATATAATATAGAAAGATTTATTTATTAAAATAACTATATAGTAGTAATTACTTTACTACAGATCTACCGCGCTGGTCTTATATTTATACCGACTAAAAATATTATCAGATAGATATTCGCCAGTAAAGTAAAAGATAAACTAATAGTTAAAACAGCAGTAGAAGATTTCTAGAGCTCGAATCTTTAGATATTTAAAGAATATTCTAGTATAGTCATATTAGTAGCTTTCTTATCGAACAGCCGCATGCTGGCGTCGGCCTCAGCTGACTAGACTATTAAGCTCTAAGACATAGCTACAGGCGTCGAACAGTATATACTGACCGGCTACTCCGACTTGGTCAACTTAGTAGTCTTCTTACCGGACGGCTGTATACTGGTATCAGTTTTATATAACCAGACTATCAAGCTCTAGAATACGGCTATAGGTGTTGAGTAGCGCACGCTGACCGGCCACTTCGACTTAATCAACTCGGTAGTATTCTTACCGGACAGCTGCATGCTGGTATTAGCTTTATATAACCAGACTATTAAGTTCTGGGATACAACCACAGGTGTCGAGTAGTATATGCTGACCGGCTACTCCAGCTCGGTCTACTTAGTAGTATTCTTACCGAACAGCTGCACGCTGGCATCAGCTTTATACAACCAGACTATCAAGCTCTGGGACATGACCACGGGCGTCGAGCAGCGCACGCTGACCGGCCACTCCAGCTCAGTCTACTCGGTAGCTTTTTTACCGGACAGCTGTATACTGGCATCGGCCTCAAAAAACCATACTATTAAGCTCTAGAATACAGCTATAAATATCAAGCAGCGCACGCTGACCGGCCACTTCAACTCGGTCAGCTCGGTGGTCTTCTCACCGAATGACTGTATACTAGCGTCGGCCTCAGAAAACCAGACCATCAAGCTCTAAAACACAGCCACGGGCGTCGAGCAGTATATACTGACCGGCTACTTCAGCTAGATCTACTTGGTGGCCTTCTCACCGGACGGCCGCATGCTGGCGTCGGCCTCAGCTGACCAGACTATCAAAATCTGGAATACAGCTACAGATATTGAGTAGTACACACTGACCGGCCACTTCGGCTTGGTCAACTCGGTAGTATTCTTACCGAATAGCCGCACGCTGGCGTCGGCTTCATACGACCAGATTATTAAGCTTTAGAATACGGTTACGGGTGTCGAGTAGTATACACTAACCGGCTACTCCAGCTCGGTCTACTCGGTGGCCTTCTTACCGGACGGATGTATGCTGGCGTCTGTCTCAGGGGACCAGACCATCAAGCTCTGGGACACGGCCACAGGCGTCGAGCAGTGCACGCTGACCGGCCACTCCGACCTGGTCAACTCGGTGGCCTTCTCACCGGACGGCCGCACGCTGACCGGCTATTCCAGTGAGTTTGAGTCGCTGGTGAACAAATCTCTTACTAGTTTCTTTATAATTGTCGCGGATTCCTGGGTCTTTCTTCAAAATGAAAGGGTCCTGTGGTTTCCTACTGACTATCGTTCTTTTCGGTGTTTTGCCATCAAGGATACCACGCCTGCCCTCGCATTAAAAAATGGGCGCGTTCCAATCCTACGATTTGATTTTTAACCAAAGAATATCTTGGTACTTTCCTCTAGTCTCTTATTTTCTAATCTCTTTATAAAAGAAGGGCCTGGGATCTGGAACGCAGTTTGCCACGTAAAGTAGACTAGACAATTCTATAGATTACCGTACACAGTATATGTTATCACAGTACACTGCGTGTAATGGAACATTATTGTTCCATCTGTTTCCAGGATTGGCCTAGTCTTGTTTCATCCCGGGGTTTCTGAAACAATCGAAGAGTGTAGGTGGTGACATCGGTATCCGGAAGAACTGTACCTCCTAAATACACATGCTATATAGTCTTAAAATTTATTTAAGAAGGCTGGGAGACATTTACCCAACTAACATAATACCTAGAGTCACTCTATTCAAGTGCTAGTAGAAAACCTTTTTAATAAGCAAGAGCTATGAAAGGATTATACACCATATGATCACTGGTATCGTGTCCATGCGATGAGGGGTACATATATATATATGAGGGTTCCTCCCAATGGAGATTCCAAGGTTTTTCAGAGTTCTTGGGCTTCTTCTTATTTAATATATCTTATAGTATTTTATTATTCTATAAGTATATCTTTTACCGGTACTATAATTAGATTCGGGACGAATATTATTCTCTTCGGTAATAGAAAAAATAGTATTATTTATTTTTACAAGCATCTTATCAGCGATAGAAGTACTAAACTATAAAGAATATTTAGTAACTTATAAAAAAAATATTTTAAATATTTCAGGTAATCTCTTTATATATTATTATTCTACGATAAAAGCGGAATATATATCTATATCCGTAGACTTTAGTAGATATAAAATATCAGTATATAAATAAAAAAAACAGTAGATATTTTATTTAGATAGTTATTTTTTAGATTTAATTTAATGTTAATTAGCTATTATATATATTATTTGTATATATATAATTTTGATTCGGGTATATTAAGCAATATATATATTAATAATTAAAATAGGACTTGGATTAATATTTTATTAGTTGAATATTCTACTTTTATATAAGATCTTATTAAATTATTAGTAAATATTATTATATATAATAACGACGGTTATTTTCAGTGTGACTGTATATAGTCGAGTTTATAGTATTAAGTTAATATTCTAGTAAAAAATAGAAAGTTATTAAATTTTATTTATTTATACAGCGAGTATTTTATATTAATTATATCTAGTAAAATACTAACTAATATAGACAAAGATTCCCGAGTTAATAAAACCGGAAAAATTTAATATATATAAATCTTCTATTAGATATTCTATATTATTCTTATATTAGCTACTACTTTATAACTACTTTAAATTTTGTTTTTATTTTATTATAACTATTATAGAGCTTATAATAACTTATAAAATATTATATAAGTTTAAATATTTTATTAATATTTTTTACTTAAATATTAATAAGTACTAGATGAAAATATATTATTATTATTAAACTAGTTTAATATAAATCTATAATAGTCAGCTATAATATAATATTATATAGTTTTATTTAATAACTTAAAAGTAATTGTAGAGTATTGATATAAAAGTCCCGTATATATTATAACTAATAATAAAGATTTTAGAAAAAGCAGCTTATAAATAGTTTATTTATTTTTTATTATTAAGATTAATTATTTATATCTTATTTCTACTAGTATTTAATAGTTTTTGTTTTTAGTAGTTCTGAACAGCTTTTAATCTTTTTTTTTATTTATATTAAAGTATAAATTAAATAATAATATAATTTAAAGTAGTTATTACAGCTTGAATTTTTAATTCTAAACTTTACATATAATCTAGTTTGTTTTATTATTAATAGAATAAAGCTTAAACCACAGCAGCTAGCTAAATAAAAAATATAGTACTAAATTAAATATTAGTTAAGTAAGGTACAGAGGCAGAATCTAGAATTATTATATCTTAATTTAAAATAATATAATTTTTTAAAGTTAGATTGTTAAGTTATAAAACAGTATAATTATAAAGACAGTATAAGTATTAAAAAGTAAAATAGTCTACTTATATATTAGCTTTATTTCGGTATAAAATTAAATAGATTTATAGTCTTGATAGATAAGTCTTAAAAAAAAAGTAGTAATTTTAGAATCTATATTTCTATTCTCGGCTGTTTTCTATTACTTTAATTAAGAATAGTATATTAGATATAAAAATTTATTAAATATAGGATTTATTATAAAATAAATTTATAATTAGTAGAGAGGTACTGTTTATATATTTAGAATATTAGAATTTTTTAAATTATATAATAAATTTTTTTAGAGCTAGATTAGAAATCTAGCTATAATTTTTATATATATTCTAAATTAAAAGTTATTTTATACTAGTAATATAATTAAATATATAAATTGTTACTAGTAATATAACAGAGAAATATAATAGTAATATAAGAATATAAGATTTAGTATATTCTTAAAGTATAATTTTAATACTGCTTAAGTTATTTTAGTATATTTAAATATAGTATTATTAATTGTATCTTTTAATTATATAAAACAGTTAGAGTTATAAGAATAGTTTAAGACTGTTTAATATCTTTAAATTTAATATTAATAAAAATATTTTTGTATATAGACGGGTTATATTCTAAACTATATTATATACTATAGAAAAATACTAAGAAGAGAAGTAGAATTAAAAATAAGCTTATTTTTTTAAAGTTGAGATAGTCTGATAATCTTTCTTTATATTATAATTAAAGCTTACTTTAGATTTTGTATATAGTAATTGGTTTTTGCTATACAATACTCTATACCGTATTATATAATATTAAATAAAAGATCTTATATTAATAATAATATATCTTATATTTTTTATATAGTTTTAACAAACTATATTTTATTAGTTCTGCAACCTGTCTAAAATAATTAGAATAATATTTATTATATATTCTATATAGATTGTAGCTTAAATTTAGCTGCTAATTTTTAATATTTATACTTAATTTCAAATAATATATAGTAACTAATTTATATATTTTTTTATCTTAAAAGATATATTGTACAAACTTAAAATTAGTAAAAAAAGTTAGTAATAAAAATACTTCTATAATAAATTCTATATATAAATTAATAACTAAATTTAGTCTTTCTTTATTTATACTAATGTTTTAGCTAATATAGATTAGGAACCAGAAGTTCTTAATTAAAATCTAAATAATAAAAGTAGAAATTAAAGATAATAGAAATTATATATTTTTATAATATATTTAAAGATATATTATTACTTATATATAAATAAAGTAAATAAGAGATTAGAATATTTATATTATTTTATATAGTATACTATTAATAGATTAAAAACAGTACTACTTTTTTTTATAGAATAAGGCTTAATATTAGTATTATTTATAAAACATATAGTATTTTTGTATTAATTTTTAAACTAAGTTGAGTTTTACTATACCAGAAATAAACTGATTAACTTGCTAGACTTGGGGAATAAATAATAAGCTTTAATATATTATTTTAAAATCTTATTATATACTGAAATCTACTATAATATTATAAAATACTTAGATTAGATTAAATAAACTAGTTATAATTTTAATATTTTTAGTATTAATTTAATTTAATATATAGAGAATAAATTTTTTTTATATTTATATATTCTAAATATAAAGTTTAAACTTAGTTATACTATATTCTCAGTCTTTCTAGGTACTATACAGAAGCGGGGTTATAATTATATTCTAACTGTTTATTTTAGATGATATATAGAATTTTATTATCTCTATTCTTTATATATAGTATAGTATTTTTCTGTAATATGATTATTTTTTAATTAGACTTAGTATCTTATTAGATCTTATATAAACTACTGTCTGGAGTTGTATTCTGTAATTTATATACTATAGTAAGCAGCTTCGAAATATCTAATACTATTATTAAGTCTAGAATAATTTTATACTAAAAATACTTATTTCTTATAAAAATATTTTTATATAATATAAATTATTTATTTTATCTATAGATTATTTTACTATTATTCTTTTAGTATAGATAATTTTATAATCTAAAAAAAGACCGATTATCTTTATCTAAACTTATTATATTAATAAGAATATAGTATTTAATTATCTATTTTTTTTATTCTAATATACAGCTATAAAGTTCTGCTGTAGTTGTTATTATAGTTATTAATAATTCTTAAAACTATTTTAAACTATTTTTATATATATTATATTATTATAAATCTTATTTTTTTATTTTTTATATTAATTGTATTAACTAACTTAATAGTTCTGACTTTTTCTACTGTTAGTAATAAGCTAAATAATATCTGCTTAATCTAAATCTGTTTAGTTAGTACGTCCGGCTATTTAAAATAGAATCTAAAAGAATTAGAAATATTTGGAAACTATATTAATTAATATAAGATTTTTGGCGATATTATAATCTAGTTAATTATTTTTAAATTTTATATATTTAGTTATAATAGTAGGTTTTTATATTAACTAGATATATTTATATATTTAGGTCTTAACTAATATTATTAGTATAAATTTTTAATAATAAGATCTGTACTACTAGTAAATAAAATATAATTATTAAATAATATCTTAATAATAAGCTGTTAGATTATAAAAGTTATAAACTAGTATATAATTATTCTTTTTTTAAATAATCTAATTTATACAGAGAATAAATAGATAGATGGTTTTATTTATTCTAACTTTTTACTAAAATAATATACAGGCTATTATTACTATTTATACTTTTTTAATAAATATTTATTTAATACTATTTTTAAAATATACTTAGAGTTTTATTAAAGCCTATTATAATTTTTATATTATTAATATTAATTAGCTGCCTGTATAGTATATGGCTTAAAATTACAGGAATATCTTAATAATTAATACTTTATATTAAGTTCGAGCTGAGTAAATACTAGAAAAACTAGTTTAATTTTTAGATAGTATATAAAGTTATATTTTTATATACTAGTTTTTTACTGTTATTATTATATATACTGTATACTGTTAGATTATAGATTTCTGTTTGCAGCTACTAATAGCTTTTGTTAATAATATATATAGATGCTGTAAGAATTAGGTAATAAATTAGATAGAAACTTAAA